TTACATAATTATTTGTACAAACTAATCTAAGCACTAATTTATAATTCGTACGACTTGACTAAATTAATCTACTTATTCTAATTACTATAAAACTATAACAAATAATAATAAATAACAGATAAGAATATATATAATATATAGATGATAATACATATAAAGAATAATGAAATAAAAATAAAAATAAGAGAAAGAAATAAGCTAACATCGGGCATATGATAAAATTTACAAAATTAATTATCGGGTACTTAGTAATAATCAATCATATCGGGTACCTAATATGTTTATTCTTCCCCGATAGGTGTCCGATAGGTGCCCGATAAATACCCGATATTTGAATTTTGACCTGTGTTAAGCCTGATAAATTAGAAGGTGGTAAAAGAAAAGGTACTGATTGTAATTGGTCTCCTCAAACCTATTTCATTAAAGAATCGTTAATACGAAAAAATCTGCTAATATTATATTGGTTAATTGATAAAAATGATAATGGACTCAAAAGATCATTTGTTCATGAAGAATTATTAAAAATACCTAAAAATAGTATACTTTTACCTCAGTGGGTACTTAAACAATATTAAATTTCTAGACTGTGAATTCTTTGAAGAATTTCATCTACTTCTTCCTTGGATCTTTTTTCTACAACCTCTTCTTGTTAACCAGTTCGAGATATAATTTATATAAATTTTCAAGACTAACGTATACTTCTTCATTATACCAATCTTTGAAATCTGCCATTCTTTCATTATAAGTTTTCTCATTTGGGTTACATTGTTTTGTAACATATCTAACATGATCTTCTGGATCTCTTTTTTGCTGTAATATTTTAAGATAGTTTACATATGATACTCCTAATTTGTCATATTTTTTGATACCTTGGCTATATGCTACTTTAATCACTTCAACTAAAGCGAATTTGATATTTTTGTGATCTACTATTTTGAATATTATACTTTTTATTATATATTACTTAATCAGATTTTTTGTTTAAATAAAAAATATCTCTTTTACCCATGTTTGAAAAATATATTTATTATTATATATACAATTCTGGAGAAGTCTGTGGATGTGGATGTTGACGTCCTGAAGGATGCTATGAATATTGGAGGTCTAAAAAACGTGTTCTCTGTAAAGAATATAGTAGTTGTAAAAAATTTACTGCTTCTGCTTCCAGAACATATAAAGATTATACTGGTGACTTTTATGTTAAGCAATTTTATGCTTGCCAACTAGACAAGAATACAATATAGATTTTAGACATTTAAAGAACAGTTTAAGTTCAAATAACTATACAAATAATTAATATAAATTTTAAGGGTTTAAGTGCTTTTTTAATCAAGGAAGCAAATTACATTTTTTAAGTTTTAAATTGTTCCATTCTGTCAAGGAAGCAAATTATAGTTCTTAAGTTTTAAATCACTCTGCTCTGTCAAGAAAACAAATTACAATTCTTGGACTTCTAGAGGCCAGTTTAAAAAAGAAAAAAACACCTTTTCTAGAGCATGTTCTTGAGTATTGTTTTCTGATATGTATCAAAAAATTTTATTGATTTTAGCAATTTTAACTCTAAAAACTCGCAAATCAAAGATGTATAAAAAAAGAAAAAAAATACACCCATCAATAAAAAAGTCTGCTTGCACTCCCTGCTACTGAGGCTCTTCTATTTACATAAAAAAGGACAAGCATATGTAGCATTAAGTTGATGTAATAATTGGGATAAAATTGAAATTTGATCACTTGAAAAGATGCATTTACTGTAATTGAATTCATGATAAAGATTGAGAAATTAGATTTGAACCATTAACTATTTCTAGACTACCACAAAATAATAACTAATTCACCTATTAAATATTTAATCAACTTCATCGCCACATCCAAAAAATATTTAGTTAACTGTTAATAGAAAGTAATGATATATCAGATCTAAATTGTCAGTATTTATTTCTACATTTATTCCTATATTGACGTGATAAAAAGGACTTTTTATCGACCGTAGGGTTACATTTTTGTCGTGTGAATGTTGTGCGAAATGTTGTGAGAATAATCATCCATTTTCGTAGAAAAATATAAGATTTCCTAAAATAATTAAAATTTAAGTTCCCTTTTTTGATTTATTTGTACTGATATCTAATATATTCAAAAACCAATTAGCATTAAAAAATCAAATATTAATGTCGTATAAATAAATAATATAATTAGCAAAGTCTATAGATAAATCTGGTATTTTATGATTTTATTCCAGTTTAATTCTTTATAAATATATTTTTTATGCTATGGTCATCTTTTTTTTTTGTTATAATTGTGGCACGAATAACAAATGTATTGAGTTTAATGTATTATTTATTATAGGTTAGCATCTTTAAAGTAAGAAAAAGTTTGTAATAAAAAATAAAAATAAAATTAAATTTAATTATCTTTTTGTTTTTTCTTTATCCCCTCATATTATGTTTGATCTGACCAACTCCTCAAACATACATAATTTATTTATTTTAACTTAATTTTTTATCCGAATTATTTTTTCCTTCCTTTTTAAAAAATAAAAATAAAAAAAAAAAAAATCACTCAAAAAATTTACAATAAAAAAATAAATATGGCTGAAAACGTAATATATGAAGATACTCCTTTCGCCGAGTATCTTAGTGGTAAACAGAAATTTTTTTTTCGAAAATCTTTGATCATTTAACAATATATATAAATATATAAATATATATATTTATTTAAAACCAAGACGATAACACAAATAACCTAAAAAAAAAAAAAAATAACCGAAACAATAATATTATAGAAATCGGTAGTCAAGAACAATTAACCAAGCAACCGGAACTCTTTGAATTGGAAAGGCATGCCTCAGAGGATACTTCTTGGTATTCACGGCACTTACGATTCGGTTATGAAATATTTGATTATCTTCGAGTAAGTTTTAATAAACTCAAATATAGTTTAATAGAATTACAATATATTTATAATTATAGATATGTATATAATATCAATAATATATCTATAAAAATATACTACAAACTTATCATTAAAACAGGAAACATTATCAACAGCACTTCCTATACAAGAAGAAAATGAATTTGAAGAACGTTTCAAGTATTTGTTATGTACATCACACCTTTTAAACGACTCGTTATCAATTTACTTTTATGATAGTCGAAAACCAAATATTATTGATATTAAAGAGGCAGGATTATATTTTGGAGGAATTTCTAGAAGAAATTTTGAAATTCTATTAAGTTCCTTAATTGGCATGATAGTAGTTTTTTTAACCTGGTTATTACATGATACTGATTCAAAAAAGGATATTGGAACAAAGATGATGCAATTACCTATAGCATTTATATTGGCTTTATTGGCTTCATTTTTCTTATATCGTCGTATGGTAAATATTTTAAATAACATTTTTTTTTTTTTGGATTATGGAAATTATTAAATTTATTGTTATATTATTATTATATTAGATTAGATTATTAATTATTATTATTAATTATTATTATTATTATTATTAGCGACGAAAAGCCATGAAAACTCTTCACAATTCAGCATTATTCTTTTTGGAAGCTCTCGTTTATAATTGTCAAAATTTTGATCTTAAAATTAACAAAGCTCTAATAATGATTCAAGAGATTGAACTCGTATCTCGTGGTTACAGATTGTATCCTTTACAATTCAAATTTTTCTATATTTTATATATTTTTCTAATATTTATATATTATATTATTCTTTAACAATTTAATAAATCAATCAATTAATCAATCAATTAATCAATAAAATAGGTCCATGCCACTTTCTCCAATATCTCGCATTGAACAAAATTCTAAAAATCGACGTTGTGAAATGTTACGAGAAACTGTATACAATATTCTTCAAGATGCATATATTACTTATAATAATGCCATAATATCCATGCAACCCGAAATTTCAAAATCTAATTTGGTTATCATGTTTAATATGTATAATATTATTCCTTGTCCTGAATCTGAAGATGATTGGAATAATGTAGATAGTGAAAAAGATAAATTATCTTTGGAAAATTTGAAACAATGTTTTCAAAGAATGCATGCAAAACGAAGAGAATGTTTATGTCATTTCTTAGCATTAGATGTAATGACACCAGGAAGAGATTCTCATAGAAGAGATTACGAACATCATTGGGCAGCTGTTAATTGTAATTTAGATGAATTAGGTGCAAATACTGGTCATTACTTGGAAAAAATTAGTGTTGTTTCAGCTAGTGAATTGTGTAAGTAAATAATTCATTATTTTATATATAATTAATATACATTTAATATAATAATATAAATTTAATATAATAATATACATTTAATATAATAATATACATTATATATAGATACAATCCCAACACCAAAACAAGACTTTTTGTCTCAACCAACGCCAACTATAATTATGAACAAAAATCTTCGAGTTTATCTTCATCGTTTAGCTTCTATTGAACAACATGTTCGTGGTGTTCAAGCGAAGTTATACATTTGTAATGAGGATGCTCGAAAATATTTTGAAAATGAAGGTATGATTTATTTTTCGTTATTCACTGCATGGTAATATCTATATCTTTACACGTGTACACGGAAAATTTAAATTTAAATTAATAATAATAATAATAATAATTAACAATAGGTTCGATAAGTGAAAGTAAAAGAGACCTTTTATTAAATCAATATGAATCTATAAGTAAAGATTTTACTTATATGTTTCAAGAATGGGAAGATGGAAAAAAAGCATTAAATGATATAATGGAACCAATACTTGCAGTTGATTCTTCAGACTTAAGTTCTAGTCGTTTATCTATGGATGAAGATACTGAAACTCTAAAAGATGAAAATGATTTAGATGAAAATATTTCTGAAAAAATAATAAATATTGATTGGTCAAAGATGGATGAACCTTCCGATGTTCCAGAACAAGTTTTTATAGCAGAAGCAGAAGATGTTGAACCTATAACAACAAAAGTAAGAAAATGGATCTTATTATTTATTTTATTTTTAAATTATAAAAAAAAAATTTTTATTACTTTTATTTAATGATTTTTTCCTACCAAATTAGAAACTATCAAGAAAAGAAAGAATCGAGATTCAAAAAATCAAAAGAGAAGAAGAGGTATAGGAATGAATGAATTTATTTCATTGATTCATTTTTTTTTTATTAACAAAAAAAAATATTTCAAAAAATAATTTCATAGGCTAAAGCAAAGGAATCGAGGCTAGATTCAGAACGGATGGTCCATGAATTAAAGGATGTATTGTTAGTTCGGCGAAGGCCAATAGATTTTGAGAATGAGGTGGTTGTTCAATCTGCTCATCAAGATCATGAACGAATACCACTTCAAGGAACCCGTATGGAAGTTTTGACGAACTAAAAAAAAAAAAAAGAAATAAAATAATAATGATTTATTATTATTTTTTTTCATCCATAAAATCAAACCATTACAACGTAATTCGCATTTAACATTTGATACAATCAATTTCATAGACATTATAAAAAATAATAATAACGTATTTTTTTTTTGATATTTATTTTTTCGATTTTTTCTGTTCCTATTGTACTATACATATTTTTACATATTACCGCATTCTTTTTTATTCTTTTTGATAATCTTGAAAAATGAATAAAGAAGAAAGTGAAAATTATTTCCTGAAAATCAAAGTATTTCATTATTTAAACATGTATTTTGGCTGAATAAAATGAATAAAGAAATATAAAATTGAATAACTAATAACTTTTGTGATCGTCAAAACTATTGTTACATAAAATAAATATATACTGCAAATTTTATGTACACGTGATTAAATAACATATTTTCTTCGTTTTACCTTTTCAGCTACTTCCTTCCGAAAGCGTTCCTTTTTTTATAACTTAAGAAAACGAGTCATTACCAAAATAAAGTGACTACCTTACACAAAAGTAACCAGTACCGAACCAGCAGATCCTTGCTCAGAACGTTGTAAATATACTCTTATCTCGAATGCATTTAAGCGTTAAATTCATTAAGCTAGGATCAGATTGAGAATCTTCCGTGAAAGAAACTTCCATGATAGAATCTTCTAAATGGAAATAATTTACTCACCTATCTGATAAAATGCGTAATCACATTAAGAATGCGTATATTATCCGGTTTCTTCTTTCATAAATGACTAAAGAGAATTCATTTATAAGTCAGGCAGATAATACGTAGTAAAAATATCTTATAAGTAAACATAAAGCTCATGTCTAAAAATATCATAAGATTTAAGGTAAAGATCCATTTTCGAATTTTTAAAAAAGGATTCAAATATGAATTTTCTCACGGATAAAATATGAAATTCTCCGTTGTATGATTTTATCAGGGATAATAAAGCGATAATATGAAATTATCCATAAATTTATCAGGGATAATAAAGCGATATAGTAACGACATATATAGCATTAGTGAAAAGACATTGTAATTTTTTATAAATACCCAAAAATTCGCCTGATGCTATTTACAAGGTTTGATCCAAATATTAAAAAATAATTCTAATAATAATAATTTTTCAAATATTTACTCTTCCACAATGAAACTTTCAATATTTGCTTTTCTCTTTCACGCTATATTTTTCTCGTCATATGCATATGGTCTTTACCTTCGCGATGCAACAATTCTTTACCGTCGCGACACTACTATTGACCCAAATCAATGCACAGTCACTGCTGCAGAATCTCATCGTAGTGTAACAGTTATACTAATTAATGAAATTGATTATAACATTACTTATGCCAACCACATTCTCAACTGGGGCGCTTGGGCCTCTAATGCCTGCGACCCCTCTCAATCTATATATCCATCCCTCCCAATTAATCAATCTGAGACCTTTTCCGCTGTAAGCGATGGCTTCTTAACCGGGACCGAGGGAAAAGTAACTTTTTCTATTGATGATAAAAACACTCCACCAAGCACCTTTAGTATTTATTGGGATAACCCATTTTCAGGCAGTAATGAATATTCTGTCGAAATTTCAAATACCAACTTGTATGATTATCAAATCCCACCTGGTGCAGGTGTTGGAGATAACGCTGTTTATCAGGTTACTATTTCAAAAAGTACGTGAAACATGTCAATTCATCCAGAGAAATTAGAATAAAAATTTCTCTATGTAATTTTATTTTTTAAAATCTTGTGTTATATCATCTCATCAAGTGATTTGGTTGTACCTTTTTCCCTTTTTTTTTTCACTCCAACAGTTTTTTTTATCGTATATATCATATATTTTATTAATAAAGATATCAGTTAAAGGAACGTATAATTTATTTTTCATGTGATGTGAGCGTATATATATATATATATATATATTATTTTTCACTCGTAATCCAAACTTTTGAATATATTCATATCTTTATAAAAAAATGGAAAACACTCAATCTGTAATTGTTTCGTTAAGAGAATTGAATGCTAAACTCTTAGCTGAGATGACTGAACTTGAAAAGGAAAATGCTAAGATTCTTGAATTAAAAAAGGAGAATGCTGATGTTAAAGCTGAGAATACGAAATTGAAGCAAATTATGGGAAGAAAGTGCCAGACGTGAAACTGAATAATAGCTTAAAAAATCGAAGTATCAAAATTAAAGGCACAATTTCGAGAAATATAAACAACAAACTCAAGTTATTACTTCTACTGGAGATATCTCATCTAATTCGCCACCTATCGAAGATAACTAATTCCGTATCCTTAGAAGTACTATTTCTTCCGAGATTATAATACTAAAAAGTCAAATTCTGAACCTATATCATTGGAAGAAAAAGAGGATAAGAATTCCCGGATTCAAAAAAAGAATAAGAAAAGAATTAATAGTGAAATAAGAGAGAGAAACAGAGAAAAGAAGCTTCGAGCAAGACTCATCATCAAAACCCTATCCTATATAAATAAAGTAGCTAAACCGTGATGACGATCCTCACGTTAAATGCATTAGGTTTGTCAGGGGTAGTTATTTATCACCGCGTATCACACCTTTCGAATTTAAATATCTAATTAGTTGATAGGATATCTATTGTTGCAACTATAAATATTTTTTCCATAACAAATAAATCAATTTATTATATACATAATTAATAAAAAAAATATTATATTTTGATATGAAAAATGTGACAATCAAATATGAAGTGATTCCTGCGGGGTATTGCAAATAAGAAAATTCAAACATCATCATTCTCTCAATTCTGGTTTCTTTGATCTGATTTTTTAAAGTGCAGATTGTGTCTAGTTTCAGATTATTTGGGTTTGAATTAGTAAATAAAAAAGATCAATGATTAATACTTTCTAGTTAACTATGTAGCGTAATATTTACTTAGCAATAACGTGTAATATTATAAAGTTATATCTATGGTAATTTTTATTATTATTGCTAATTCAATAGAATTAATTAATCACGAAAATGTATTTAAATCTTTTAATATTATATTGATGCAGCTAATTATATTAAATATTTAATTAAAATATATAATAAAATATTAAATAAATTTGATTGCGAATGACTATTATCATCATCATCATCATTTTTATAGAAGAAAATTAATATAATCTACGATTTATTTATTTTTAATTACTTTGTTGCCCAGTTTCGAATTCACTAGAATATTGATGTTATGAATAGAATGTGAATAGAATAAGTGCAATCAAACTAAATCCATTTATGATATTATTAATGATTCGCCTACTTCAAAAGAAATTGACGAATTTGGTTAACACCACTTTCCTTCCATTTGGATCTGCAAGATCAAGACCACTTTTCTTATGATTTCTCCTGGCCATCTTTTAATTTCAATTGAATTATCTATTGGTAAACCTTTAGCGGGAATCTTAGCCCTGTAAAATGTAGTATAGGTAGAGATAAATCGAACAGCAAAACAAAACCTGATCAGAAACCTCACCAGTCTCATGTATATTTTCATTTCCGCAAGCAAGTGTTTCGCCAGCAATTTGCATTTCTCCAAAATTATTTACAGGATTAGTGTTTTGTAAGGTTTTATCCTTGTCAAACAAACCTATTTAAGTAATCAAAGATATTTCTCTACCAGTCAATGAAAAAAAGATACATACAATAACCACAGATATTGTTCCTTTGTTAATCTCAAATTTGGGAGTTGCCAAAATATAAGGATATTTAAGATATGTAGTTTGCTTAGTGGATGAATTCTGGATTTTGAAGAAGGAAAATTTAGGAAGTCATTTAATAAGACACGGATCTTTTAAATTACTCACAATATATTCAAAGCAATAAAACCAACTTTTATCTGAAAGCTGCACTCATTATTTGATCCAATCCCCAAATGAAAGAGAAAATAAATAAAATAAATAATATAATTAGTATAAAAAAAAAACATGCGATTTTCTCATTTTCGAAGTTATATAAAAGCTGCCATCATCAAAATCAATAAAGACACATTAAATGAATTGTACAAATCACATTTTTTTCTTTATTTTCTTCATAATTCTATTCGATTGTTGTATTTCCCAAATCATTTAAATCATCGGAATCTACATTAATAAATTATCTGTCATTAATCAAATGTTGCATCATCTTTCTCAACTATTTATTTCTTCCTCCTCATTAGTTATTAATGAATTAAAAATAATAAAAATCAACTATCAATTTTCTTTGTTTTGACTTATTTTTCTTGATAAACTCCTCTGTCTCGCGTGTGACAAGTTTCTCAAGTATGATAAATTTACGGGTAAACGTTTTTTATGTCTTTCGTTATGCAATCTAAAGTATTAGAAAATAAACTTAAAATAAAGTTGGTAATACAAGTTGGCCCATAACCGCACTGCAACATTGGTTTTTCATTTATCTGTCTAAATATCCTTATTATTTACAATGTGAAAAAGAATTGAAATTAATATTTGTCTTAAATTATGAAACCAAAAGTTAGGAAAAACGGAAAGACATAAAAATACACGCGAATAAAGTGTAATAACCTTTTATTTTTATTATACAGCAAATAATAAAATTAAAATTATAACTTGTTACAAAGAATATTTTAAATCTTGGGCTTTTATTTATTATTATTATCATTACAATAAATTACTAAACACATATAAACAAAGAAAATAAATGTAAAATCCCTTTTCCGCATGTAATTTTTTAAATACTACTCAATAATTTAAGTTATTTTTGCCTTGCTTTTTTTTTTTGAAAATAATCCGAGAATCTTTCTTTGGTGATACTACAAACACTTTGGCACTGGTAAATGAAGGGGCATCAAGACGGTAGCACAGAACAGAAAATACTTTGGCACTCATGAAGACAATATAATATATAGAAGTATATATTGCGCTCCCACTTTGACACTCATATCCTCATTACACTAACAGTTATGGTCAAGGGCCTAAGCATCACGCAGGCACTCATGTTACGCTTTTTGCAATTTTACTTAAATTAAATAAACTTCATTTAAATATTTTTCTATAAAATAATGAAATTTAAGTTATTCCCCTCAGTTTTTTACGCAGCCCATAGGCACTCGTGCGTGCGGTGATATATGGTAAAAGATATGAGAAGGGTTAGATATCGGAATAATAAAGGAAGAGAAAAAAAAACATAAATAGATAAAATAAATACCTCACTTTTCTACAGTTATGAGATTAATGAAATATAGTCAACAAAGTTATAACTAAAAGAAAGGGGAATTATATTAATGTTATTAAATAAAATTTAGAGCAAAAAGAATAAAAAGCGGAAAAGAGAAATAATAGTAAATTATTTTCGTTCTTATAGTTTATCGTTAATGTTAAGAAAGAAAGTTGAAAAAAAATGAAAAAGGGAAAAAAGACGAGTTTAAATAATTAGGAAATGATGATCCTTACTATTTTAGGATACACATGACTTTATTAAGATTAATAATTATAGTAATTGTCCTCGATATTATAATATATTCATCATTATAATCATGAAAATTTCAAGAGTGAAATGAAAGAAAAAAAATGGGGATATCGGGAATTTTAAATTTAGAATTAGCAATTATCATAGTAATTTATTACTTCTTTAGGTATTTCAAACTAATTACTTCTTTAGGTATTTCAAACTAATTACTTCTTTAAGTATTTCAAACTAATTACTTCTTTAGGTATTTCAAACTAAAATTATATCAAAAATTACTCTTTGGCATCTTTTCCCATAAATTCGAATAGAATTCTACCATTTTCATCACCAATTAAATTTTGCAATTCTTTTAAAGGCAATTCACTTAATTCTCGCAAATTTTTTACTTTTGACATAACGCGTTTATAATTTTTCCTGGTAATTCCAGGTAAAGCGCGAAGAAAGTCCTGAGAAAGTATTTATCGAAAATTATGGAAATCGAATAAATATATACATAAATACAAACTTTTTACATAAAAAAAAATACCTGAGGTGTCAAATTATAATCGGTGATAATTTCATCATCTTCAACTCCAATTGATTGAACCTTTTCGATGTCAGGTTCATCATGTAATTTCTATTTGAGCAAAAAGTTAGACCCCTTTCCTTTTTTTTTTTTATTTAAATAAATATATATATGTGTGTATTTTAAGATATTAAATTATATTATATACCTTCAAATCTTCAAAAATTTGAACAGTAGCATGAGGACTGGATGACCAAATTATTCGTAATCGAGGAAATGTAAGTGTAAGTAACACAAGTTTTGAAGAAATATCATTGACACTAATATCAGATTTCAAATCGTTTATTGCCTTATAGAAAAGTCACAGAAAATATAGTTTATAAACCAAAACAATACTTCTTTCATATTTAAAAAGTCAAAGAAAAATCTTACTTGAAAAGTAAATGTTTGATTTTGTTCAAATTCAATCAATAATATTGGTTGTTTATAATATATTAACATTGATTCACATTGTGTGTACCTTATAGAATATGGTTATAATAAAAGGTCGATTAAAAGATCGATTAAAATGTAAATTTTAGTTGATAATATCGAAAACCTTAAAAACTTACAATCTTCCTGAAATAAAACTCCCAATTAAGTCTGATATTGATTTTCTTTCGACACAAATTTGTGGCGACAAAATGTAATCACCAACTTGTAATGTACATGGTATGATTTCAATCCCATGTGCATGAAGTAAAGATGGTAAGCAACATCGAAATTCTCGAATGTCAATAATAATCTAAATATCATTTGCATGCCGAATTTTTTAAAATATATTGACAAGTTTATTTCTTGATTAAATTTCAAATTACCTTTGATGATTTATTAGTTTCTTGTTCTAATTTACCGCCACCTGCTATACGAGTGTCGATGGTCCTCAAAAACATATCAGCAGGATTATTACTCTGAGTTACTCTAGACTTGCCTAAAGGGATAGCCATTACCTTTGAATAGTCATTAACAATTTTTTTTTTTTTAAAAAAAGAATATTTAAAGTAAAAAATGGATATTGTAATTAAATAAAGATGAAGCTTACAGATTTTTCACGAATCAATTTTTCAAAAGATTCCTTTTCTCTTCGTATTGAGCTAAGATATCTTTGCTCTTCTATAGAATTTTCATACATAAGAAAATAAACTCTACATGCAATTCCCGGGTGCATAGAACGAAATACCTAAATGATAATTTTACACTGTAATTTTAAAGATCAACTTAATATTTAATAATAATAATTAACCTTAAAAGATTACCTCAACATGTCTCACAAATGTTGGATCAGGATGGTATATAATAATATATTTGGGTTTTAATGCTTCCAAAACTTTATCATAATCTCCAGAAATTGGTCGGATAACAATCAATGAATCCATTGAAAGTAACTCAAAATGAGTCGAAAATGCATCCAAATCAAAATCATCATCATAATATGATCCACGAGATCTGACAACTTCATCAACATCAACAACTTCTTCTTCAACATCAATAACTTCTTTATCAAGATCAATAACTTCGTTAACATCAATAACTTCTTCATCAACATCAATAACTTCGTCAACTTCATATACTGGTGTTCTATTGACAGAATTAATACTATAGACATTATAAGAAAACCGATTAACGAATCAATTTTTTTAAAATGATGAATTAATATACACCAAGACAATAAATGTCATTGTCATATCATACTAGTTCGCTATTTCCTTAGCTTCTTCCTCAACAATGGATATAGTTGCACGTGATGATGATGATGACATCGAAGCAGTCGATGATCCACCTCGAACACGTCGTCTTTTATTTAGAGGTTGTTGTCCACGTTTATTTCGCCTTTTATTCTCATCTAATTTCCATCAAGGATTCAATTATATAGAATATTAATAATTATGATCTTATTATTCCAGCAATGTTAAAATATAATTAAAAATACCTATACGTGTTGAATTATTATTATTATCATCACCTTTCTGTGAATTATCACCTTGGATTGCTTCTTTTGTTGGCTTAAATAAATTTTCACTAACTTTGGCCATTCCACTTTTCCACCTAATATAATTTTTTAGTAATCTTCTTAATAATGGTCCACCTCGTCCTTGACCTTTTTTCAGTCCATTATGCATGGTGGAAAGATATTCACGTATTTGCGAACATACACGTTCATTTTCTACCATAATCAAAATAAAATTATCTTGTTGTTCTGTAATTCCCACAAAAAAAAAAGTTTGTCATAGGTCAGAAATTAATGATTAGAAGAACATATATTTGATTCTCATTTTTAATAAAATATCGTTATTATTATTACCGTTATTATTAGATGCAGACGATAACTCTATATCTAATTCGATCTCATGCAAGACATCTGCTAAAAGTCCCCATTTTGGTAATTCTTCTAACACTGATTCAATTCCAGGAGGAAATTCTTGATTTTTTTTCGTTTTGCCTTTTTCGTGAGTTTTTCCTTTATTTTTTTTATGACTATCTTTAGCAGTTACTCCAGAACGAACATAAACACGTCTTTTAGCTACCTAAAAAAAAAAAAATTTGAATAAAAATTGAATTTATATAAAAAGAAAATTTTTTTATGAGAAAAATATAACATAATCTTTAACTGTAAATATATTGTTCCCAGAATTAGTCAATATCCATGGTGATTGTTGCTGTTGACTTAAAGTAGATGTAGGCGTTTGACTTGTTAATATGGCTTCCAAAAAACTATGAAATGTAATACAATCATAACTAACAAGATAACTATATTTTATATAAATAAGACAATAAGGATTAGTTATAAAATCAATAATTTACTTCTATTCAAATGTATTACACAAACACAAAAAAAAATACACAACCTACGTGAGTAATTTCCGTAAAATAGTGAGATCACCAACCAACAATTTGGTCTTTAAACCAACACGATGCCAAACTGGTTCAAGTTGACGTCTTACTATTCGATCAAATGATCGTGAAAATGCATTCTCAACAGTTAAGTCATCAAGGTCTAACTAAATGCGAAAGTTGAAAACTAATTATTATTATTCAATAATTACTTTATAAAATTACTTTTGTACATAATAAATATAATTAAATATAATAAATATTATTAATCACTCTCACCCATGCAATATTAGTCTTTCTTAAATCAGATATGCAAGCTTCTATGCATTCAAGGATTGATACTTGGATTTCTCTCATTGAATCTGATAGAGGTTGATATAATTCAATTACATCGGATGTTCGTTCCTCAAGACATTTGCGTACGGTCACATGAAAGCTTAAAATGAAATATTTTTACTAAGTAATTATCTCATATATTATTGGAATAATTGAATAATTCTAGAATATGGTAAATCAAAAATACCGTGGCCATATAAAGACTTTACGTATTTGAAGATATTGCAAGGAAGTTTGAAGTGGCGAGAATCCGGAATTGAATGATTCAGGTGAATCAGAAAATGCTTTAATAAATCCTTCCTAATTAATGCATTCGAATTTTAAAAAATTGATAATAATAGAATCTTAAGCAAAGAAGTTGCCTCAATTTAAGCACACCTTATTTTCTTCTCTATATATTCTTAGTATAAAGGCTTCAGTAGATGTCTCATTTACTCTAATAATTTGAAAATAATTTTTGTCATTAATTTACATAGCAAAATGGATTTTTTTATTTTAGTTATTTTTTTTTTCAATAAGGATCACCTTTCAGCACGATTTATTACTATTCCCGTGATAATATTTGAAGGAATTCTTTTTGTTAACATATCGACTATTAAAATTCGAGAAGTAATTGATATGATACCACCCGAGAGATACAATTCTGATCTAAATATTTATATCAATTAACATTATAAATTTATAAAAAGTATAATAAAATATTATTATATATAATTTTATTTAATTCCATAACACAATTATATCCACACACACACACATATATATAATGTATTGAACAAACTAAAATATACATATAAACCTCTCCTTAGCGCCTATTTCATTATTTACAACTCGTAACCCAGGCTTTCGAACCCCCATACTTGCGAGTTCTTCCTTGATACTAATTTCTTCACTTGCTGAAGAATTTAACAAAAGTACCAAGTGATCTGCCTGCGAATAAACTTTAAGAAATGAACACATAATACGTTTCAATCCTAAACCACGGCCAAGCAATAATAAACCATCTTCAGCTAAAAGTTCTTCAAGAATATTTTGCTGATATTCCAATGGTAAGTATGACATTATCTGATATCAAATTATCAAATTTCGATCTTCTAGATTTTAGATTTAAAAATCACAAATCATGTGCCAAAAATTCAAAAAATTAGATCTGGCCTAAAGTCTGTGCGACGAAAGATTTCACATTCGCTCGCGTGTTCGCTTCTTATTTAAGTACAATTACTGTCGCGCTGTCAAATAAAAACATGACCAAAGATATTTATAATTCGCGAATGCGTTTGTTTCTGTTTTGTCTCACGTGTTCAAAGAAGAAGGATCGCTTTTTATTTATGCCACAGTTAAAATAAACGCGCCTACGGATTTCTTGCAAAAAACTTTGATTTTGGTAAAGCATCATAAAAATGTGTTATATACATTCTACACTTATCCATATATTCACTATTAAAACAACAAACGCAACAACAAAATTTTCCGGTGATCAAAACTCATAAAGTAGAAATGAACTTGAATGTATAAATCTCAACGAATTTATTGGACATCGACCGATTTTTTGTCCGGTGCTGTGTCACCATTACTTGTATGCGATTTAATTCATAAATTGTGATATAATCAGTTACGTACTCGATAGTTATGAATCGTTTTACGCGAGTTAATTTAACTTCGTCGTTAAGACCTGTGTTAGCAGGTAATGAAACTGTCATTGCCACACAAGACAACGTCGGACTTTATGACGGGTGAATTTCAATTTTTTTTTTTTTAAAAAAAAATTAAAATTGAATCATTATTAATAATCATTTTTTTTATAACGTTAGTAATGAAAAGACAAGTGATTATACAAATGGCATAGTATACTTGACTTCTCATCGGATTGTTTACGTTGATGAAAAGAATCCCACAACCAATTCGGTTGCAGTTGATATAAGATTAATTAAAGACAGGGAGCTTTATGTAAGAAAAAGTCGTTCTTTAAAATTTTTCGAAAAGTAATAATTTTTATTAATAATAAAATCATTATCAATTTTTACTAATAATTAATTAAATCTATGAAACATATGGAATAGGTAGACTGGAATATTAAAAACCTCATTTAAAATAACTTTGAAATTTTCGGAATCTTCCTCTGATAATGAAATTTATTCTAGTTCACCTTCTTCCTCTTCTACATCTTTATCCACTTTTTCATCATATTCTTCTTCCTGGGTTTGTCCAATATGTTCATTTAAGAATCAGCAAATGGTGAAATGTCAACTTTGTGGTGTTAAAAAACCCGAGAATTCCAACATTACATCATCATCATCATCATCCATCACCACCGCCAAGGATAATAAATATAATTCTGATATTATAGGAAATGTTGAACAACAATTTTCTACCCCTTCTTCAAATCCTACCGATAGTATTGAAATTGCCTGTCCTTTATGTACATTTTTAAATCATCCTAGTATGATTAATTGTGAATTGTGTGATGCCGAATTAGGAACTATCAATATGGATGGATTAAATATGGAAAGTGATGTGGGAAGTAATATTGAAAATGACCGACATGATTTTGTAAAACTTTCTTTTCGTCGAGGAAATAGTACATTTTATGATAAATTAAAGGTGGTAATGTCAACGAAAGAATGGGAGGTAAGATATTGAATTTCACCAAATAAACACGTACGTTTCACATCTATGTACACACACGTGTTTCATAAAATTCTCATATTTCAAATTTTTTTATTTATTTAGAAAACTGACGAGTCACAAGTAAATAAATCTATTTCAGAATTTGATCCCGGACTCGGAGGAATTAGTTAGTTTTTAATTTTTTTTTATTATAAATTATAATTTTGATTATTCTGAATAAATATTTTCAACTTGAAATTTATTAATAAGATTTTTCTTTTATATCTCTTATAAAAAAGGTGCTATATTTAATAAGGCAGAACAAAGTCAAAAAGAACAAGATGAAACATTAAATCAAGCATTTAAAGATTTGGATGGATTAATGGCTAATGTGACTGAAGTGGTTGGTTTTATTCATTATTATTGAGAATGTTTATCTCTCTATTTTTAATTTATAAATATAAATGTGTGTGTTCAGGTTAGACTTGCCGAAAGTATCAAAAATAAAATAAGTAAGGATCCCGAATTCCTTGCTGATGAAACATCAGATTTTAGAACTTATTTAGTTGAACTAGGGATACAAAATCCTGTTACAAAGTATGTGTTTGATTATCTATATTCCTATTTAAGTAAAATAATTTTTAAAATATTTAATTTACATTTGATTTTTTAGAGATTCGGCTGGATCTGTATATCATAAAGAGCTCGCACGTCAACTTGCAGAATTTCTTGAAATTTTATTAGTTAAAGAAAATGGAATGATTGCTTTAACAGATATTTATTGTATTTTCAATAGAGCACGAGGAGTTTGTAAGTATATTCTTTTTCTCTTTAATCTCTTTAACTTATCTCTTTAATTTAATCTTTCTACTTTAATCTCTCTATTTTAATCTCTCTATTTTAATCTCTCTACTTTAATTTAACTTATCTTTTTAATTGTTTATTTATTTAGCTTTAATATCACCTGATGATTTATATAAAGCATGCTCCCTTTTTGAACATCTAAGCTTACCAATGCGATTAAGGAAATTTTCGAGTGGATTAACAGTTGTTCAATCAAATATCCTTTTAAATATCAATTAATTTGATTTCCAGTTAGTTAATAATTTTTAACTGTTAATTTTATCCTTAACTATTACCGTTTTTTGATCACTTTCTCTTAGTGATGAACAAACTGCTCAACGTATAATAGATTTCATTAAAGATCGTGAATCATTAACAGCAATAGAATTAGCATCTTTGGCAAAAATGAGTGTTGTCCTGGCAATTGAACAATTACAGGTTTGTTGTTGATGGGGAAATTTAAATTATCAATATCAAATTTTTTGTAATTTTCTTTCTTAATACAAATCCTTTTTTTTCTGTTTGTTTGTTTGGTTGGTTGGTTTAGATGGTAGAAGCGAAAGGACTTATATGTCGAGATGAAACTGTTGAAGGAATTAGATTTTATGACAACTTGATAATAAAAACACGACCAGAAAATTTATTTTCATAAACTAAATAATTATAAATTATTTAATTTATTATTTATTTTATTTTTTATTTATTTATTTTTCATCATTTTATTAAACTTTCTTTCACATAATAGAAATTGGAATTTATTTTGATAATAATATGTAGCCAAAGATACTATGCATTACATGGCAAAATTTTAGACCATTCTTAGAAATTATGAAATAATTATTATTATGATTATTATTTAAATTGTAAATAAAAATTAAATACAGATTCTTTTTTTTTTTTTTTTAAAAAAAAAAGAGAACCGAAAAATGGTATTATTAACTTTATCAGTCAATATGCGCAGTAAAAATAATTTAATAATTTTGCCAACGCGACGAATACTTTGAATATCACAATAACATCAAAACAATTCGTGTTTTTTTCGTTATTTCACGTGTTATATCAAATAAATTCGATTTTTTTTTTTTTAACATTGTTTTTGTCACCATTTTTTTACCATACATTTTTTGAGAGAATAATTACAATGAATAACAAAGATAGTAATAATAATAATAAAGGAGTTAAACAACTTTCAAAGTTATCAATTTCAATGCGTACCATAAACAATAATTTACAAGTTTTATCTAAACTGGCGGCGGCAAAAAAACGAACAAATGAATTTACCAGTAAAGAAATCATGACGCAAAATAATATAAGATACAAAAACAATATATCACCACCAATCCCTTATTCCTCCTCCTCTTCTTCTTTAGAACTTGACCGTTTATTTGACACGACTTTTAAAGCTATTTGTGATTTGGAAATGTTTGAAGTGAAATTAAATTTAAAGAGACTTGACTTAGAAAAAGCACTTTTAAATTTAATTAAAAAATTAATAGATTTTGGTCAGGTAAAATTTTTATACATTACATACTTATTATTATTATTATTATTGTTGTTGTTGTTACTATTATTATTGTTGTTATTAAATATCTTTATTATCAAAAAAATTTTTTGTGAACAAGAGGCGATTTTATTTTTTAATTTTTTAAATTTTATTTATTATTATATCGAAAATAGAATAAGAAAGCTATTGAACTTTTAGTAAAGCTTCGTTCACGTTTATCACAATCATTTGGTATTGAAAACAAATTAATGTCAAATTTGAACCAAACTCAAAATATTACGCGTCAACTTTATAAAAACCGCCATAATATCAACAACAGCAACAACAACAACAACAACTTCGTTAACAATAATAATCAACAAAAATTCGTTATTAAAAATTTTGATTTTAATTCAGTTAAAAATTTGATGACTTTTTATATCGATTTATGCACTTTTCCAATTAATATTATTAATAATGATGATAACCGAGATATTCACGAAATCGATCAAAATAATCAAAACCACCGAAATCATCGAAATAATCAAAATATTATTAATTCAGAAACCAAGTTATTAGTTCTTTCAAGTTTAGTTTGTGCCATGCGATGTTTAATCGAATTAGATGATAACCGATTTACAAAGGTATATGTATTTGAGATGGAGGGAAGGGAGGGATAAATTTGTTTTGATCAAACGCGTTTTTTTTTAATTACCTTCATTCTGATATTAGTTACTTTACGATAATTAAAAAAAAATAAAAATAAAAGGTTCTACCTAAATTATTAAAGGAAAATAATGGAAATCCCATGAATTGGGCGATTTTGATGAAAGATATTGATCCAATTCTGGTTAATTCATATTTGGAAATGATAATACGCGTTATTTCTAAAGCTTGTAACAAATTACAAAATATATCAGGTAATTAATTAATTATTTATTTATTTATAAACTTTTGTTCTTCTTGTTAATTCATTTCTTTATTATAATTATATATATATATATATATATTTTTACAGTGGATGCGTCAATGAATATTTTAAGACTACGTGTAGTTTCTATAAAAGCATTCACATTGACCACTCGTTACGAATTATCTTTATTATTGGATTATATTTTTAGTTATGCTATACAATATGAGAAAACTCAAATAAATAATGGTAATAATGATAATAATTGTAATATAAATAATATAATAATATTTATTTATCTAATTTAAAAATTTATTTTTACATAAAAAAATTAAATTAAAATTTCTTTAGAGAAATTTGTAATTTATCAAGAATTATTAACATTTCATGAAGAAGCGTATAAAATTTTAGAACAACATATATCTTTGGTAGTTCAGAATCCCAAATTTTTTAAGTGGCTTGAACATTTTACGCGTGTTTCTCGAATGGTAATTAAAAAATGAACTTCAAATTTATATTTATATTTATATTAATTTTTATAATAACAATATTTAATAATAATCTTAATAATCTGATCCTAATAATCCTAATAATCAATAATAATTATATTAATAGGTTAATAAATATACGAAAGTTATTATTATTTATGAGAAAATTATTGATGCTATGTCAAGGTTATTAAACACAAATAAAGAAATAATTTATAATTCACAAATTATAATTTTGAAACTTAATATTGCTTCATTAGTACTCGAAAATTTACTCATTGTTGATCATGGTAAACTTTAAGAATTTATATTTATAATTCTTTATCTTTAACTTTATAAATTATTTATTAATTAATATTTATATTTTTTTTTATCTTTTATAATTTTTATTAATAATTATTTATAATTATTTTTAGTGGTTGATGTAACAACTCGATTACAGAATGCAGGAAATTCAGTTAATCATTTTCTTGATATTTTAGAACATGACAATAATTCAGTGATTAACAACAATAACAACAACAACAATAACAACATTAAGAATAATAATAATAATTATTATTATTATTATAATAGCAATAATAGGAATATCAAAGTTCAAGGAATTTCACAATTTTTTCAATCAGTTGAATTATTGAGACGACCATTGATAAAAATTATAGAATTTATAGAAGAAATTACTCAAATCACCGAGAAAAATAATAAGAATAAAAATAATATTAATATTATGAAGAAGGAAGAATTTATTAAATTGAATATTTCAAATCAGAATTCATTTTTCTTGAATAGTTTAGGAAAACAATTACACAGGCAATCACAAAGACAGTCACAAAGACAATTTATAGTGGAAGATAATTTAAATAATTCACATCAAAGGGAAGAATCTGTTACGATATCAATTTGTATTTTGATAAAGGAACTTATTAAGAAAATTACTTATTGTTTGAGTATAGTGTGCAAAGATTATTTTAAAGAATATAAGGTAAATACAATCCATTCATATATTGCTTTTCTTTTGTTTGTTTGTTTGTTTGTTTATTTCTTTTAATAATAATATTTATTTCTTTAATAATAATATTTAATTTTTTAGGATTATTATATTAATAATAAGGATTCAGGAAATGTAATAGTGAATACATTATTACATCCTGAAAAACTTCCATTAATATCTATAGATATATATGAATTACTTTCTCGATTTACTTTTTTATTCTTTAATAATAATAATTCCAAAAATAAATTTATTAATAATTATTATGATCACATTGAAAAAGGAGAAAAAGAAGTAGAAGTAGAAGAAGAAGCACTTAAAATTTCTCAATCAACTTTTTGTATTGAAGGACTTCGTACAATTTCAAATTTATATTATCGAAAAGGAGTTTATTATTATAATAATAATCAAATCAAAGAAGCTATTAAACCTATTTCTGAATCTTGTAAAATTTTAAATCAATATATACAAGAATTGCAAAGTGTTGAAGATAATTTTAACAATAACAATTGTTCAGTTGAAGAAATTCAATTACATTTGAGTAAAAGATTTGAAATTTTAGGAATCTGTTGGAATTTAGTAGATGAAATTAATGTATGTAATATTATTATAGATTTTTATATTTATTTGTTTTTTAATTTAAAAATTAATTTTTAATTTATTTATTATTTATATATGAAGAAATCTCGCAATGCATTTGAATTATCATTAAAAAATATACCAAAATCAGAATTTCAAAAATTTGGTTCATTGATTTCTTCTCAAACCATTCTTTCAGTTTCACAAAATGTTCCCACAATTCCAAAATTAATTGATCGTTATATTAAATTATTATTATTATTAATTGTCGATAATAATAAGAATAATGATAAACTTATTTCTTCCTTACATGAAATATTATTAAATTGTAAATATGATAATATTATTACTTTGGCGGGATTATTTGAATATGAATTACGAGTAATGAAATCAATAGAAGATAAATTTGATGGTTTAGAATCGGAAATGATATTATATGACAAATTATTGGAGTGGTATGATTATAAGAATTTTCCAATTCGTAGAGCAAGGTTTGATTATTATTATTATTATTATTATTATTATTATTATTATTATTATTATAATATTATTATTGTTATTATTTATTATTATTATTGTTATTATTTTTAGTCTTAAAATAATTAACGCTTTTAATGTTAATGCTTAAATGATAATAATAGATCATTAATAGAATTGGCAAAAATCGCTCGACGTGTAAAAATAATAGAAATGTCAAAAATCTCACGACACGTAAATATAAGATCAAATGCAATTGAATTAATTGAAGAAGCAGCGAATCTTTTAAAAACTGATGTATTTACTTACTTTATTATTATTATTATTATTATTATTATTATTATTATTACTACTATTATTATTATTATTACTGATTTTATTGATAAGTTTACATATTAATAAATTTTTTTAAATAAATTTATAATAATAATAATAATAAAGGATTTAGCTCAAGATTCAAATCTTGCTCATCTTCGTTATTATTATTTAGCCACAGCTTATTCTTGGATGGGTATTTTTGGTCTGGAATCAGGAAATCTTACATTCGATCCATTTAATTGTGCTTTAAATTTATGGAAAAGAATCTTGATAGATATTCCTATGTGTTTCGATACCGAAGTAATTTCTGTTTCTTCATCAAAACACGATCGGCACAACCAACACCATCAATACGATCAATTGGAAAATGTCAGGAAAAATATTGATGACGTAGAACGATTTTATGGACATTTGGGTATTATATTTTACCCCCTTGACTTCTAATTTTTTTCCTTTGATTATATATTTAATGATATCGAATTCCGTTAATTTTATATTTATTTTTTTAAATTAATTATTTAGAAATGTTAGCAGATTATTTTGCACTCATCAATTTACCAATTAATCATATTTTGACAATAAAATTGATGTTGAGACTTAATAATGGAATTAGAAAAGATGCAAATAATATTCTTTCAGGTTAGAATTAAATATAATATTAATTATTAAATAATTATTAAAACTAATAACGATAACATTATTATTATAATATATATATATATATAGATTCAGTTATTTGTTATACGTGTATCGGTAAAATATATTTAAACTTAGGTTATACTGGAAAAGCAGGATTGGCTTTATCACAAGCAAAAGGAATTTTAGATTCATGTGATGATGATGATAATAATAATAATGATAATGCAAAATTATATTGGATGTTAATTTACAGTTATTATTTATGCTTGATCGGAAATATGGAAAAAAGGTTTGTTTTTTTTATTTGTAAGGGTATATTTCTATTTCTATTTATTATATTTATTTAAGTGTATATTATATATATTAGGTTAACGAGTTAATGATAATAATATTTATAATTTATTTTGGTTTTTGATTTTAAATGTTTATAATTTATTTTGATTTTTTTTTTTTTGATTTTTTTTTTTGATTTTTTTTTTTGATTTTAGTTGCATACAATTTGATCAAACAAAGAAAATATCCGGACTTTGGAATAATAATAATAATAATATTGTTCCCGATGCGTCATCACGAAATCGAAAGAAGTATGATCAATCTTTATTGGCTGAAGCTTATTTGACAAGATCATATATTACGATACGCATGGTAAATTTTTGAATATTATTATTACATGATTTATTTGTAAAATTATTTTATGTAATCAATTTTATTAATTAATCTTTTAATTATTATTATTATTATTATTATTATTATTATTAGGGTAATTTAGAAGATGCTATAAATTGTTGTACTGAATCTATTCGAATATTTAATAGATTGATAAGAAATATTAGGCGAAATTCTTCTTCATCGATGAAATTGTTGATAGAACAACAGCAACAACAAGAAACTAATAATAATAATTTATTTCTTGTGGAAGATCATCAAAGCGTTACTATTATTGATTCAACTGATATAACTGATGAGCAATGTGTTGATAAAAATAAAATAAATAATAATAGTAATAATAATAATAATACGAGTGATTTTGTTTTAAAATCGTCAGCTCAAAAATGGAAATGGCGTGTGTCTCAGGTATTCATTTGTCATTTATTCATTTACCATTTCTTTATTGATTTTTAATTTATTTATTTATTAATTAATTTATTTATTTATAACTTATTAAAATATATATTTATATATATAATTAGAAATTACTCGAATGTTATAATCAACTTGGTCGACTTCACATATTAAGGGGAGGTGTGAAAGAAGCGGAATATATGTTTAAACAAGCTACACAACTGATTGAAACGGTTGTTCAAGCGAATCCATCATTCACTAGTCATTTCTTATTAAATCTTGCTGAATTAGAATATCGAAAACATTGTTGGAAAGAAAGTGAAGAGAAATTATTAAAAGTATTAGAATATCAACAAATGGTAATAATTTTGATTATATCATTGTTATTATTATTATTATTATTTATTTATTTATTTATTTATTTATATTAAATTATAATATTAATTATAATATTTTATTTTTTAGGTTCAAGTATTTCAAAAAGAAACAGCTCAAGCGAAATTATGTTGGGGAGATTTTAAATGTCGGGAAGGTGATTTCTTATCTAGGCGAAGAGGAGGGGGAGGAAGAAGAGGAATTGATTTTGATGATTCTAATTCTAATTATCAAGATCAATGTGATCAATGTTATGACTTGGCAATTGAATATTATCAACATGCTAATGAAATAATGAATGATATCATGAAATATGAATTCATTTCAAATATTGAAAGAATGGATTCTACAAAGTATATATATATATAATTATAATAATGATAATAATAATGGTGATGATGACGATTATGATAATGATAATAATAAAAATATTATATATTAATCATTTATTAATTTGGATTCCATATGTATTCTTTTAGTGTATTTCAAATACCAAGGTGTAGGAAATTATTATCTAATCAGATTTCATCTCCCATGTCTAAAGAATCAAATGAAGGTGAATATTTTTATTATTTATATTGTTTATTACTTATTATTTATTTTTAAAGTAGAAAGAAGAATATTAATTATTATTAATCTTATTGATTTTTTATTTTTTTATTTATTCTTATTTAATATAGATTCGATACAATTTGAATGTCTTTTGCTTTCAAATATGAAATCTGAGCTTTATCAACATCAAGGTTTTTTTTTTCAAAAATTACATCGCTCTCTCTCTTTCTATATATGTATATATATATACATATATTGACTTGAAATATTAATTAAAAGATATTTAAAAAAAAATATATTTAATGAAAATAATTTAGGTTGGTTATTAAGTAAAAGAGGAAGTTTAGATGAAGGTCTTAATTTAATTGAACTTGGAAGAATTTCAAATCAGTCACGTTTAGAAAAGGTTTGTTATCATAATTATAAGAATTATAAGAGTATACAATACATTAATATACAATAATAATACTCTCTTTTTTTTAGGCAGAATATTTTCATTTCTTGGGTAAAGCCAAGATTTTGAATTTCACCAACATGCTTTTGCAACAGAATCGTTTGATATTTGAAAATATTCAAGACTCGGGTAAAAAAAATTTTTTTTAATAAAAATTATTAATTCGATTACAACTTATATTAATTTTATTTTATTTTATTTTTATTATTTATTTTTATTACTTATTATTATTTAGTACTTTCTTTACCTTTATTTACAAAATTAATCAAACCACGGAAATCTCGTAAAGCCAATTTATCACAATCAACAAAAGAGAAGAAAATATCAATAAAATTATTAGAAGAAGTTAATCAAGCAATCGATTATCTTATAAATGTTTATGATCTTTCATATGAATGTGGATTAACTCAAACTCTTCAAGAAACTGGTTTATACATAACGAGAGCGAATATCATTAATGTCTATTTACAAAACCAATATAATATTGATCAAGTTGAAATTGCTTCCATTTGTGCATTCTATTTAGGTAAAAATTCAATCATTAATGTTTTTTAGATAATATTTATAACATAATTTATTATTCATAATTTATAATTTAATATATTTATATAGAGATGACAAGGGCTCTTACTGCCAAAAGAGAAATGACAGCATTATTCAATGAGAAATTAAAACTTCCATTTTCTAATGATGATTCACGATGGCCACAACAATTTATAAATCCCACAAGTTATCAAAGTGACAATAAAGATGATAATGATGACTCATTAGTGGATGAAGAAACTAAATCTCGAAAAGATTTTATCAAGACTTTATTAATGAAATATGAACAAGAAAAAAATTTAACATATAAACAATTTCATACGGAATTTTTGGATATACTGCCATACAATTGGACAGTTTGTTCAATTTCAATTGATATTGAAACTAATGATATGTACGTTTGTCGATATCGTCAAAAGATTTCACCTTTATTATTAAGATTACCTTTAAAACGTCAATCAAGTAGAGAAGAATATTGTAACACCACCAGTAATTTCAATATTAATAATTTTAATGATGATAATGATGATATTAATAATTATAATAATTATGAAGATGAAGTTTGTTGTTTCTCATATGATGAAGTTATCAAGGAATTTAATACCATATTAGAATTAAGTAATCAAAGTATGAAAATTGATAAAAATGAATATCAAAACAAGCGGGAGAAATTAGAATGGTGGAAAGAAAGAAAACAATTGGATGATAGAATGAAATTATTACTTGAGAATATAGAAAATTTTTGGTTTGGAGGTTTTAAGGTAATTAACTCTTATTTATTTTTATTTAACTTTATTGACTTTATTGATTTATTGATTTTATTTATTTTATTTATTTTATATTCATTATTAATCATTTATACATATTTTATATTATATTATATTATATTTTTCAGGGAATATTAATGACTCATACCCATGAAAATCCAAAATCATTTTCATTCTTCAAAGAGATGATAAATAATCTGATTTCTAAGAATGAAATTCGTAAAACATCATCACCATCACCGTATAAAATGAATAATAATAATAATAATAAACAATCACAACTTGAAATTGAAGAAGAATTATATCGATCTTTTCTTCGTCTCGGTATAAATGTTACAGATCAAGATATAGAAGATATTATTTATTTTCTAGTGGATGTATACAATAAATGTAATGATCAACAAATTGGATATGACGAAATTGATTGGGATCAGGTATATATCCATATATAAAAGAAATTAATTTTTGATTTAAAATAAAATATTAATGTTAAAATATTTTTTTATAGCTTACTGAAGATTTTCGAGAAATACTCTCAAATGTTAATGATTCTTCTTTCGAGGATTTTGATGATCAACATATTATTCTAATTCTTGACAAGAATGTACAAATGTTACCTTGGGAAAGTTTACCATGTTTACGAAATCAACCTGTTTCACGATTACCTTCTTTGTCATTTTTAAGAGATCGAATTTTATCAATTCAACATCAAAATATTCCCCATAACATCAATACCAATACCAATAATAATCATCAAAAAAACCAGCAAAATAAACAAAATATTGAAAATATCGAATTTTTAAATCATGTGGTTGATAAAAATAAATGTTATTATGTTTTAAATCCAAGTCAAGATTTAAAAAATACTCAAAAGGAATTTGAAACTTTTGTAAAAAGGTAATTTTTTTTTTTTGTTAATAATTTAATAATTAGAAAATAAATAAATAAATATAAATATAAATATATATATATTTATACTTTTTATTAACTTTCAATTATAATAATCAAGTTTTCAAAATTGGGATGGAGTTATTGGACATTCTCCTTCTGAACAAGAAATTAAAAATGGATTATCTAATCAAGATCTTTACATGTAAGCAATAAATAATAATAATAAATATGAATAATAATAATTATTATTATCATCAAATTGAATTTATTTATTCATTTATTTTTAGATACTTCGGTCATGGATCCGGTGAACAATATATACGGAGTCATTACATTCGAAGTTTGGATCGATGTGCTGTAACTTTATTATTAGGTTGCAGTAGTGGTCATTTAAAGAATGGTGGTGAATTCGATCCATCGGGTACTGCATTAAGTTATATGATAGCAGGCTGGTTAGTATTATTTTTTTTTCTTTTTGTTTAAAGAAAAAAAATATTTCTTCTCGCTCGATAAATAATTTAATATAATATTATTATTATAGTCCGGCTTTAGTTGCTAATCTGTGGGATGTTACAGATAAAGATATTGACCGATTTAGTAAAGCTCTTTTTAAAAATTGGGAATTAAATCCGAATGAGAATGAGAGTAAGAAGGAAAATGGAATTTCTTTGGTTCAAGCTGTATCAAAGTCAAGAAATGAATGTGTGCTGAAATATTTGATTGGTTCAGCGCCAGTAGTTTATGGAATACCTTGTTATTCGACATAATAGAATATTGTAGTATTATTATAAATGATTTTTTTTTTTTGTTTTTTTTTTTAATGTATTAGAAACAATTATCTAGCATGTATTAACATCAAATCTCCTTTATTACTATTATTACTATGTATGCTAAACAAAAATAAAACTGATTAAAATTTTTAGATACTTGATAAATTTAAATTTGTAAATTTTATTTATTAAAAGTTCCCATCACATTTCGATTTATCTATCATTAGCAAAACATTGAATATGATCTTGATAGGATGTCTCCTCTTTGTACGGTCTTGAAGCCTTATTTCACTTAGTAGTACATGTGACTTTTGCATATCAATACTAAACGAATTAATTTCACATGACTAAAGTTGTCTCAAATCTGCTGAGGCCATGAAAATCATAAAATTTTTACTTTATATATATAGTATGCCCTAAAGAAATATGTTATTGGTTTACTTTTTTTTAGATTTTTCCTTTTTAAGATGTTGATAGGTTTTAAAGTGATGCAGTTTTATTGTTGAGTATAGACTTCCGGCACCATATAAATGTAAATTTTGTAAATTCAGCAGGAATTTCCGAAAACATTACAAAATTTTCACAAAACTTAAAAAAACTTGCGAAAATATTATAAAAATTTCTTGATGTATTATAATTCACCCCTGAGATTTATAAATAAATTTGATAAAAAACAGCTTTCGGATACTTTTAGCAGGTTGATGTATATAAATCTTGTTATATTCTTAAAGACAGGTTATGCTTATACGCGTACAAGTAAATTTTGCCTATTACGGTTCGAATCCAAAATTGACTTGTGCAACGATATTGACCAAATTTTTCTTAACTGGGTATCTTTTGCAAAAAAAAAGGAAATCTTGGAATAATCAGGATTATAAGGAACTACTGAAAATTTGAATTTGCAAAGCAGAAATTGCTATTTAATCTAATGGTTTTTACAGTTGCTGAAATATGTGAGAAAGGAAGAAACTTTTAGTATTTATGGTTTTGAATGGTACTGCACGATTGATTTTTTTTTTTTGATATCAGTGTATACTGGCTCGCCAAAATAATTTAACAAAAATAAAAAGACTGCTTATTAGAAACAAATAAGTAAATAAGTAAATGAATTTTTCGGGATTCCTATTCCTTAGTTTCACTAATATATCGTATTGCATATATGTTTCATTGTTTAGTATTTCATCATCATTTGCATTATAGCATTTTTATTATATAGAATAGATTTATTTATTTTGAAGGATAGGAATTGAAAAGAGTTTATAACTTATCAAGTCAAATAGATGAATTCCTAGACATTAATCATCTAGACAATCTTTTGAATCTTCAGTATATCTATATATTAATGATTCATATATAGTATTTAAATTTTATTATATCATTTTATTTTAAATGTTGAATAAAGTTAATTATGAAATATATTATTTTCTTATAGCAAAAATAATAACAATAAAAATATGCTTTTTATATGTATATTTTATAATAGCATAATATAATACGATTACATTAGAAATTATTATAAGCTATTATTTACTGTATTTATATATTTTATATGTTAGAAACCATTAAATTTTTTCGTTGTTAGATTTTCTTGGAAGACATGCGTATTGATTTTATCATTCTCCATTCTCCAATATACTATAAATAGTATATTATATATTTTATATTTCTATTTACTTTATTTTTTTATTCTTTCTATTATAATTAATATTTAATATTCTTGCATAATCCCACTTTCATTATATAGCAATGTATACACCATTAAAAACGCGACTAGGAAAACACCTCTTCCGAAAATGATAATAGCAAAACGCAATCTTCCGAGAAAATCTAACAACGAAAAAAAAAAAATTGTAATAATTTACCAATTGACCAGAAACCAGTGAAAAATGCATAAAACATTAAGGATAATATAACAATTCGAAGGTAAGAAGGTAATGTAAGATAAAAACTGGGAAGTTGGGGAAATAATAACGAGATTGCATTGGGCAATTGAGTCATTATGAAATTGTATATGTAATTTTCTATATCTGATTTTTTTTTTTTTTTAAAAAAAAAAAATGATGATTTAAAAAAGTCAGTAATGAAAACAAAAACAAAAAAATAATGATTTAATTGTTTCAAAGAAATTTTTTTACCTTGCCAAGATACTATAACTTCATTTACATTATCTATAATTAATAAATAAACAAAAAAAAATGGTGAATTAGCGAATTAGAAGAAACATCGGGTTAAATAAGATAAATAATAATAAAATTATTAATATTAACTGATATATGCTCCAGGAATTTTAAATTCCGATAAAGATTCATCATTTATATAGTTATCGGGTGTCGATATAAAAGCTCTATCTTCCATATCTTCTATATATATTGAAGGTCGTCTCGATAATAGTGATACAAATTCTATTATATTTTTATAAGATAAAAATAAATATATATATATATATTGTAGATAAATGTTATTAAAGTGTAAGAGAGAGAAAGTGTTAGATATTAAAGATAGATATTAATATTAAATACCGAAAATATCTTTAGAATCTAATTCTACGTGACAATTAAAACCGTCGGAATGATCTATATAAAGAAATAATATTTAATTAAATTAAATTAAATAAATTAATTAATTATAAATTACACAATGTAAATATAGTAATATAATGAATGACATACGAATTCGTGCACAAAATGAAACCATTTTATAATAGGTTTCCGATGAAAAATTTTCTGGATCCGGTAAACTTGGAAAATCTAAATGTCGTCTATGATACACTGCTTCTGGATGTATCCAAGTAATACCTTCTTTAAATTTTCTTTCATTATCAGCAATATGAAATTCTTCGGCAATATCAGAAGATGGTTCATTACATACATCTAACCACCATTGTACCCAAAGTGAAACTTCTTCTGCTTCAGGTCTATTCTCAATTTTAGCATCCCAACAACTTTTAATTAATTTAGACAATGATTTTGGAATACTTTTACCCATATGTGGTCTTAATCCACAACAAATTCTTTGAGCCAATAATTTATCATGAGCGTTACTATCAAATGGTGGTCGTTGAACAGCTATTTCCCACATTATTACTCCTAAACTATATACATCAGCTGCTTTAGTAAATGCATCTCCCCTTAATACTTCGGGAGCAACATAAGGCAATACGCCATATACACCGGATAATGTAAGTGAATCTTGTGAATCTTCAATTGGGTTTAATTCGGTAATTAAAATTGAATTCATTTGTCGTCTTAAATTTCCTGTATGAAGACATTTATGAAGTGAACCACTATCATGAATTCGTTGAAGAGTAAAAGCTATATTCGAGATAATTTCTAATTTTGTTTTCCAATCGTATTCGGGAAATGGTTGATCTTTATATAGAAAACTTTTCAAGTCTGTTTCTATACATCGAATTACTATTGCATAATCTTTAGTTTCGGGATGTTGCGTAATTCCATAACATCTTATTAATCCATTTCGACCATTTTGATGAGCCAGGAGCTATTATAAATAATTAAATAATAAAATTAATAAAAATTTTAATAAAATTAAATAAATGAATTTAATAAAATAATAATAATAATAAAAAAAAAAATTAATAAATTATAAAATTAATTTTACCTCATTGAGAAAATCGGGAATATTATTTGATAAATTCTGAAATACTTTAACAGTAAATTCAGTACGAGCATCACATCTTCCCCAACTTTGTAAATTATTATCCCAATGAGTTATATAACCATCTAACCAAGTAACATTATAAGATACACCAAATTTTCCTAATCCTATTCTTTTAATGTTTTTAAATCTTTCCCAAGGTATCCATTCTAATACTTGACTACATCCAATAGCAGTTATTTGAGTGTTCAAGATGAAATTATCAATGTCTTCATTTCCACTTGTCCAACTATGAAATTTTTTACTTGATTTAAATTTTTCGGAATTACATTGTTTACACCATCTAGCACTTGTCTTGGGTGATTCACATTCTTTACAAATACCATAAACAAGATGATGACGTTTTTTTAATTCTAAATCATCACTGACAATAGAAGATTTCGATGATGATGTATTATGAGAGCTGAAACCTCCACTACTGGTACTACTTTCTCTACTTGATGAACCACTAGTTGGTCTGGAGTCAACTTCCATTTTCTATTTTATTTTATTTAAAATTATCAGTTCATCGAAAATAATCGAAAATAATTATCAAAATAATAATCGAAAATAATCAGAAATTAAGTAAAGAATATATATATTTTTTATTTTTACATAAAATGAAATGATAAAATAAATAAATGATATTATAAGTAAGGAGACGAATTAATTGTTTCAAGAAAAGAAACAATGAACAGATATTTTTACGTTTATTATTTAGAGACAAAAAGTAAAAAATAGAAAAATAAAAGAAAATAAAAAATTATAAACGCGTATAAAAAGGTATGTTCATGTTCATGGTGTCCATTTTGTCTGCTATTTGGTAAGACGAAAAAAAATTTTTATTAAAATATTATTTAAAAAAAACAAGGTATTATAAGTAATGAAAAAAAAATGTAATGTAATTTAAAGCTCCGATCCCTGGTCCTACCCCTGAAGTTATTAAAGTTGGTAGAAGAATTATTATAATTGGTTCATATTGAAACACCAAATATAAACAATTAATAAATAATATAAAACAATTAAGCTAATTTGGATAAAATTAAATTAAACAATTCCTAATTTGGTAATAAAAGATTTCTTAATTAACGATAAAACCACTCATAATAATTGTTACTCTCAATTTATTTTTTATATTATTCTGAAGTATTCTTAATATAAAAATCTATTTATTACTATTGTTATTATTGTGTACTGTAAGAGGGATATTCAAGTCCACAAAGTTAAAGACGTTAAAATATTACTTTAAGTATCAGGCGAAATTAAATGAGAACTGATGCAAAAAAAAAAAAAACTAAAATTTCGTATTCAAATATCTAAATATGTACATATATAATGTCAACATATTGCTGCTGCTACAAATATTCATTTTTAATCAACGTTACGAAGACGAAAACCAATCAAATATTTATCTCTAATTTCCTTGGATCCCGTTTCTAGCGAACTGGTTACAAAAGAATGCCGGATAAAATGATCTGACACATTTCAGCAATGGAATTATGTCTAATAATAAAATAACAAATAATAATAGAGAAGTATAAAACTTTAATAAAAGGTTTTAATTACGATAAATTTAAATATTAACTTATTATCAAATAAATAATTCCCGTTGTAATCAATGCTGGGAATGTAATAACTACTATTGTCACCTTAAAACGAAATCCGTCGTTGTAAATTTAATATTTAAATTACGAACACCACGGTTCACCAACTAAAAATTAAAAAAAAATAAAACTTACATCGTTAATAAACTGTGTATACTTATTAATATTAGGTCACACTTAAGTGAAACCAATCTTATAAATTAATAATAACAATTAATGAATCACGAATAATATATATTACAGTTGGGAATCACTAGGTGGAACTGCCCCTCTAATTTTTATTGTTACAAAAATTCTTTATCACGAATATAAATCATTCAGGATCATGAGACTAAGGAAAAATGACAACCATGACAATCATATAATATTCTTTATAAATTATCAATGGATCGGAATTCCCCGAATTCAATTACAAATAAAGTAATTAAATAAAAATAAATAAAATACTAAAAATATCGAGAATGTTAAAAAAATAATAAATAAATTTTATGTACTAATTATTATTTTTTATTAAATACTTTATTTATTTTTCGTAATAATTATTGTTTAATAATTAATTATTCTTAAATATTAATAGTGCCGAATTCAAAAAAGGAAATATTAACAATAATCACTATTAGTAATTATTGTTAATATTTCCTTTTTTGAATTTCGGTAGGGAGATAAAAGAAAACAAAAAAAACGAGAATTTAAACGTACCTCCCTAGGGGAGGCAAAAGTAAAACCACAAACATATCATATAATCAATTATTCTACCAAGTTGAGTGCCTAAATTTTTTAAATTAGACTTTTATTTTAAATTTTTGATTGGCCAAAACAAGTATTAAACGAATAAACAATTCATGTGATTTACATGTACCAATAATATCACTTACATGTGACTTACATTTGTATTTATTGTATACATCGAAAAATTTTATATTTTTATTATTCAATAATGTAATTATAATATTTTTAAAAAAAATTCTACAAAAAAAAAAAAGAAAAAACTCCCAAATCGAAAATCAAATTATAATATGAATAAAAATAAAAAATAAGAATATCTAGAAAAAAGAAATTATTATTCGCTAATTACATGTGATAAAGAAAAAAAAATTTTTTAAAAATATATCAAATGTATCAAATATATCAAATATTTACAAAACAATGATATTCACATAGAAGCAAACATATTGCAATTATTAATTGTTGATGTTGCTGTTGTTGATGATGATGATGGTGTTGCAGTTGAAGTTGCAGCTGCGGCAGCTGCCATTGATGTTGTGGTAGATTTTAAAGATTGAAAATACTCCGACCAATCCGTTACTTCTGTCCAATCGATAGCTGAAGGAAGTGATAAAAATGGATTATTATCACCCATGGGATCATCTCCATCAAATAAAAGTGATGATACATCGGAAGAAAATGCATCAGCATTTGGTACAAAAAGCGAATTATTGGGAGAAATATCTGAAATATTAAATTCATTATTATTGAATTGCATAAATCCACTTCCAGATGATGATGTGGTTGATTCTGGTGAATTACTTTGATCATAATTCATTGTTATAGAAGAATCATTATAATGATTAACATTATTAATGTCAACCATTTGTTGTTGTTGTTGCCTCATGGCTATATTATATTCTTGAATTGTATGTGAATTATGTTGCGTTTGTTGTGGTGATTCACGTGGTGATGCATGTGATGTATTGGATAAAGGTGGTGATGGTGCGAATGTTACTCGTGGCATGTCTAACGAACTTGAACTACTATCATGTAATCCACAAATCATATCTTCTATATTTACAAATTTCTTTGATGATTTATTCTGTAAATCTATATTTTGATCACCAATATCAATATCAATATTATTATTATTATTATTACTATTATTATTATTATTATTATTATTATCAGTTGCACCATTAATTCCATAAAGATTAATATTTTTATCTGCAATTAATTCATTAAATATAAGTATCACTTTTTCAGTAGCAAACCAATATGGTTTTAAAAATTCTAAACATTTTAAAGTCATTCTTAACCCATGTTTCGCTACTTCTCTAAATCTATCATCACCACTTAAAGCGTTTATAATATGCATTGTGGCTGCAGTAAAGAAAGGAAAAGCTGCATAATTCCAATTAACTCTTAATGATCCGTCTTTCATTGATCGATATAATATATGTGTAATATTATTAGCTGCCATAGTACATATTGTAAGCGAAGGAATTGATGAAGGTGGTGCTTTAGATTTTGGTCCACGAATATGAGGTCGATGTAAAAGAATTTGTACAGTATAATAAATTAAATGCATAAACATTTTTCTATTACTTTCAATATCTCCAAATGACATTGTTGAATCATATTTAAATTCTTGTGGTATATTGTCATGCCATTCATTTAATTCGGCATCCAAAGTTGCTAATACTGAATCATTATTACCATTTAAGGTTTTAGTAGCTTTAATTCCATAGATATGTGAAAGAACTCTACCCAAAATTGTAATAATTTTGATCATTTCAACAAATCCTTTAACTGAATTTGGAGGATCGTCAGATAATATTCCCGTGACGGGAAGGTGAACATCAAAATCTGCATCATTTATTCCAAGTGGCTAAATAAAAAACAAATAAAAATATTAATAAATATTAATAAATATTAATAAATATATATATTATGTATAACATGATAAATAAATAGTAATACAAACCCTTCCTAAAGCGGCGCTAACACACCGATCAACTACAACACAAGACCACCAAACTCGTCTTCGAACTTCAGATTGTCTATCATCCAAATTCCATTTAGCCGAATCACGATGTAATCCCATATCTTGAGCAAGACGAGTAGCCAATCCACTATATAACCAAGTAGTTGAATTTTTGGCTCCTTGTTGATGACCAGTTAATATTAATAATGCTTGAATTGTAGGTATAGTTGCATTATCAAATTCATCTTTAAGTAATTCTTTGGCTTTTTCGAAGTATTCAGTACCTAAATTAATTAAATGTTTTGAAATGGTTGATCGAACAAAAAATTTAAATATCAAGCAAAAATTAACAAACAAGCAAACAAACAAGTAAAAAAGACAAAAAAATTACCTGCAGTAGAAGGTGCATCCGGATCACTTCGTACCGCTGGATTATCCACAAATCTAGCCGCCACCGCAAACATAGCGTAAAGTAATATTATATGTGTATAATTAGTTTCCAAATTATTATATTTTTCCATAAAATCTTGTTTATCAATGAAAGGCATGTAAGGATGAATCTCTCTCCAAAAAGTATCTAATAATAAATCACATAATTCTTTAGGTGGTAATTCTAATGTCATATCTGGTGCAGCGATTCTTCGAGTTGAAGGTGTATGCCATTCTCCTCTGGGAACTGTTATCATTTGTCCATGAGTAATTTTTTTGGTGAATTTTAATAAAAATATTCCTGAACTATTTCCTAAATATCTAGTATGACCTTTTTCATCTATAGCTAATTGACCCATACTATCATTTAAATCATATTGTGATCCATTATATTCATTACTATCACTTGATAATCCATCATCTGTATCACTATTACCATAAAGTGGTAAAGGTGAAAGTGGTGGCAAAGATGTTATTGATTTATTATTATTATTAGATCTTATTAAACTTTTATATTCTGCAGATGATGATATGGCAGTGTGAGTATTGGTAGAAGATAATGATGTTGGCAATGGTTCATAAGAACTTGATTTTCTTAAAGAATTATTATTAATTCTATTATTATTATTATTATTATTATTATTATTATTACTATTATTATTATTATTATTATTATTTTTATTATTAGAATCTTGAAATGATTTAAAATTACTTTCATTAACATTAATCCATTCAAGATTTGAATTAATTGTTCCTTCTGGTAAATCTCCGGATTGTACTAATCCTCCAAGAATAGATTCCATTCGTTGAAGTCTGGTTTCCAAGGCTTCAATGTAACCTTTTGGTGGACCTCTTTTTTTTGGTGCATCAATAAAGGAACTACAAATAAAATAATAGATTATTAAACCAAAATAATAACAATAATAATAATATAATATAATAACAAAAAAAACAACAACAACAATAATAATAATAATGATTTATGAATGAACCAATTTACCATTCATATCCATAAGCTTTACAATTAGTACAGGATGGAGGATCGGAACCAGGTTGAACACCATCGCAACGTACTTTCTTTCTTCTACAAGTATCACAAGCTCTTGCTACTCTTCGTCGTTTGAAATTATTTGATTCTTCGCTTGACATGATGATTTCTATATTATGTATTGATTTACGTATTGATTAATGTATTATTTGTTGCGTATTGATTATGGTTTTGGTAAAGATAAAAAAAAAATAATAATAATGTTGTTTTGATAATAATTTTTTAAACTGATAAAAACGATAAAATTACGGAGATATTTATATCCTTTTAAATGATATTTAAGTAAACAATTAAAATTATTAAATTATTATGAAAAAAAAAGGCGATGTTTAATTTAAAAAAAGAATGGATCAACAATAAAAGGATCAACAACAAAAAGATCTAGGAGTAAATAATAATTATAATTCTTTAATTATTATTATTATTATTGTAATAATTCCTTGAATTATTCGAGTAATTTACTCGTAATAATTATTCGTAATAAAGTATTCGTAATAATTATTCGTAATAATTATCTGTAATAATTATTCGTAATAATTCCGTAATAATTATCCGTAATTATTACTCGAGAAGTAAATATTCAAGAGAGAGAGAGAAACAACGAATAAAAATAAAATTGATATTAAAATAAAAATAAACTCGTGTTTGTCTCTAATAAATTTAAATGTATATTAGATATATATATGGATGTATATATATATGGATGTATATATATATAGATGTATATATATATATAAATATGAAAGAAAAAACCGTTATTTCAAACTATTTGATATATTTTTTAAGATATTTATTATATGTGTAATATATATAAATGTATAAATAGGCTCAAATAATATACTCAAATATGTTCAGTGAAAAAAAAATAAAAATAAAAATAATGTGTTTTCTATTCGAAAGTGTAGGAAAAATATGCTTGATATATATAGTTTTTTTTTTACAGTTATTTACATATTGTGTTACAACTTTTATACGTCCGACTTTATTATCCATTTTATACTTCAATTCTATTCATTCAATTCATTTGTTAACTTTATTATTACCTGCTAAACTTATTATTATCTACAGTTTAATTTCATTAATATAATCACCATTATTATTATTTTTATTATTACTTCTATTCTATTAATACTTTGAAAACTACTAAGAATTCCGAAAAAAAAAAATTAACCTGTTTCCAAAATTCCGAAAAATATATTATAAAAAGACTCTTTCCCGATGTTGTTAAAAAAAAAAAAAACTCAAGGATAAATGACCGCAGTTATATATCAAATAGCAAAATATCAAAGAAACAAAGAATCAATTAAAAAAAACGAGAAAAACAAGATTTAAACAAGAAAATATATAAATAAGAATATATAACAAGAATATACAAGATATCAACTATTTGCATCATAATCGTCATGCTTTTGTCAATAAATCTCGACACCCTGTGACAACAAAAAACATTCGCTTATCTGTTATTGTTTATTAGACAAAAGGAGAATATTAAAGTGTGTTTGTGGGTGTACGTGACCGAATATTTTATTCATTATAAATATTATATGTATACATATATATATATGAATATATAAATAATTTATTACTAAAGGACATAGACATAATAACACGAATATTTTTGAAAGTACTTATAAAAAGATTTATTGCTGTAAAAGAATTCTATAATTTATTAATAAATTTTAATAACAATAATTAATGGCTAATGTTTAAAAATTTCTTCTTTAGGATTAATTTTTTTTTTACGAACCAATAAAATATATATTTATGTAGAAAAACGCAGTATTTGTGAAACATTTAATTAGGTAGAAGAGTTTTAAAGATCAACTATATTAATCTCTTTAAGAACCTTCAAATATGTACCCGTTTATTCTTTTAATTTCAAAAAACCTAAAATTTTATTGGTAACCTCTTTTTTTCTAAATTATATTAATGAATTAATTAAAATTAATCAATTTTAAAGATCTTCGAAATCACAAATAATTTCGAGCTTTACCTTTATAAGAAGAAAAAAGTTGTAAACCTTGATGAATTCATTCTAACAATTAAATTAGGATATATTCCTATGACCTCCCAATAGAAGGGATCAGTGAACTGTCTGTGCTTCTTGTCCTTCCTTCCTTGTCTGATTGTTTTTTTTTTTTATTTTATACTTTTTATCTATTTGTTGCCTATATTTTGTCTCTTGATCACATAGAGATGTAATAGATGTGAATAAAGATGTAATATTTCACTAATTTCATGCACAATTTATTAGTTACATTGAACGATTGTAATAATAATAATATAATAATAATGACGATAATGATAATAATAATAAATATATATTGCTATTAATAATAATAACAAAAAACAAAACAATTAATGAAAGGTAATAATAATAATATAATAAAAATAAATATACCAATAATAAATATACAGTAATAATAATAAAAAAAATCGACGGAAAATTGTCCCCTTGCTTAGAATGCTGGGGAAGGAATTTTGGATTATTAATATTCTCTGCATAATCGAGTTACCATTTTTATTCCTTGTTTAATTAATAATAACAAATAATATAATAAAAAAAATATTCGAAAAACACGGAAGTAATCTTGAACATTAATCGGGGATAAACGTTACACACATTCGGTTATATTAGATAATATAATTATAATCTTATATAATATTTGTTGTACATGAAACGCACGATACAAAATGTGTAATCCGAATGTACAAAAAACATATGACTAAATCATTTAACTTTTTTAATACAGAATTAAGTATAATTAGTAAAGATTACTTGGCAAAAAAAAAGTTAAAAAAAGAAAAAGCTCAGTAAATTTGAATATACTATTTTACAATTTTACAATAATTTGAATATTTACTATTTTTACAATAATTCACAATAATTTACACCATTTTACAATATTTTACAACAATTTATTTTCTTCTCAAAAGATTACTAATGAAAGAAATTTTTCTCGAAAGAGATTACTAATAATGAAAGGAAGGAAGAGATTACTAATAATCAAAATCTTGTTTGACCTGTTAAGATTACCAATCACGCATTTAACGTTACCAATGAAGTTTTTATCAATAAAAATTATAAACAATTAAAACTCGTTTTTATAATAAAATACGTCATTCGTATAATTAAATGTTGTTCGTTGGTTCAATCAAAAAAAAAAAAAAAAAAAGACCAGAACAGTCTATAACTGTCTAATTTATACACGTATTTATAAGTACCAGGTACGTAATTGTAATATTGTTTTGAATTTTCTTTTTTCGGAGGAAAAGTTCATTTTAAATAATAAATGGGTTACAAATACTTTTTTTCTCACATCTACTGACTTATTTTGAATGTACGTAATGTATGTGCATAAGATTGCACAGAATGTATTGATATTTCGACACGTTATATACTCGGTATGCAGTTAATCTTCCCTGTCATTTTTATTTTTTATCTTTCATTCTGATTAGAGAAAGGGTAAAAGTGGTGCCGAATAATTTAACCGTATTTTTATTTATTTTGATTAATATTTATTTTTTTAATATTTAAGAGTTTTCCAATTTGGAAATAATTATAATAATTCTGGATAATGACGTTCACCAACATCACGATGTGAGCTGCAATATTTAGCGTGAAAAATTTTTTTAAAAAAAGAAACAATGAAAAAAATATATTATTTTTTTTAAAATAAAAATTATACATTACGTGATACGATTTCGAAGTACTCCCTCACCAACATTCTTCGAGAGGAATTCCCTGTAAGCTGTTGAATCAGCTATACGTTTATACAATACGATGGCGAATTATAGTTATTACTGTATTTATAGAACTTTATATTTGATAATTCGATTTAAAAAAAAAAATGCTAACCATCTGACACGACGTCTTTTCGTGCCATTTTTTTAATTTCTTCAGGAACATCTAATTGTTTAAGAACTACTTCATCTGATAACATTTGAAAGAAAGGAATACTTTATTTTTTTTTGAAACGAATAATAATAAAAAGTTTAATTAAATTTTTAATTTTATTATTATAAAATAAATTGTCCATAATAATAATGTGAATAATGTTACCTTATTCTTGGATTAGAACCAGGAGATGGGTTTAATACTCTATGCGTAGTAGCTACAGTGACTCCTCCAGTAACTCCTTCTAAGCCCGTACCAATATTTACAACAAAAGTATTATCAATGGAAGGAACATTGATCCAATCTCCCGAATGATTTTGTACTTGTAAACCCAATGACTAATATTTTTGTTATTTTAAGGATTTTTCATAAATTTTTTTTATATAATATATTTAATATATTTGAAAACTTACATCATTTACTTGAAGGAGGAAAGTAAGCCAAGGATCTTTATGTGGCCCAACACCTTGTATTCCATCCTCTGGATCTAAAGCATCTTGTGGTGGATACTTCACGAACTAATAACATTATTGAATAAAACATTATTGAACATAGAATTACAGAATAAAACATTATTAAATAAAACATTATTGAATAAATGATGAAGTAATAAAATATATATATCTCTCTTTGCCTTTAATCTATTCATTTGTTGATCTGGAGGATCCAAAAATTGATCTAAAGCATCATAAGGTAATTCCAAACTTAAAGAAATTAAATGTACAAATTCCCGAGAAAATTCAGTCATTTCTTTGATAAACGTTTGCAAAGTTCGTTTAAATTCCGGAATATATTTTTCATCCGGCCATTGATTTGGTCCTTTCAGTTTTCGGTATAATGGATCACCTTCTTTCCACCTGCAAGGACTATCCATCATATAAAAAGAGATATATATATATATAAAGAAGTTTAACTTTGATAATATAATAAAAAAAATAATAATGATGATGATTCTTTTTTATAAAGTCATTACGTTACATTTCGGTTGCAAAATCAAATTGTTCACGATTATCTTTTAAGTTAAGGGTACGTTCCATCCCTTGACAATTATATCCAAGAAAATGAGGGGAATTTTTCATTTCGATTCTAAGTTTTTCATCCATTGGAAGATCAAATAGTTTCTTTGAATACCATTTGATTTCGTTAACCTTTCGTCATCATTGAATAGAAAAATATGTAAAAATCAAAAATTTTAAAAATTTTCATTATTTCAAATTTATTTTGTATTCATTTTATATTATTATAATTATTATTATTAAAAATAAGTAAATAAATAAATAGTAATACCTTGGAAATTGGTGCATTTTTGACATATAGAAATCCAACATTAATTATAGCATCACGAAGTTGTTTCAGAAATTGATTATTATGTTCAATATTATGAACAAGATTATAATCCAAAATTGGTAAACTTGTAAAATCCATATATATAAACTATTTTTATAATAATTATTTTTATAATAAATTTTTTTTATAATAAAAAGAAAAAGAAAATTTCTTTGAGAATCAAAAAAATGATCAAAAAATTTTTTTATATATTTAATTTTTTTAATATGTATTATGATTATTATTATTTAATTATTTACCAACCGAAATAGAAAATCGATTTAGCTTTCTTTAGTTATTTTCGAATGGCTCAGTACACAACTCTATTCAACTCTACTCATAGCCTAGTTGAACGTATTGTGGAAAAAATTTCTCATACATTTAAAATTCGTTTTATTTACTATTTATAGAAATCTTTATTTTTATGTGCATCGTATTTGGTTGGAGAAAATGAAAAAATTAGTAACAGATCATCATTAAACACAATATGTGATCTCTTGACAAATGCGCGTTCAAACTCAGAATCAAATTAATTTTATCTTCGAAACAATTATTAAAATAAATAATCAACTTTTTTAATTTTATAGAAACTCTTTGTACACCCAAAAAAGTATATATTAACATATATTAAATATGCAACTTTATTTTTTGTTCCTTTTCTTTGACCTTTTTTGAGATTTCAAGATTCGTGCAGTGAATAGAGAATAGAAAGTAGTGCAAATCAATTAATACTTTTAATTATTAAATTTAATTTATTAATTTTTAATATATACTTAGAAAGATTTGATTTCTCATTTATACTATTTGATTCTTTTGCCGTTTTCAAAAAATCATATTTGGTAGGGGTGTATTCGAAATAAGAAATAAAGATGTAATTAAGATAATTCTTGTATCGCATTTCTATTGTTTTCGGTTTATTGAGTTTACTTTCAGTTTATTTTCAGATTTATTGAGTTTATTATCAGTTTATTCCAGTTTATTATCAGTTTATTATAATATGTTTTAAAGTATTTTAAAGTGTTATTTTTTAAGGTAGTTTAAAGAAAAGATAATTGCATGTTATCAAATTATAATTGGAAAAATCCGCGTAAATTAAAATAAACTTAAAATGTTATTGCTGATAACAATAACGAAAAAACAATAACTTGATTTCTCATAATAATAATTATACGAATGCGTACTTTCATTTTATATTATTTTTTTCCCTTAAATGCTGTGTTGCTATAACATGAATGGTTACAGTTATAATTATGATTATGACAATGATCAATGATTTGATTATAATGGTAAATGATTATAATAATAAGTGATTATAATAATAAAATGTATAACTTATTTAAATAATAATAATGTAATAATAATAATGAGTAATAATAAATAATAATCCGAATATGTTAATTTTAAATAACACAGACGTGATATTTAATAATTTGTTAATTTTATTATAAATAATCTTCTCCCTCACTAATTTGATTTCAATATATGTAATATCTGATTATTTTCTGCTAATAATATTTTTTTTTATGATTTTATATTAATATTTTTAATAAAATTAATCACTTGTTATTTTGTTATTTTCAAAATATAATTTAAAATGAAATTTAAATAAAGTTTTAAAATTATGATATTAAAGGTTATAAAAGGAATTTTTATATTATGTAATTTTGATTTTATTAAAATTTATAAAATTTATAAAATTTATTAAAATTTAGGATACAATACAAATATAAAAATACAAAATACAAATAAATTAAATATTATTTATAATCATCCCAAGAAATTTAAATCGCGTAATAATCTTGATTGTTGTTGTTATTATTATAGTTATTGTTGTTGTTGTTCCTTTGTGATATATAATAATCAGAATTGGGATTGGGATTATTATTGTTATTGTTATTATTATAATTGGGATTTGGATTATTATTATTATAATTATAATTATTATAATTATTATTATTATTATTATTATCATCATTATTATTATAATTATTATAATTATTATTATTATAATTATTATAATTATTATAATTATTATTATTATTATAATTGGGATTGGGATTATTTGGATTGCGAACATATGTATATGAATCATTATTATCATTATAATCATTATAATTATTATTATTGTCATTATAATTATTATTATCATTATAATAATCATAATTATCATATGCATTATTAGTGTTGTTACGTGTTGATGTTGGAAGTGGAAGAGGAGTACTAATAGAAGTTTGATATTGTTGATATCCATGTCCAGGTAAATTGGGTGAATTATATTGTCCAAAATTATTATTACTATTAATTATTGGTTCAGGTGAACCTGTCATGATTCTAATATTATTACTATTATTGTTGTTGATTTTAATAGGATGAATGGATTGAATTGGTTGAGCAGATTGAATTCGTTCATCTTCAAATTTTGGAAGTGTTGGTTTTAATATTGTTGGTGCCACTGGAATTGAACTTTTCTTCTTTTTAAGATGACTAAAATCTCCCATTGCTTCGGCTTTTTCTTCTAATTGTCGTTGTTCTTGTCGTTTCATACTTTTCTTTTTTAATAATTCTCCAATTCTATTAGGTTTAAGTTATAATTAATTAAAAAATTATAATTAATTAAAAGTTATAGTTATAAATTAATTAAAAGTTATAGTTATAAATTAATTAAAAGTTATTGTTATAAATTAATTAAAAAGTTATAAATTACCTTTTGTCAATTTTGTAACAAAGAAATTCTTTCAAATTTCCTCTAATTTTACATAAGAGTGGAAGATATAAAAGGAATGCTATTATAAGCATGGTAGCTGATATGACAAAAATTAATAATGTGAAAGCCATTAAAGCCGTAACAAGTTGTTGAACAAATGTGTCTCCATATGTACGGAGATTGAGGTAATTTCCTGCTTTTTTTGATTGAAAAAGTGAATAAAGTGTAAATGCACTGATAGCTTGACGTGGTGCTTCGGCGAACATAAGACGTTTCCATCCCTTAAATGTAAAGAACACGAAAAATGCTATATTATCTGTTGTTTTTTTGGAATTATTTATCTGTGAAAAAAAACAAAAATGTCTATAACTTTTTAAAACATAAGATCTATATGCTATTACACTTGTAAATGCATAGGAGATGTCTTTAGATTTAATAATATTTCTGGCTTTCCTCATATCCAATCCTAATAATATAAATGATACAAAAATACATCCAACATAAATCCATTTGGAAATATAAAATGGAATTTTAGGTTGAACTGCTGAACCCCATCGATCAAAAATAAGTAAAATTCCTGCTGTCCACATATCTGCTATATAAACTGCTACCGATTTTAATACTATTAACCATACAAATAAATATTTTAATTTTCGTATACAACTTCTTTCATAAAATTCATCTATATCAACGAAATCAAATTTATGATCTTGAACGTGCCCTCTTTTCCAACTTGCTTTCGAACAACACATTATAAGAAATAATATAAATTATTATAATATAATTTAAATATATTAAAAAATATTATATTATTTATATTATTTATATTATTATAATGATATTAGAATTATCTCTATTTTTTTTTTCTCTATTTTTTCTCTTAATGAGAAAATTATATCAAGAATTTTTATTTAATAAATTTTCTTTAGACAATAATTATAATTAAAATATGTTCCAAGATTCTATCCCCAAAACGAAGTACACAGATAAGACTTTATGAAGAAAACATCGTAATATAATAATTGTAATGTAATAATTAATATAATAATTGCAATAATTGTAATGATTTTAAATAATTTTAATAATTACAAATGAAAAAATTGAAGAAATAAAATAATAATTATAATTACAAGTAATTCATATAATTTATGTAATTACAAAGGACAATACGAAAAGCTAAAACAACATAAAAGAATTTTGAAATAATTTTTTTTAAAAAAAAGATTATATTTACGGCAATTCTTTTAATTCTTTTTTGGAACACCAACCCTTGTTTAGTATTGAATTACAAAGAAATAATTTTTTTGTGGGACATTATTTATTGTAAACAATTCATCTTTAAATGTTTATCTAAAATTTTCGTCTCGATGTGAAACATTTTATTATATTTTGTTAGTACTATTTTTTTTATTTTTTTATTTTTTTAAAAAAAAATTCATATCTGTGTCATAAAGATTCAGACATTGTTCTTACATTATTCGAAACATTATTTAACAGATCGTTGTCTTGATTTTTATTTCCAGAGCTTTTACGAAGATTAGTAACACGATAATAAAGATTTTGTGTGCAGTAAATCAAACGTTATAGTTATTAATTCAACAGGTAATGTAGTACTAAACGATATTATTACTCTTAAATGGTAAAATCAACCAACGCGTTTTGAACTATGCAGTACTTCGTTAGACAGAATTTTTAAATAAAAGTTAATTTTACGTGAATAACCATCTTGAAATTTAGTGCGCGACAAAAAAATCAATTGAAGAAGGTATACATACATTATTATTTATTCTTTAATTAAATATTTCATGAAAAGATAGAACTTTAAAATAAATATATAAATAAATAAATAATAAATTAAATAAATAATAAATTATTATTTTTTGAGAAAATTTAAGAAAATCTAGATAATCCATATCTTGTACAATGATGAATAACTAAATTTATTACTAGCAAAGATTATATATAAGCCGAGATAAGAGAAAAGAAAAGGAAACTTGTAATAAAATGACATCTTAATTGCAAAAATTTATCTATTTTATATTTTTAATTATGTAAGTGATTTTAATGATCCTTGTTTAGATTTCATGAGCTTCCCATGAGTTTAAAATGGTAATATAGAGATTCTAAATGGAGAGAATGAAAATCTAACTTGCTAAATTGCTAAATTTACAGTGATGCGCAAAAAAAAAAATTAAAAAATGATCGACGAGTGTAACAATGGCCAGAATTACACAAATTAATATAGAAATAAAAGTCAAATGATCGCTCTATCGTTCTGTGAAAAAAATTTCCCATTTAATATATTTCTACCAACCGTTATAATGACCCCTCTAAACAAAAAGTACAACAGCAAATCATATTACATTTCTGGAGGCAAGGAATGCGCAATGCTACTAAAATACACTAATTAACAAAGATTCCATTTAGAACTATTTAGTGACAAAACAGTTTTTCAATTATTCCGTAATATAATCAAGCTCTGATACAAAAATGCAAAGCCAATTCGCCCTATACCAAAGGACTGAAGCCAAATATTCGCATGGGAGGGTTTTTGTGTAAAAGGCAAAGCAAGTCTTTATCGTTTTTAGGTGCATAATGGATGGAAAATTTTATACAAAGATCTTGAAAAAATATATTCCGGAGAGCCGCAGTATGTTAAAAGGTAGATGGCGGTTACAACAAGATACTGATCCTAGACACACTAGTATTATTTCCAAGGAATTCTTTAATAATAATGTCCCGAAGTTAGTGGTGGGATCCGTGGATAAATTTATCCGTCACGGATGCAGATGCAAATCAATAAAATTTGTGCAAATCGATGCACAACAAATGAGCGAATGACCTTTAAAGAATATAATCACATGTATAAATTACATATTATGTAATAAACACTATGTGTTAGCCTCCGTTTTATCCGTTAAAACACAAAGTAATTTTATCCGCGGATCGCACCACTACCCAAAGTTACGGATTGACCCTTCAATAGTTTGGATTTAAACCCCATTGAAAATCTTTGGATGATTGTTAAAAGGAACGTGGAGTTGCGTAGACCAAAAAATCTCAGTAAAATAGTTTTTTTGGGTGAAGAATGGGAAAAAATTACAAATAATCTTCTAATTGATTTTGTAAATTCAATTCCACAACGTTGTAAAGAAATTATTGAAAAAAAATGGTGAAAGAATATCATATAAATTTTTTTTTTAATAAAATCTGTCGAGTTTCAGCTTTAAAATGATATAATATACATTTTAATTGATGCAATAATCATGTAGATAACGTGATTTCAAGAATTGACATTTTTTTTTTTGTAATATGTTAATTTTAAAATATAACTAATACAAATGTCAAGAGATAAAATATTTTACAGTACAATACATGGAAGATGGAAACAAGAGAAGTGTTTCTGTAAAAATAATGATATGTTTTAATTTACATAGGATATGTTAATATTAAAATATAATTAATTATAAAAAAATTTATTACATATTTATTAATAATAGAATCTAACCAACCATTTTTTAATTATAAAAAAAAAATAGTTATCAATGTATTGCTTCATACCATAGCATATCTCTCATTTATCTCATTTATTATTTATAAAAAAAAGCCGATTAATTTATTTAATTCATGATCGTATGCAGATCAGTGAAATTATTCGGGGTGGGATAATAAGTTAAAACCTATTTTTCGTCATAAAGTCAACTTTATATTTTTATATTTGCATATAAAAATAGAACACATAAAATTACTACAAAAAACTGTAATTTTGTTTTATTATTATATTTATATTTTTAATTAATAAGAATAAAACTTTTACTTGTGGCAACGTCAGATTCCTGTGTTGATTTTTAATAGAATAACTATAACGATTTCAATATTTGACTATTTTTATTTTATGTATTATTACTTTTTAAACTCTTGCCGCTGCTTGAAAAACCTATCAATTATGACAACTTGTTCTGAAATGCAAATTTTCTACTATTACATCAGGTGAAACTAATGTAACTGAATATTTTTTATGTTTTGACATTAGAAAACGTGAGATTCTAAAAAAATTATTTTATTCATAGTTTAATTATCTAATTATCACTTATATGTAAATCAGATGATTTTCACTGATCTGCAGACGGATCACGAATTAATTAATTTTAATTCCGCATATAGGTGGTTTTATTTTCCTTTTTAATTTTTTTAATTCCCGCTAATTAAACTAAATACATATAAAGTTAAAGCCAAAGCCTTGATAATGAGTCCGGAATATCTGATTATTTGTTGGATTTTTGAAAACGATTAAAAAATAAATAAAATAACTCATCAAGAGAATCTATCTCGAGAAATTCCTGCGATTAGTTACACAAGCAATTCAAACTGACGAATCAGCAATGAGAGATCTCTTTTTCAAAAACCAGCTCTAGATATTTTTGATGTGGTTGTATAATTTATTAATGTTCAAATATAAATTAAAAAATTAAAAATTAATTATTATTTTTTAGTGATCTAGAAATAGATAATGGTTCGGATGCTTTTGTTTTTAATTTCTTACATTCTTTTATCATTCATCTACAGTAAATGCATATGATCTAATTTTAATATTATCCCAATTATTATAATATTATCCTTTACAATACCCATTAATACTATTGATATGAGATCTTCTTCTTTCAGGTTAAGAACGCACATTTGATACAATTAACTATTTTTAAATTATATTTTACTAAGTATAAATAGACATATTAACAGTAAATATTATAAATTTTAAAATTATTATTAATCATACTCATTAATTGATTCTTGAGGATAAAATGCTGCAATATGAACAAATATATTTATATTTTGGTGTTTTGAAAAAGTAAATCCAACCGCATTCACCACAAAGTTTGTTGTAAATGTTTCATTGTATTGGTCAATATAACAAATTGTTAAATTGTTGAAGAAAATTAAAAAATTAAGAAAGGATCGATTTATTTAAATATCTTACAATAATTTTTATTTTTTATTTTTTAATGTTTATTTTGAACTAAGATTTTTTTTCTTTCTTTTTTTTTTGGTGTATATGATTACAATTAGTTATTTTATTGTTTTACAAAAATGGGTTAATTTTATTTTTTTTTTCATTTACAGTAATAAGAAAATTACTATTTCACTAAAATCTTATTATCTCATGATTCTGTTGATTCTTGAAACCTCCATTCAATGAGGTAAAAATTTTTACCTCCTATTTTTTCTCAATCCGATTATGAGTATAAGATATATTATTATTTAGGATTAGGAATATTAGAAAAATGGACAGTGTGGAGGAATTTTTTAATATATATAAAAATCACTGGATTTCTGTTATATTTCATTATTTGTAATAATAGATAATTAGATGATGTTTTGCAAGACAGAATTTTTTAAATAAAAGTTAATTTTACAATATTCTCCGTTATCAAAAAGAAAAGATTGTCGCCAATAACGATTAGAATATTTACAACAAGTACAATTATTAGATTCAAAACAATCAGAATAAACCTTCATTAGTTGATGACATTAATGGTGAATTTGAAGCAATTAACAAATTATACACTATCAACAAGAATAACAATTCCGGTAATATATCAAGATATATTTGCGAAAATTTATTTTTTTATAATTCATTTTAACAAATATAATAATAATAAAGCGACAAATAAATTAAAAGTTGATTAAAAATCAATTAAAAAGATAGGATTCAAAAAAAAATAATAAATAATAAATTATTATCTTTTTATTGAACTGAACAACTTAGAATCTTGTACAAATGATGAATAACTAAATTTATTACTATATTATTTATTCCAAAGATTACTGTTTTATAAACGATTTGTAAAAATTTCATCGCGATTTTTTGATGATTTTTTAAGCGATTTATCCGATTTTTATTAGACTTCCCAATTTTTAAGGTAATTTGTTATACAAGCTGAGATGAGAGAAAAGAAAGAATTATTTGATATTTTAATTATGTAAGATATAAATACTTGTAAATATTTCTTCTTTAATGATTTTAAAACAATAGATGCTAGTTAAATAACTTGAATACTTGTAAAAATTTTGTCAAGGAATTTCATTCTGAAAATACAAAAAGATTTCCCCTTCAAAAGTTGGCCTGATGTTTTTATCAGATGTTTGTGAAGAGAATGTATAGATTCATTAGATTCTTTGGTCCATTGCGACTTTTAAACACTTTTATATTTTTACCAAATCTATATAATAAAATAAAAGTTATAAATTTATCTTAGCTCAAAGTTTTTAGATGGTGAGATCAGTTTAAAAAAAAATTTGTTTACTTAAGTTCCTACTTGTGGACTAAAAGAATTCATTTTTTTCAATTATTCAAAAAGATAAATCAATGATGACAATTTTATGCAATTCCTTCTCATCATGTATTTTCCGTATGTTTATCAATATTAATACAAAATATTTCGTAAATATTGAAATTATCTAAACTAATAAATTCTCTCTTCATTTTTGTCATAGATTTATTGTTAATAAATATTCTGTTGTTTATTTACTTTAGGTTTAACTCGCTATGGAATGAAGAAGGACATCGTTTTTTAATTAACAGTTATAAACAAAAAAAAGTCTAGTTAAGTTTTAAACTTTATTTATTTAATAAATATTTCGAAAAAATAAACAAATAACATCACCTGATCTAAAATTTAGGTACTTTCCATATACTATGCATCACCACTTGTTCACTGAAATTTGTTATAAAATTTTCACTTTGGTCAGAAAATATGTTTTCAGATGAGCAAAAGAGTAGAACTGATGACGATTCTATTTTTAATAACTAAATCTTATTTGGTTGGAATTTTGGTTTTTTTCAAATAGGAAAGAGATCTCTAATTTTATTTGTTTAATTCAAAAACACTATACGCTATAAAATTTTTAAAGAACCATACTGTAATCTAAAACCAAGCCTAACCCATGCATTTAGGCACGTGCGAAAATTTGCGCAAATCTTCCGCACGATTTTTCACGGACCTTTTTCTTTAAACCATAATAACTCCGTGAATATGACGAATACCGGAATGAACCACATACCATTTTGTAGCCAAGAGCAAAGCCTTTCTTTCTATATTATAAATATCTTAGTAGAAAATCGCTCTACGTTTCATAAATCGCGAACAAATTCGAAAAACGTAAAAAAGCACCAGAAATTTTCACCTATTAAAATTTCCTGATGACATTTATTATTGGAAGTGAAGTTGCCCATTTGTGTAAAGTGTTATTTTCGCTTACCAAAAAGCTGTTGTATAATACATATTTTCTTCAATCAGTTTGTTGACATAATATATGCACATTAAATTTAAATAACGGTTTTTAAGGCTTATTACTGCATTTTAATTTTTTTTTCATCCTTCACTTTTTTCTTACACAACTGATTTTAAATATTTTTAAAATATAAACTTTAAATAAATTAAATTTTCATCATTCTTAATTATTTATATAATTTAATAAAAAATTTTCATTTATTTTTTTCTCTTGGGTTAGATAAGATATCACGTGAGAGTGGAATATTTTGTCAAGAAAAATGTTTAACCCAACTATTCATGATTCGTATAAACTTGGTGCTGTTAATCAACATATGATAAGTTAATTAATAAATATGCAAAAAAATTACGTTCATATTTATCCAACATACCTTCATTCTGTAGAAATTTATAATTTATATTAAAATAAAATATTTCCTCAACAGATGGAGTTTCAACTTTCTTTCGTTTTGGACCTCATTTTTTCTGAATTTTAAAGTGCAGATATCCTTATTATTTTGGCATCGAACACACTTTTTTTTCAGAAGGGATTAAAATGCACCTTCTTTTGGCCATAACACAACCAGTGAAAGCATGAGTAGAATGTTTCCTGGGCATAGTTAAAAAATATATATTGAGAAATTTTTGTAAAATTTTGTTAAAATTTAACAAGAGGCTCCTAAGCTCTCTTTTTATAGAACTTCAATGAAATGTAAAACTTACTAAAAATTAGGAGCAAAGCTTATTAAGCCTATTGCGTAACAAGATGTATGTATTACTACTTTATTGACATTTACCGTCATGTAATAAGGAATTTTGACTAAAAAAGGACCATTTTACAACTTAGTGAGTTACAACGTTCATATATATACAATATCTAACAAATCTAAAGCGGAACATTAAGTTATGAATGATTTATAGTAGTATAAACGTAATAAAAAGTATTTGATTCAATAAACTTTGTCAAGATATTTCGCGTTTATCACGTGCATTATAATTATAAACATCAGAGATTTGTATATTTACACAAATTATAGCTCTTTGTTTATGCATGTTATGTTTAAAAATAATGTGATGATTGATACTATAATGAAAGATTTTGCTAGTTAAAAATGGGTATTGCTAAAGCTCACCAGGGTGATTGTCACCACCAGGCAAAATTACTGATTAACCTCGGTGATTACAATCACCACCAGTGAGCTTTAGCAATTTTCAAAAAAAAAAATAATAATAATAAACAAGTATATTATATGTAGTGAATAATAAAATGTCATAAAATTCCTAAATTAAAAGCATCTATAAAATTTCTTTTCCGGCCTTTTTTTAATTTTAGATTTTAACTAGCTTTGCCAAATTTAATTTTGCTCAGTGGTGACAAATCACCGGTGAGCTTAGAATTTTAAAATAATAAATAAATTTAAATTTATAGTTATCATCCTTTACTGGTTGTTTTTCCTCAGGTAAAAGTGCTTATGTATGGGACCCGGAAGGAAACAAATATATGTGTCTATTCTGCTGTGAATCAAGGCCAAAAATCTAAAAGTTTTGTGTGATCAAGCACAAAAACTTACTTTGAGTTCTAGAGCTTTTTATAATGATGTTTTTAGTGTTTATGCTAAATATGTAACTGAGATAAATAGATTTTATTTATTAACTAATTTATTTTATTTATTAACTTTATTTTATTCATTCATTTATTATTAAGTTATTTATTTTCTTTATTAATTTATTTATTTTTTTATTTTTATTTTTATATTAAAGTATAATAAAGTTGAATGAAACAACATTCAAAAATTCTATCTTTGGAAATCATATCTCTTAAATCTATATTTTATAAGCAAGCATATAAGTTTTTAAACAGGGTGAATAAAATTAATAGTACTATCATTATCTCTTTAATAATTCAATTGTGTAAATACGAATTAATATTTATCAATATTTGATAATATTCAATTCATTCAAGAAATCACGTAAGTACATTAAGTAAGTAAATCAAGAAGAAAGAAACGAAACGAAACAAAGAAAGAACGACACCACCATTAGTTCTTTATTTGGTCTTTATGTCTATTTTTATACATGATAAAATAAGATTATATTACCAAGCAAGATACGAACATGACACGAAAGATAATGTTATTATTTGTAATCGCAAGCCAGAACCACTACTAACTTCACCAAAACAATATTTAAGTTTTGAATATGGTAATGAAAATTTATCTTATATTACTTGGCATCCCTCTTAAAAATTAAATTCTAATTAGAAATTTTCTTTATTATTAGCAGATGTCTTTATTCCCGTACTAAAATCAATCGAATATATAAAAAGAAAATCGCCGTTACCGATATACACTGGAATTTCTTTCGCTATTAAGAAATAGCTTCCCTCCAGAAAACAATTTGTTATAAGAGCACCCAATGGACTTGAATATATTCCAAATGACTTCGTGCGTATCGTCATCACAGGAGTAGAACATGCTGAAATTATCAATAGAAGATATTGGTCCAATCGATTTTGTGGACAAAAAAAAATCGTTCTACGTCACACCGCTACAGTATTATTCCTAATAATTAGTCGATTGATTCAAATATGAACATATGTTATAGTTCTTACGTATAGTTTTTTTTTGGATTTTATTATTTTTTAATAGTGAATTTTTTTTGTTGATAATTCCATAATTTCAACAAATATAGATCTACAAATCCATAATCCCCAAAAAACAATAACGTTCTTTATATATATATATATATTATGAAGGAGAGGAATAAAAAAAGGCTAATTAGTATCTTTTATTATTCTTTTAATCTTTTTTATTATAGATTTTTTCACCTTTTTAAAAAAATTAAAAAATTACAAACAAACTCGAAAGAAAATTTTATGCAACATGCTTAAAAAAGAAATTTTCGAATTTTTATATATGTAGATGATTTAATTTTATATACTGTAATTTGTATGCCTGTAAATCATTTTAAAAAAATTCTCCCCTTAATTGAATAACAAATTTAGTATATATTACACATTTCTTATCGATGTTTTTTTTGTTTACATTGTTGAAAGAAAGGTTTAAAACACAAGGTTTTAGCTCCAGATAAAAACCAGAGTCAAAAAGAAGGTAACATCATAGAACAAGTGGTGAATCAAAGATAGAGTATTACTTTAACCAAATAATGTAATTGCAAAAATAAAAACAATAACACTGAAACACTGAAATACTCAATTAGTAAGCATGTTGTCAATTCGGTTCCGTTAAAATTTTGAGGATTCAATTTATCATAATGTTAATTCTATTACAATAATGCCAATTATATTAACAATAAAAATATAACTGAGTCATAATAATAAACATGTTAAATAATATAGTATATAATGGTAATAATGTGATGCTAATAAAATAAGAATAATAAGATAAAGAAAAGTAAAATAATAAAGATTGCAAATTTTTATTCCCGCAGTCATCATCATGCATTAGAATTATATTTAATGAATAAATAAATAAAATAATGCATAATATTTAAGATTTTTAATCACGTTTATTCATATTACTAAATGAGACAAATAGAAAAATAGAAGAGAACACAAGATATTTTAAAGCAACAACGAAATATTTAAATTCTCCTCTCTGAAAATTACCATTTACTTTTTGAATATTAATGGTACCTGTCATAATTAATAAGAACAGTAATAACGATACTTTTATTTTTCATCATGAATCGCGTTCGTTTCAACGAATTTACACGTGATAATTAACCAATAATATTTGTTTACGTAATCATGTACATCATTGAATTTACGTTTCTAAGATAGATAAAAAGGCCTTGTTCTTGGCTACAATATGATATGGGTTTATCTCTATAGCATCGATATTCATGGAGATATGATTCTAAATCTGCATATCCATGAAAAATTCCAGAAAATTAGCTTTAGATTCTGTACCTTTAATTATGATTAAATTTGCACAATATCTTAAAGACATATAGAAAAGGTTTAACAAGTAAATAGCTAAAAATATAAATCATATTGAAAAGCATCTATAATGATTTAAAAACATTTTATTTAAATGATTTTTTTTAAATAAAATATAACATTTTTGCTATTTTTATATATTTCCTAATTTTATTTTATATATTTTATATATGAAATTCACCTGTAATAGTATTTTATATATGAAATACACCTGATTTTAAATGTTAATAGCTTTGTTAAACCAATAATTCTGAAAAAAACAAGTCAATACCTATCATAAAAAAAATGGTTTCTTATCATTTCTCATTAACTGAACAAAACTGCAAAGAGTATGATTGATTATTTCGCTGGGTAATTGTTTTATATTATTGTTGTGAAATCTATGAGATATAATGTGATTATTAGAATTAATGATAATTTGACCAAAATTAGATCGAACGTCTCATAAAAATTTTACCAAAACCCAGCGTTTCTATATATGGGTTATTACGACTTGCCGATATGGTGTAATATTTAGACCTCTTTCAAATAAAAATTATTTTCGAATTTAATTCATATGGCAGTCTAAATTATTTTAGTCAGCATAAGCGAATCCATATTATTTTCGGTTTCGGCTACTTTGTTTTTCGAAATATTGGAATCCTATACATAGACTGAAATATGCCAAATTACAGCATTACGACTTGCCGATATGGTGTAATACTTCTTTCAAATTAAATTTTAATTCAGTGGTAGTTTTCGTCGGTTATTTTAAATGCCGGTGATGATGATCAAATTGTTACTGCATTAAAATGTTATATTTTGTTTTCCAAAGAAGAATTTTTAAGAGTTTCTCTTTTTTTGTGATCTAAAGGAGGAAGAAATCTCCTTAATTCTAAATTAAATACGGTAACAATGATCATAATACATTGCGTCATTGAATGATTATAATAATTCCGTATTATTTATGTACCATCTGCAAGTTATAAAATTTGTGTAAATTTTAATGCTTTGAATCTAGATACAAATTAACGAGCAAAATAAACAAATTTCATAATTTAACTTATAATGGTCGATAAGTTCTGTCATATAAGTTACTAAAAGTCATCAATAGGAAGTGAAACAATCAAATGACTTCGTTAAGAACTGAAAAAACCAATAATATTGTAATAAAAGAAAAGGAATGGAAGATCACAATTTGGTTATTTTGTCTAGGCAACATATTATATATATATATATATATTATATATATATATTAGTTTATATATTTCAAAAAATCGATATCGAATAAACTAGATAAAATTCCATAAATTTATAAAAGGGCTAATGAATTATTGAATTTCGTGTATATTTTGATTGGATCGATACGATCGTGATAATCTCCAATAGGGAAATACCCTCAAGTTGTAATTTTTTACAAAATCACGAAAATGTTACGTGTCGTGTATAAATTAGTCTTCTATATGAAACGGCACAGATTATATTAATTAAGATAAATTTTTTCCGTGATAGTCATAATACTTTTTTTTTAAACTTGCTAAATCAAGATTTTCTTTCATTTTATGTAAAAATATTCTTTTTTGAGAGCGTATAAATTGCATTCAGATTTGGAAAGAAACTTAATGAATATTATCTTGATTTTTTATTGGTTCTTTTAGTTGTCCCCTAAAATCTATCTAAAAAAGTTCAAGATTTTGTATTCAGAAGAATGCTTCAATCAAAATAAAGCGCAGATTAGGAATGAAACCTTTTTTTCTGCGTCCACGTTATCGGTTTCACTAAACTCAATTATTCAATCATACTTAAGAGTGTGACAATATTTAATAGAACGACTGTCATTGCCACAATCGCGTTTAAAACTATATACAGTATAATACGTTCGGGAAAAACCGAAGATGATATTACATTATATTTAAAACATTAAAACCTGAGTAAACTAGAGTTATTATCTTTATATCACCAAGAATATAACCAAGTAGTACATTTTCATGCGAAGGAGCACTTATAGTTAAGTAATTATAGCTAGCATTTATAGAATATTCGATAGAAGAATTTGGTTCTGTAAAAGTTATAAGTAATCATAAAGTACTCACGATTATATAAATTTCACATGATCTTTAGTGTTATTAAGTGAATAATAAGGTTGACCATATAAATTCTTTAAACTATTGAAAAAAAACGCCAAAGAAAGGACAAACATGTGATCATTGAACAATATATAAAAATAGGAATATATTGTCCTTTATAAATTATAAATTAAAAAATTAAAAATAAATAAATAAAATAGATTACAATAATCATAATATCCATAATAATAATCGTTTTATTAAATTGCGGTATTAATTAAAATAATCGCGGGATTAAATAATCGCGGGATGAAATAATCGCGGAATTAATAAACAAATAGTATTTCTAGCATGAACACATTAATTAAAGTCGAGGTTTCCAAATTTAGGCAGAATGGATACATATTTGGCTAATTCCATTTTGGTTAAATATTTAAAATTTCTTTCTTCCCAATTTCGCGAATCACAAAAAAAAATGATTTTAATATATGCAGATCCTCTTCTGTCAATCTACAAAAAATGAATTAAGTTTAAGTATTTTAAGTATTTGTATTTATTTAATTTTTTTAACTTTTTTACTAATCATATATGGAACTAATTTTGAACGTATTAATAACAAATTATTTTCTTAATATGATCTTGATTTTCCTTAATTTGGCAGTTTTTCCCCGAGTAAAAGGAAAAGATCAAAAACAATGACTACAGATCATCAGACTAATCAGACCACCCTTTCTTGATATTTTCTGTTCATATGCAGTCAGTACATTTTGCATATAATCGATGCATCCATGCAGGGAACACAGAAAACGGAGTAATATTATGGGATGAAAATTTATTAAATTTGCATGGGAGGTCAATTAATTTTGTTTGCGTGATGGTAAAATGAATTAAAATGAATTAAACGAAAATTTCGATTCATATGTCATGCTAAGACAATTTCTCTTAAATATTTGAAAATCAATAAATTAATGTTTAACGCTTTACTTTTTTATTGGTTTAATAATAAATTAATCAATTTGGAATCCTTGAAATCCGTACATTACATATAATTGCGCTTTATAATTTGTATAATGGGGTGAACCAACCAAACGAATTATCATGTGATTAGCTTATTTCATTTTTTCTAAAAAAAAAATAAATTTATGTCAAATTTTTAGTGAGAATATAATAAATTGATTTGTTTATTCATAACCAAAATATTTACTTAAATTCACGAAATTAGGACAGAATTTATTAGAATCCTTATTTGTGCATGGGAAGAATTTTTAATAATGAGATTTTTTTCTAAGCACACAAATATAAGATCTACTGAAAATGTAAAAAACAAATACAATGCAAGAAAAAAAAAATTCCATTTATGGAATACAGGCTTAATATACTTAAAAAGGAAAATATAATAGTAAAATAAAAAAACTGAACCTCTAACATTTAATTTTCGCGTAGTCATAAATATTATTGCAAATATTAGAAATATTAAAAATGATTTTGTATTTATTCTAAATAAATTTGTACAAAAAAAAAACATCCAGATAGTCAAGTTCTCTCTTGTTTACATTATAATTTTTCTTTCTTTTAATTTGTTATTCCAAAAGTACCAGTAGAAAAATGAAAAAAATGAATGTAAACTATTTTATCGTGAAATCTGGAACACACTTATAATGACCATAATGACGTAATAGATTTATATTATTAGAAATGATTTATTATAAGGAATAATTCGTTATTGGTGTTATTGGATGAATAATTTATTATATTTTGTTATTGGCTAGTTATTATTGTTGCCAATTTATTATTATTAACAATTATCATTATTGCCAGTTATTATTATTGTCAGTTATTAGTTATTGTCTACTGTCAGTTATCAGTCAATTCAGTTTTCAGTTTCCCAGCAAAGTGAAAATGATTTTCATTGCATATAAAACATTTTGAAATATATAAAAATATATAAAATGAAAACCTTTTTTTTTTTTTGATTTGTTATTCATTCAAAATGCGTTTGATGAATATTTCGATTTCGTGTTTTCTTGACACTTTTTTAATGAATAAATTTATGGTTTGGCAAAATAATTAATTTGTTTGTTGCTGTTTTAATAAATTTATAATATAGCACGAGTTCACCAATAAATTTAGAAATTTTATTTTCGTCTTGGTGTTTACTAAAAATCACAAATATTATCATCATTACCGTAAGACATTATCAATTACAAATCATTATCATATTGTTGTAAATTCCAATTAAACATAATTAAACATGCATAACATAATCAAGTTAAAGAACATATTGATCATTTTTTGATTGGAGTTGGTGTGTTTCTTATTGTACAAAAATAAAGTACAGTAAAAATTAAAGTAAAAACAAAGTATAAAATCAACGAAACTTAAATTAAACTTTTTGTATATTCCGTACTAAAAACGTAATTGATGTAATGATGATTAAATATTGCTTTAAATTTTGTCAAAGATGCCGATTTTTTCTGAAAAAAAAAAAAATTTTTAACCAATCAAAATCGTGCACAACGATTAAATTCAAATATAGTAAAAAAAAATGCCTAAATAATCTTTATTAATTATTTATTAATTATTTATTATTAATTTTATTTATAATATTTAATAAAAATAATTAATAAAATTTTTTTTTAATAATATAACATTAAATATTCATATAAATATAATCTTTGTAGTACAAAAAATAAATAATTGTGATCCAAAAATGGACTGTATAACTTTTATCCAGAAAACAAATTATTGGTTTCAGTACCTACATTTTGTTTCATTTCAGCATATATGCTTAAGTTAATTATTATACTAGTAAAAAATAAAAATAAAATAAGAAATGAAGTAATATTTATGCATTATATAAATTATATAATATAACATTCTAATAAAAGTTATATATATAGATAATAGTAAATAAATAAATAATATATATATATATAGTAGTAAATTAATGGTGACGTTATTTAATTAATCTTTGATATAATAGTGACGTTATAAAAAAATAAAAAAAAGTTTGACATATTTAGTTTTTATCATCTCTTTTCCCTCTTTTCTCTCTCTCGCTTTCTCTTTTTTTTCTTTTTTATTAAATTTAAAATAACTAATAAATAACTATAAAGATTATACCAATAATTACAATAATAATTTTATAAATGAAAAAAAAATTGGCGCTAATATATACAACGTTATATACATACCATACATCAAAAATGGCTGCATATTTAAAAAGAAAAAGTAAAGAGCAATAATAAATCAATATAATGGATTAACCAATGTTATTTTTAGAAATTGCTTCCAATCAAGACGTTTCATTAACATAACGCTCGAATTTAAAAAAAAAAAAAAAAAAAAACCGGGGCAAATTTTTCGCATATTTTTGAAAACACGTAAATCTAGAGCATACGTATATAAATATGTGTGATTATTTATAATTAAGTTATATATATATATTATTATATAATATGTGATTATATGATTTTACACTAACAACATAAATTAATAAAAATAATTAATGTAAAAAATATATAAAGACAATTGATTTTTGATTTCAAAAAAGTTATAGCATAATACATATATGTTATTGTTAAAAAAACAGGATTATTTACATATTAAAATTTTACCTTTTAAATTCCTTTTTTTTCAAAATAATTTTTAGACCTTCTTCTTTTTTCAAGTGAAAATTTTTTTTTTTACTTATAAATCATTTCATAATTCTAGAATATATTTTAATTTCACATATTTAACGAAAAGACTCGCCCCAACTCGTGTCTATTCGCTTGTCCAATGACTTCAATTATAGCTGCTAATACTTCGTCTTCTGCTGGAAAACGACCTCCTGGTCAAGCAGATGTTACTTCACATAAAAAACTTAAGACAATAGCTTGTGATAGATGTAGACGAAGAAAAGTAAATAAATATATATATATATATTTTTATTTTTTATTTTTTAATATCTTTTAATGTCTTTATAATTTTTTAATTAAATATATTTTTTTTAAGGTAAAATGCGATGGGGATGGGTATAACCTCATTCCATGCAAATATTGTACTTCAGTCAGATTAGAATGTACTTATGGTCGTCAACCTGGTAGAACTTCATCAATTCCTCCTTCAATTAAATCAAATTTGTCTTCAAATAATCGTAACGCTGTTCGTTCAGGATCAACAACAAATTCAACAAATATAATTAATAACAATAGTATCAATATTAATGGAACATCTGTAATTGATCCTGCCACCATTCCTTCTAACTCTTCAAATCTTTCTAATCTTTCTAATTCCACCAACACTATTATTAATACACATACTATTCGACAACGTAGACAATCTCATAATTCAAAAGCATCAAGAAAAACTTCTTCATATAATTCATCATTTTTGAATGAAAATTATAATAAGAATAACAATACGAATATTAATACAAATACAAATAATAATAATAATAATGATATTATTATTAATAATTCTTCAAGAATTATTATTCCACAAGTTTTACCTAAACTTGATAATAATACTAATGATTTTGAATACGCGATCAAATTTTTTACTTCAACAACTTTACAAAATGAAAATGATGTTCGTCAGAAAATTCAAAATTATTTACCTCCAGTTCAACAACAACAAGATGAAACATCAACATCATCTCAAAGATTATATTTTCCTTCATCGACGGGATTAGATGATAAACGATTAAATGAACAACTTGTTGACTTATATTTCAAAAATTTTCATCCACTTTTACCGGTGGTACATAAAGAATATTTTATGGAAAGATTTAGGGATTCAAGTAAAACTATGCCACGTCTTTTACTGTATTCAGTTTGCGCCATTGGAGCAAGTTATTCTAATGATCCAGCTGCAAGAAAGGATCGCGATAATCCTCAAACAGTTGGTTTAGCGTATTATGAATGTGTACAAGGTTGGTATTAAAAATGTTCACATAATATTTCGTTCGGATTTAAATTTTTTTTTTTTTGTAATGATATTTTTTCTTTAAAGGAAAAAAAAGGGGGGAAATAGGAGTAAAAAAAAAAAATAATAAAAATAATAATAATGATAAAAAAATAAGGGGGTAAATGAGATAAATCGGACCTATTCCATTTACCTCATTTACTCCATTTATCTAAAACAATAGGAAAAATAAATAAATAAAAAAAAATTAAATAAAATGAAATAAAAACGCCTATTAAAAAAATGTGTAACATTCTAACTAAATTAATTGAAATAATTTTAATTAATTTAAATTAATTTATGTCATTTAGGCATGTATAATCAATATTTGGATATTCCTCGACTTAGTACAGCTACTGCATTGTTCCTTTTGGGGATTTATGATTCATTAAGACGTCTTAAAAGCCGAATTTATGTTGGTATGTCAATAACCCTTTCGGTCACGATGCAATTACATGAAAGAAATGCATCGGAAGGATTCCCAATTAATAAAAAGGAGGCAAGAAATAAGGTAATATATAATTTAAAAAAAGATGTTAATTTTATTTATTTATTATATATATATATATATTATAAATTATTTAAATTAATTTATTTATCAGCTTTGGTGGGGCTTGTCAATTATAAACCATTTAGAATGCATAACATTTAATAGGAAATTAATATTGGAAGATAAACACTGTACAATTAAATATCCAGATATAACTTCTCATTTAAACCCTTTAAATCAAGATGAGACTGAATTAAAAATTACGAGATATTATGTTGAATATATAAAAATATCCAAAATAATGTATAATATATTGGAATATGCATTAGTTCAAAATCAAAATTCGAATTCACTATCTTTAGAAGAATTAGAAGAACAATTGGAAAATTGGAAAAAAGAACTTCCGTCATTTTTAAGTATTGAAGAAATTAAACCTTTAACGATATTATCAAATGAAACCACCATTGAACATTTAAGGATTTACATAAGCATTCTTTATAATTATGCATTAATTCGAATTTATCATCCAATTGTTAATATTAATAAGAATAATCTAGAAGCATGTACAAAAGCAGCCAACAATATTACGTTATTGGTGAACAAAAATTTTGTTCATATTATTAATAGTAATCAATTTATAATTCATTGCGTTTTTTATGCAGGATGTATTCATATATTAAATTTTCAAGAATCCAAACGATTAGCAGAAGCCAAAAACAAAATTCTAAAAATTATTGAAATATTTAAAAGTGTACTTTCAATGGCATCATTACACAATATTCATTTAGGGATAAAAAATTTGATAGCATTATTTATTTCACAATTGGAATCGTTAACAATTGAGGAAAGAGATGAACAAACAAATAATGCAATTAAAGACACGTTAAATATAATTGGCGTAAGATCACCAGAAATTAATGGAATTAATAATAATAATACAATTAATGGAATTGTTAATGGAATTGTTAATGGAATTAATACAATCAACAACAATACAATCAATACAATCAATACAATCAATACAGTCAATTCAATCAATTCAATCAATTCAATTAATAATGGAATTACAATCAATAATAATAATAATAATAATAATAATAATAATACAATTAATGTACATTCAGAAGGTATTCATAATATTAAAGAAGATAATAATAATAATAATAACAATAATAATAATAACGATAACAACAACAATAATAATAATGGTAATTCAACATTTCAACAATCAACACAATCTATGCAACAATCGATATTATCCCAACCGATAATATCACAACAACAACAATCTTTATTATCACAACAAACGAGAACAACATGGATACCACCAATTTATAAGGATCTTCCTCCTATGAATTCATCTAATAAGTCATCAGATGTTGGTAATTCAACATCATTATTATTATCTTCATCTCAATATAATCCAACCAATTTAAATAATCTAAATAATCCAAATAATAATTCACAACAATCAAGGCAAAATGATAATAATAATAATTCTTGGAATTCCAATAATAATTATAATTATCATTGGCCACAACAAGGTAATCAATTACATCCAATTCAATCACCACCAACGACAACAACGACAACAACATCATCATCAGATGAACCATTGTTATTACTTGCCAACTCTCAAAGTGGAACATCAAATCCAATAAATCTTAATAGAAATACATCTTCTATAACAATGTCTATGACACCAACATCTTTACCACCATTAATAACACCCACTTCATCACCTCATCCTTCTCATATATATCAATATTCACCTACCAGTCTTCCTTCTTCTTTACAATATTCACAATATTCATCAACACAACATCCACAACAAAATCAATCACAACAACAACAACAACATCATCATCATCCTCCTCCTCAACAACATTCTCAACACTCTCAACACCAACAACAAAGACAATACTATTTAACATCAAGTCCACCAAATAATAATAATAATAATAATAATAATATTGGAATAGGTGGTAATTATGTTACTAATTCTGAAATTTCAGGTGGTGGATTATCACAAATTCCTACAATTAATGGTGCTTCTACATTATTATCAACATCTGAAAATTCTGTAGCAATGTTAATTGATAATCAAGGTGATACTTCTATTTCACAATCAACACAACATCATCATCATCATACTCCTCCTCCTCCACCTCCTACTCGAAAGTCATCTCAATATGCTTGGGATTTTAATGGATAAACAAAAAAAACAATTTTTCTATTTTTTCATTCCTTTTTTTTACACTCCTTTTTTTTTTTATTTTACTTTTCTTCCTTGAAAAAAAAAATTATTAAAAAAAAAAAGTAGTTGGCAAATAATAAAAAAAAATTCGACAATAAAATAAATTGGCTTATTTTCATTTCTTTTTTATTCTGTAACGGTCAATATAATATTTTTTTAAGGTATGTTTTAAAATAATTATGTGAAATAATATTTAATAATAATAATAATTAATTATATATATAAATTAAGAAGAATAATAATAATCAATATATATATATATATATATATATATTGATTATTATTTTAAGAAGAAGAATAATAATAATTAAATTCAACCAATTAAATATATATATATATATATATCTTTTTTCAATTAAAAAAAAAAAAATTAAAAAATGCTTAAAAGTACAAATATTGTTAATCAATTTTAATTTGCATTGTTTTCTTAATGTGTAAACGTGTAATTTCATTATTTTTATGTAATTATACTAATCTAATTTCTATATTTATAGATTTGTTTGGTATTGCGGATAAAATTTAGTGCTTAAAAAGATTAGATCTCTTGAATGAACACTTTTTTAATCGGTTAAAAGCATAATTGGTTCCTGATATTTTGGTAAATTTCGGTTCATTAACTATATTATGTCTATTATAATTATTATTTAAATAATTATTAAATAATAATTAAATAATTATCTGTCAATTATGCAAAACAAACAAACTTATTTTTATCGGGGATTTTCGTCGATAAGAATTTTTTTGTACTCTTCCGAAAATGTATTCATTCAAAATATGTGAATTCATCTTTCCTATGGTTTATTGTTATTATTTTTTTATTTACTTTTAATGTATGATTTTTCTTATTATGTAAATTTCTTTAAGGTTAATTAAATTAAATTCTATTTTTTCCTCTTCCTCTTGCTCTCCTCCACCTTCTTTCTTTATAAAAAAAAAAAAAAAAACTTCATATGTTTTTATGCTTTTAAATCTTTTTTTTTTCTTTCTTATATATAATTTTATTTTTTCATTGTTAATAGGATATTGGAATTTGGTTAGGGATTATTAATCTAGATATGATTAAATAATTTCAACGTAAAAATATTTTAATAAACAAAAAAAAAAATTGGTTTTCTTTCTTCGTTCGCGGCTTTTTTTATCACAAATCAATAAAGTGAAAAAAAAAATCATCAAAGATTATTATATAAAGTATTTATGCAAGTTTGAAAATTTTTTCTTCATTGACAAAAAAAAGTACACTTTAGAAATCTTGGTCATTCGATTGGTTTATTCGTATATTGTTTTTTATGAATGAATACTTTTATAGTGAAATTTAGTCTTTCATTGTTATGTATACCAATTTTTCAAACAATACAATCAAAAAAAATCGTAATCATTTGTGCAACCGATAAACAGCTCATTCATAAAAAAGAATCATTGTACTATATGATAAACTTTATTTGCATCTTCGCGTTACGTAGTATCTAAACTTCGAAAGAATATAAATATAGAGATATTTAGGTCTTTTGTTCAAAATTCCTTTTTTTTTTTTCTTATTAATTAATTCGTTTATCCGAAATTAAATTGTTTATCCAATTTTGTCATAAATTCGTTATCCAGTTTGCTATCAATTTGTATTCAAGTTTGTTATCAAATTTGGTATCATTGATAATAAAATTCATAAGCTTCATTGATTACAGAAAAATTTTTTCACATACTTGATTAGCAAAGATTTTTAAATTAGTGGTCAATTTTATTCTTGGCAAAAAAAAGGATTACGTAAATCATATAATAAAGGAATATTGCGCAAAAAAAAAAAAAATGTTTCTTCGATTTGTTGTATGTATGTATGCAATCAAAGAAACCATAACATGCAAGGCGAGAAGTGACGCATGCAATGTATTTGTCATATGATGGGAAAAGAAAAGTAGTCTCATAAAAACATTGCATCATGAAAATATTTCTTTTTGCTAATTGTAGGAATTATTGGAATTATCGGATTGTTATTATCATCAAATTGTCGTTATCATCAAATTGTTGTTATCGTCGTAATTGTTAAAATAGCAAATTTGTCAAATTATCGATATTCTCAAAAATCTGAATGTTTATAATTTTTAGGTATATTATAACGTAGATATAATAGTTTATTATAAATGATGTCATTTAATTTATGTGACGTTGGACGCGTCTTTAAATTTCTATACAAATATTGTATACACATTTTATTAATAGTATATAAACTTCTTATCACATAAATACAAACTATAAATTTAAATATACAATAAATGTAAAATATATATGTGATAAAAAAGAATATTATTTATATTGTTTAAACTGCTTATATACTTGTTTATGTTGTTTATGTTGATTATATTGCTTTTATTGTTTATTCGTTACCAATTCTAGATGTAAAACATAAAATCGGATTTAAAAATTTTTCCGAATTTGGACTTTTCTAGAATTTATTTCTGTGTTTAGAAAACGGGAATTTTTAATAATTTTACTGTAATTTTTATTAATGTTTATCTTGATTTATTTGTTTTATTCCTTTGACTTTACATATCGAATGTAACCCACGTTGGCTCTTTGTTATTCTTGTTGATTCTTACTTTTATTTCTTTATTATGAAAAGATTAAATTAGATTGACATCTTGTAATATAATCGGATTATCTTTATTTTTTGATTATCTCGGATGAATAAAAATGGGTTCATTCATCCATTACAATATATTTAGAACGCGCCGAAGTCTTTATCAAAACAAATGATTAATGTAACACTAAAGAGATCATTTCATATGTAAATGAAATTATATTTTCGGAAAGTTATTACCGAATTAGTGCAAATGTAGTACACCGTAATGATAAGGATAAATATGTCATCTATATTTTTATGAATTTGTATTTTATATAAAATCCGTTATATGATTGAATTCTATATGAAAACATATTTTACTTTTGAACAGATCAATAAAATTATTCACATGATTATGATTCGTTTGGACTAATATAGTATAGCGCTTTGTGAGCCCTAAGTTATTTCTTTATTATTCTTAATATTTTTTGAAATCAACCATGTGGTAACACGACAAAGAAAGGCCTTATATCAATCCCATGCCTATTTCAATGATTGATTGCTTCTTTTTCATCTTTTTTTGTAATGTTATATGATATTCAATCAGCTTACCATAATTACAGTTAGAATAAATTGCAATCTATCGATCTGATTTTATTTTCTTATTAAAGTAATTGAAAAAGAAATTTAATTCTTTTAATATTACTAATAAAAAATTGATATCAAACTAAATCCCATTTAAATGTTTATTTGTTGTGTACGTATCATGCAAAAAGTATATACAAGCAATTTTACGAGTATAAGAATTCAAATATAATCTACTGTGCTCCAAATAAGTTGGAATATAAAAATTATTCTTTGGACCAATAATCCTATAAAAAATTTGATTAAGTCGTGTTTTAGCTGATAAATTTAAGTCGTTTTAGGCTAAAAAAAAATTATTTAAAATATTATTTAAAGAATCGGATTACTTAAATAAGATTATCCTTCTTTTTTAAAAAACTAGTTCGACATTAATTTAGTAAAGACCATCTATTTCTGGAAGCATTTAAAAATAGACAACTCGTTAAATTTATTTTTTCATATTAATTTAATTTAATTAAATAATTAATTTCATCAATACAATTTTGGAAATTCGTGTACATATAGTATTTTTCGGAAATTCCTTACAATGCCTTAGTGCGGACGTTAGCGTGGGCAGGATGTCTAGTGAACAAGAACTTAGTTCAAAGATCTTTGTGCGAAAAATATTTACAAATGAAGCTAATATAATTGGTGCAATGATGTACAACTGAAGGTCCAAATCAAGATTATTTTTTGTGTAAATTACAAAATATTTCTATTGATGATATTTTAGGAAGTTTATTTAAAAACGAGTAAAAAAAGCACTTTTCTTGGCTAAATACAAAAGAAAATAAAAACGAAAAACGAAACATGTATTAAATATTATGACAAAAGTACAAATGTAGATAGTGTGTGCTGTCGGAAAATTGTACGATATTTAATAATAAATATCCGACTGACAATAACCAATAATGTTTTTTGGAGGTTGAAACATGTCGGAGAAATTGTGACCAATCATCTAAAATCGTCAAAAATCTTTTGTTTATAACACTTTATAACCAATTATAGATAAATGACATCTAATTTTATATTTGTAAAAATTTTTTATCGTTTACCTGGCAATTGGTACATGAAATAACCAGAGGCCATAAATTCAATTTGCATAAATTGTGGATCAGAAAATCTGTCCAATTACAATGAATCCATTCTTTTGAGAAGTGTCACGTGATACAATTAATAATATAATATTAATTCTTTTTCCTTTATAATAATTAATTAAAAAATTTTTTCGGGAAGAAAATAATTCATGTGATTAAATACACAATGTTTTGAGATATAGTTAAATTAAAGTTAAGTTAAATTTTAAAACTCAATACAAGATTTAATGAAACTATATCAAGCCATAATTAATCAATTCTGCTTCCTTTATCTTGGTGAAACACATCTCACTCTTTATATTCATGTTTTTTCAATAACCCAAAAATTGTGAATTAAATCATGGATGCATCGCATTAACAATGAGGTATGCATGACATAATTGAGAGGGAAAAGAACTGCAACAATTTCTAAAGTTAATCCAATAAAATTGATTTATTAATTCACTAAAAAAGATTTAAATTTCTCTGACTATGCAATTCTGATTCGCTTAAAAACAAAAGCGAAGAGGTGTTGCCAAACCGGAATTCTAAAATTCTAAAAGAGAATAATGACCAGCCATTTATTTATAAATACAAACCGATTGTATCTACTTAATTTGGTGATTTTTTTTGTGGATTAAAAATCATTGTATTAACCTTATTTTTATAATTTTCAAATTTTATTATATTTTATTATGTCAAGAACAAAAAAAAAAATAAAATTATACAAACACAATATCCCTTATCCCCTTGCATGTCATCGTCCTACATAAAATTTGACACTGAATAATGTTAAACCTCACAACAATAATAAATATTATTCGATAAATTATTTCTTCAAAACATATTTTATGTATTTTATGTATTTAATATTTGTATAATTTATATGACACAATTTTCGTTGGCATATCTAATATTTCTTAACTTTCGAAATTTGATAAATCTAATAAATAATGATATTTTTATGTAGAAATTACATTATTTATATAAACTATTACTGACACTTAAGTAGATAGTACAAATTAAATAGGGGTCTTTAGTTAACAAGGACCAATTAGAAATAAATAATAAAAACCTAATATTTAAAGTTTTATGAATAAGAAGATTTTGACACAGCATAATAATAATTATATTTCAAATAATTGTTGTTATGTCATTACTAAATTATAATAATTATATGTAGAAAAAAAGGAGTCAAGCTTTAAATATATTATTTATGACACAAGATTCAAATAGTCATATTAAAAAAAAAAAATTCATAATGTTCGGGTATTTCCTCGTATTTTCCGTAAATTAAATTATCAGTAAAAAAAAAGATTATGATGAATTCACGTCTTCTCAATATAATTTATGGCCTGTCCTTTTGTTTATTATTATTTACTTCAATAAAAAAAAAATATAAACAATCACTCCGCATTACACCCATTATACACGTTAAAATAGTTAAAATATTGTGCATCTTATTGTTTATCATAAGTTTATAATTATTAATGTCGTTAAAAGTTTATTTATTTACATTCTATTTATTTTCACAATAATCTAAAATATACATGAGTCTAATCTGTTTCACTAATATTGTTATTATTACTATTAATTTGGATACAAAACTAAAGAAAATATTCTATTAGTTAATATTCTTTAGCCAAATAGAAAAAAAAATGACGAGCAAAATGCAATAATGGAAATAAATAATAAAAATAGTAATAAAAATGTGAGTTAAAATGGCGAATAAAAAATTATGTCCAATATTTTTGCGTGTATTTTTTTTAGTCAAAAAAAAACCTTATTTTGGAAATTTTAAAATCATTAGCCATTCACCTTTTGTTTATCTGTTTGTTATTTATTTAATTCTTGCTTTCTTTGAAAAATTCTCTTTAATGGAAATTTCAATGAGTGAATGATATCCACTATTAATAAACAAGACATCGATCAATTTTCCTATCTATAGTTCATTCTTTTATAATCTTATTATTGGTATCAAATTAATCAAGAGCGTTCTTTGGATCATAAATCATAAATTAAACGCGTAAAAATAACTTTTCGTGCATCCTGTTTATCACTTATTTTAACATATTTATTTTTCATGTTCAATGGCTGTTCTTTTCTTTATTGATATTTCGTATTTGAAAATACAGCAGAAAATGTTCTACCACATTCTACAATTGTAATATAACTATATCTTCGGGGACCGATTATTATAGTTACAAATGAATTTAGGTTACTTCTACGGATTCAATATTTACCATTTCTGATAATTACGTATTACAATATATATCGACTAAATCAGAGTAATATTCTGTGGATATTTGCATTTATAAGATGAAGAAATAATAATGCAAGTCAACATATTTTACGAATAAAGTTCATATATTATATATCATAAACATTACTAATATAAGTTAGTAACTAATGATGACGACGAATCAATTGTTATTATTTAATTACTTAAATAAATCACAAACTTATCATAAACTAAAAGTTTAACTTAATAATTTAATTTTATGTTCTAACATTAAATTAAAATAAATTCACATAATAAATAATAATAAATCTTCATCACCACTTTCAATACTTTCCCTAAGCAGTCAAATACAATGACTAATCCTCCAAAAAGAGAACAATATCTATTTTTTTTTTTTTGATTTCTTTTTTTGTACATCAGAACATCAGAACCAAAGTAAACGACTCAGATACGCGTGATTTGTTGATTTTCAGGATTTTATTTTACTTTTACTTTTTACTTTTTTCGGAATTGTTTTCTTACCTTCTTGTTTTCTATTAAGTAATAATGAAAAATTATATGTGTGTGATGCAAATATAATATAAATATAAATATAAATGTATAAAAGTATAAATGTATAAATGTAAATATAAACATAAATATAAACATAAATATAATATATATTTATATGTACATGCATTTTTAATATATTTATTTGTCCTTGCAGTTATACTACTTTTAAAATATACTTTAAATATATACTTTAGCTACACTTTAGCTGTACTTTTAAATTTAGCTATAAGTATAGTTACACTTTTAGAAGACGTATTTATATTCTTAAAGTGACCCTGAATTTTTTGAAACCATAATAAAACTTTAATAAATTTAGTAAGACTAACCTTCTAAGCCTCCTCTAACCATACTAGATATACCGGATGCAACGAGACTAAAATATAGACGCGTTTTTTTATAATTCAATAAATAATTGTCTTGTATTACAAAATATATTAAAACATGAAACATATTGTAGACTCGATAGATTCCAAACCGATCTTCAAGTGTACAAGTTAAATATATAATTGCAACTTGAAATATCACATAACAACGTTATTGTACTTTATTGTACTTTATTGTATATCTATACAGATGATTTGTATTAATTCATTCTATCTTTCATTATGTTTTATTATATTTATTATATATTTAGTATATACTGTATCTTATTATATATTTGTATATATCTTATTATATATCAATCAATGTTGATTAGGTTACATTGTTTGTTTACGATGATCAAAATCTCATTATGTCATTATGTGTAAACGCTGCAGATAAAATAAATAATAAATATAATAACTAGTTTATTGAGTTTCCTAATTATAATTTAATATATTTTATCAATAAATAGAACAAATAATAAATTACAAATTGGTAAACTGGATCTTCTTTCAGGCGTTGTTCTTTTTTTATCTTTTCTTTGATTCTTATCTTTTTTTATTTTTATATTCTTTTTATATTCTTTTGGCGGAATCCTAGACATATATAATGCACCCGGATTCCATTGTGTAAAAGAAACCTGACATCATAAACATGTATAAGGAATAATTGAAATTCTTTAAGGAATGAAAGACAATTGAAAAAAATAGAAAACAATAATAATACGTTTATTCAAAACTTTTCAGTAATGATCATTATTGTTTTGCCATCGCCAAAAAAAAATGTCTTTAAGTAACAATCTGATGATTATGCATCAATGATAGTTCTGTAGTAGTTAATCGTTGTGATTATTATTTCTTTAGAAACTTTTTGTCTGGATCAATGAATCATCACATAGTTCAACAATTAAATTTAAATATTTTCTATATTTTATTCTATTTAATATATTTATCCCAATTTATTCTATTTATTTTATTTATTCTCTATTTGTTCTCTATTAATTCTTTATTCTTCAATCAATTACAAAACAATTTACTTAATTATAAATTTCTTTATAATAAAGTTTTAATTTTAAAAGATATTAGCATGATCATTATGGTATACTGGTATACTGTAAATAATATTGTAAATAATATGTTATTTATAAGATAACAAAATTCATGTCTTACAAAATTCTTCTTTATCGATATCTTTTTGCAGAAAAACTTTCTCTCAAAACTTTTCACGTTACATAAAGCACGAATATCTTTAGGGAAAATGAAATGAAATATCCAACCAATCATAAATTGTCAAATGTTACACAAAGACCTCATCGACCGAAGAATGTAATAATTGATATAATATTGATAATTGAATAAAAAATAATAATTGATTGTAATTGATATAATAATAAATAAAATAAATAAATGATTTATTTATTATAATATATGATTAGCAAGTAATTAGTAATTGAACTGTTAAATTAAATTAATGAAATTAATAAAATTGGATATTTAATGAAATGAACAAAGGGCACAACCGACAAATGACACAAGGACACAGTTAACAAAGGATACTGTGCAATTAAAAACTTAAACACGACATAAATATAATTAATGTGTAGTGGAATTTACTTTATATGATTTTTCAGAACAAAAAAAGAAGAAATTATAAAGATGCATAACGTGTATATTCCAATACATTTAATTCTTGATACCTTTCCTCTTTTTCTCAGTTTTTCCTATTGGTTTTAAATATATTTAATATATTACCACAAATGTGAATCCCTTTACTTTTCATTTTATTTATTTTTTATAACAGTAAATGCAATTTGCATATGATGCATATAAAATACATAATAATAGTTATATTACATGGTTTTATTTTATCACTGAAATTTTGATATATCCAAACTATTGCTTTATTTGCTATTTCTTATTCATATACCTTATTTAACAGAATTATGGTATTTTATTTATAGTTTTAGCAAGGCTTTGCCTCAAGTTTATTAATTAAGAAAATGGAGTGGTATTCAAGTTAATGCTATACATAGTTTCTCTATACTATCACAGAGGCCAATGATGTTGACCCACTTACATGGGAACCTGTTGGAACACTATGCAACCTGGACCCAAAACCCATTATAATGATTGTTGAATACATGAGATTTAGACTAACACATATGAGACATACCTGCAACCTATGCCTGACAGATAAATCTGTTTTCAGTATGTTAAGGTCCTGCTGAACAACCTTGGACATCCCTTTATCACAAATTTCTATAATAAAGTTACACTTGTGATATGAACAATCCCATTAACACCATCATTACCTCAAAAGAGCCTTTTAATATTATATAAATTTCTAACCATATAAAGAAAATAAAATCAAAAACAAATATAAAAATGAAAAATACAAAACTCAATTAAGATCAAAAACAAAAAATAAAATTATTTTAATTAAAAAATAAATAAATAAAAATAAATACAAAACTATGTTTATTGCTGATAACAAATAAATGAGCAAAGATCATGCAAGAGATTATTCTCTCCCCTTATTGTCTATTCTCCTGAACTTCAAACTTGTCATATGTGTTTGTATATTGCCAATACAAATTCTCAATTGTATAACTTGAGCCATTGGAGTGTTTACTGCTTCTACCATATACTAGTTAAAAATAAAAAATCATTGTTAAATTATCAAAAATCAGAATTCCTAAATATACAAAAACTAAAAATCAAACAAATCAATTATCCTATTCTAGTTGTCTATTCTTTTGTATTTGACCTGTAATATTAATTAAAGCTGTAGCATTAGTTGAATTTTCTATCAATTTATTATTGGATGTTATTATTTTATTTTATTTTTCATTTTTCATTTCAAGATTATTTAATTGATTAACAATCTCTATTACTTTTGTATTTAAGTTTTCAACTATTTTTTCCAAACACTAGTCAAGTACAAAAGAATCACTGTACTGAATGGTGATTTCACTAGTCAAATGCAAAAGAATTACTGTACCAAATGGTGATTCCTATATTATAGATCAGCTAAAAATCAATAAAAATTGACCATCCTATTGCATCCTACATTATAAATTAGCTAAAATCAGAATTCCTTTTCAGTACAGCATATCTTTTGTATTTGACCTGTATTCTTATATTATAGATCAGTTAAAAGTTGAAATAAATCAACTGTCCTATTGTATTCTATATTATAAATTAACTAAAATCATAAATCTTTTTCAGCATATCTATTTTTTTTTATTTGACCTATGAAAATTTCAAAAGTTGTAAAAGTTTCTTCTAACCCTTTCTCAAGTAATTTTTCAAACTTTTCAATTACATCTTACTTGTAAATAAAAGGTTTTTGATTATTTTTGACAACTTTATATAAGTTTTGTTTTTAACAGTTTTCAACCTATCCAAACTCAAATAGTAATTAGATTTATATCATTTATATAAATTATCAAGATGATTTAATTTTTCTCTTTATTTGATGCTATTAATTCATATATCTTTTATTTTATATGAAATTTGATATTTAATTATTTAATTTATAAGCAAATATTAAGATATTGTAAACATTATACTAGTAATATGTGAGGACCATATTTATTAGCTATATTTATTAATTCTATAATTAAATTTCATCATTTCTATAAATGTATCACATATTGAATCACAGGTCAAATACAAAAGAAATAGGTGACACAAAGGGAATTTCAATTTTAGCTAATTTATAATATAGGATACAATAAGACAATTGATCTATAATATAGGAATTCTGGTTTTTAGCTGATCTATAATATAGGAATCACCATTTGGTAAAGTGATTCTTTTGTATTTAACTAGTGAATTTTTGTTATATAAAAAACAATTGTAACAACAATTATAATCACAAGTCAAATACAAAAGAATAGTCAAACCAAAAAGAAATTTTGATTTAGTTAATTTATAATATAAGATACAATAGAATGGTCAATTTTAGCTGGTCTATGATATAGGATTCTGATTTTTAGCTGATCTATAATATAGGAATCACCATTCAGTACAAATTCTTCTGTATTTGACTAGTGAATGTTTTAATTATATATATTGAATCATAACAACTTCTTAATTATATACATTGTATGAACCTTGATACATTACAAAATTGAAATTAAATTAAATTATGGATTCTTTGATAAATATCACTAAAGAAATAATCTATCAGAGATATAAAATTGTAACTGAAAAATCTAACAATTGAAGAGTACAAACTTTATTGGACAAAATTATAATGTGATACAGTAAGTACAGATTTAATAAACAAGAATTCTTTATGCCATTTTTACATAGATAAATATAACATCTAAATAGTATATTATAGTAATCTATAGTTAAATTGCATAGTTAATAAAAATGAATTACAGAGAAATTTAAAAATAGATACATATTAAAGTTTTTAACCAGAGAAAAATTCCCTGAATGATATATAATATGTGAAAAATGGTATTTCAACACTAAAGTCCTTAAAAATATAACAAAATCAAATGTTTTGATGGGAACACCATTGGACAAAAATTATTTTTATAAAATAAAAATATCACAAAATTGTATTATAAATATTTGCTTTGAGCTATTAATTAAAGTTGTTCAAATTTATTTTTGCATATATCTGTAAGTTTCAATACATATTTGTGAGTTAATTAAGGTTACGGACAGGTGATAATAAAATGTAACACCCTAAGTAACAAAAACCCTAGCCCCTAACTTTGACATAAATAGATAATAAAAATGGATCACAGGGGTGGAGGAAATTTTCCAAATGTAGTAAAATTGAATATTATAATGCATTTATACAAAAGATCACGAGTCTTTGGATAAGTAAGAAAAAAAAAATTGATTAGTAACATTCAAACGGTATCTGTCCTGCCTTTTGTCTCACCTGTGATTTTTATATTCGATTTTATATTGCTCATTTTATATGAAAATTACAAATTTTAATAAATTTAAATATATTAAAGCTCCTCGGCTGAGTTTCTTAAAGCTTAGCTGGGTTTAGAAATCAAGGCTCGGTTCCCAAGCCTAAATAGTGGCGAGCCTAATAGTACACTTGTAGACCTTAATTTTTAATAGATTGTCTTCGAACGGCAATAATTCGACAGCTAGAAAAATTATTTAACCACCATTGTCAAAAATCACTCGTAAATTCGATCTGAAGTAAAATATCATTAAAAGAAAACGTTATTTAAACATTATAAAAGGTTATTACTGCAATGTATTTTAGCATGAAAATTAAATTTAATAAATAAGTAAGTAGGTATTAATATCACAAATATAAATCCTTTTTTATTGTTCAGACATTTACTTGTAGAGTATTTATGACTATTTATAATTTTCTATTAAATTATAATTTTAAAAGAAAATTTTCAAAGGATATATTAACTTGAATCCTCCGATTTAATTACATCTCCATCAAAATGTGAATTCAAAAACTATTTACAAAGAACCTATTGATATGTATAAATATTAACGCAATTGTTAACTTTAAGTGTATTATTAGTTCTTAATATAAAAGAAACTTTTCTTAAATTGTTGAAACTATTAAACATGTTCAGATATTTAAATATTTTATTCATTGAATTATTATTGTTTTTATTTTTTTATTTTTTATTTCATTAGTAAAAAATCGGAAATATATAATATAATCAAAAATATCTGTTAAATTTACTGTTATTACTTCACCGCTTCATCTACAAGTTTCAGTATAAAATAATGATAGTAATTAAATGGCCTGAAGTGACTCTTTTTTATTTTTAATATTTTTATAAAAGACAATAATATGGGTGATGCAGGTGACATTAATTATTAAAGATTAGAATTTGCAGCCAAAATCCAGAAAATGATATTTTTAATATAGATAATTGAATCAATTATTTTATTTGTTAAATATTAAGTTTGGATAACTTATAATTAAGAATATAAAAATAAAATAAAAGAATATTTAGAATAATATAGAATATTTGTTAAATAATCTAAGAAAATTTTATTCTCCAAATCTAATCCAAGCCTTGTGTCTTATACCTTGCCTTATAAATTACTTTCATGATTTTGATCTTTGAATGAATCGCTAAGATATCAAAATTATAAATTACAAATTATAAAAAATTATAATTACTGAATGAATAAGTAATCATCATTATAATAATTATAATTAAATTTACCTGAAAATACTTTCGAAACATTTTTATGTCGGGTTGCTGTAATGTTTGTAAAAAATTATCAAGATCATATGGTGGAGACCAGAGAGTCAAAAAGGTTCCAAGATATTTAACGAAATCATCTCCTTTTTGAGATAGAATGATTTTCAGTATATTGGATATTTCATTTAAAACCTGTTATTAAATATTATAAATATTACAAATATTATTATAAATATTACAAATATTGTTAAAATAATATAAAAGTCAGTCAATATTAATCTCAAGAATTAAGATGAGTTAATAATAAAATTTATAATAACCAGCTGTGATTGGCCATCGTTTGCATTGAATGAAGGTTTCATGGGAACTTCAAAGCAAATACGTAATATATGTTCATATAATCCTGAAGATTGTAACTGTTCTCCCCATAAGGTAAGCGTCTTGGAAAGAATATTAAAAGATAATCTAGCTGTTGGAATATCTGAAAGGTCACTAGCATAATGAATGACACTTTGAAGTATACTTTCTAGTCTTGGTCGATTCACTGAAAAGATAAGAAAAGATAAATATATAATGATAATTAAATATTTATTACAATTAGTGAATTCTATTATTACACATTATATATATATTTATATTCATTATTTATATATTTACATTCACTGATAAAGACAGCGTCCATCCCGCCGTTTAATAATGATAATATAAAATTCAAGTATGCCTTTCGAAGATTAACCAATAAGAGCACATCATCAGTTCCAGAAGGGGGTTGATTAAAGAAAACAAAAACTTTATTGACCAAAGGTACAATAAGTTCATTGAGAATATCAAAGATCGACGGCTAAAAAGTTTAGTAAAAAAAAAAAATAATAAATAATAAAATAAATAAATAAAAAAATAATAAAATAATAAAATAAATAAAAAAATAATAAAAATAATAAAATTTTATTCTTACATTAAATTTGTGCGAAATAAGTCCTATGAAAGGAAGGACATCTACCAATTCTGAAGCTTCACATTTACTGAGTAAACCATTAATTAAAGTTGGTAAATAAGGTAATATTTCTATTCCAAGTACATTAACAAGTCGAGCGAAAGAATATCTTGACTATAAATATTAAAGATAATTTAATTAACTTATTATATTATTGTTATTATTAATTTACAATTTATATTTTATATTAAAACTTACAGCATCTCTAATAATTTCATAACAATCTAAAGCTTTCAATGTTACCAGAATAGCTTCAGTCGCTTGTTTTAAAATATCTACCCAAGGAGCAATTGGAGCTGATCTTTTTGGTGCTTCTGGAAATCCTTTTGCAATGCTACCAATGGCCATTATAAGATGATGTAATTGCAAGACGGTATGTACATCAACAGGTTCGGATAATTTAGTATTCAAATAGCTTTGTAATTCTGTTAACAATGGATTAAATACGGCCTATTATATATTAAATATAAAATTATTAAATATAAGAAATATTCATAATATTCTTCATTATAAAATCTCTTAGAAATAAATAAATAACAAAATAATACTTTTGCGAATTCTAATTGTCTATCTTTAATAGTTTCTATTGTAATCAGTATACCAACAGTTTCAAGAATATATAACTGTTCACTAAATCCTGCTTCCAATGCTTTGTCTTTTGTCAAAGGACTTTCATCAGGGTTATCAACGCGAGGGACTACAGCTTGTATAATCAATAAATCCTAGATGATAGCAGATGATAACAATAATAAAAATCTAATTCCAATATATGCGATAGAAATGACAATTAGAATTAGAATGTTAAAGATAAAAATTATTTCTTGCCTGTATGCTTCTCAACACTGTTTCAACATATTTATCTACGTTTGACTTGAGTAATTTTATAAATCGATAAAAAAGATACCATGAACGGCTACGAATTTGTGAATCATGACTATGTAAACCACGTGAATCAACAAATACTTCAAGTACAGATGGAATGTATTCAGGTTGCACTTCAAAAAATTGATAATAACGAACAACATTCTCAAAAAAGTTCAATATAATTAATGGATGGGAATAAGTTGTGACATCTAATAAAAAAGAGATAAATGCAAATTATATTATTATGTGTATAATATTAAAAATATTGTAATTTTTTTTTTTATATAAAAAATAATAACATACTGCATTGAACCATTTTCTGTAACATTTCTCCTAAAGGTGTTAATTTCACTATTTCATTTTCAGTTTTCATAAATTGCAGCTGTCCTTTAATTGCTTCACCATACAAAAGCAATACATGCAACGCCAATTCAAGATCACGCCAATCAAAAGAATTTCCAGCTTTTTCATAATTTGCCAATGTATTAAGTACAGCAAAATGAACATATGTAGTAAATAATTGAGAATCGATATTATAAATTATATCAAAAAACGACTTCAAATTCTATTGGAAAAAAAAAGGTAAAAAGGTTGTTTTTGTTGAGAAATGTTAATATTTCAAATGGGGAATAATAAGGATAATAATAAAAACAATAATTTTGTAATTTTGATTTACCTTGCGCATCACTGAAAATTCTGCTTCCCCTTCTCCATCATCGTCCGTTTCAGATTCATCATCAAATTTCATTTTTATAACAATAACTTTAAGTAAAGAATCCAAAAATTCACGTTGTGAACTGGAAAGCTCGCCTACTTGTTTTATTTGCTTCTTTAGCTACATGATTTATTATTAACATTTCTATTAATATTTTCTATTAACAGTTCTATATAAAAATTAAAAAGTTAATGAAAACGCAAGACATACCACTGATAAAAATGCTGAAAGAAATGAAAATACTGCACAAGAAGTATCATCATATTCATCTGCCAAAAATTTCAATAAAAATTGGAATAATAATTCTATTTGGATATATACTGTAGATTTTGTTTCCGGACCCATCTTGAATAGGAAATTTTTAATTTTAGGATTTGCAAGTATTTTAATAAATACCATTTATAAGTATTTTATTAGTATAACTTTATTTTTCAAGTGTTTTAACATAATATTATTTTTATAAGTATTTTTATTTATTTACCTCTTCCCAAATTTTGCACAATTCCACCCCAAGGACGTTGGTCAACTTTGCCACTTGTTCAACAAATTCTATATCATCTGACTTTTAATAGATCATATTTTAGCAATTTAAAATCCATTTCTAAGAATCTTCTAATAAATTCTAAAATGATTTTCTAAAATGATTTTCTAAAATAATCTTTTAATAATCTTAATAAAAAATGTTACATACATAATCTAACCCAGTCATAACATTTGTTAAATTTAACGCTTGAATTAATTTAAATTTATCATGAGGTTTCATCCCTTTATATATAATCTTAAAATAAATAATATTTATTTAGAATATTATTCTAAAAGTGTAAGAAATAATTAATTCATAATAAATAATAAATAATTAATAATTAATAATAAATTACCTCTGACAAACACTCACAAGCGGCAATCCTTAATCTTGTATCGCCCAACAATTGATAAATTCGTGTTATGAAAGTATCATTTACAATCAAAGAAATGTCAATCCATGCTACATTTAAACAAAAAAAAATGCATTAATACTTAAATCAATAAAATTTGAAAAGAGAATAAATTGCATACATATATATAATCCAATAAGTTTTAAGCACATTTCTGCAATATCTTGGTTCCTTGTAATGTATTCTTCCAATATCTGATACCAAATTAATGCAAGGTTTTGGACATCACCTCCCCTCATATAGTCTTTCTACCAAATAAATCAATTATTTAGTAAATCTGCAAATCATATATGATCATTATATTCAATTCAAGGCCTCTTAATATCAAGAAAATTATAAGAAATCATGAGAAAGTTATGAGGGAGTTATGGAGTTATGAGGGAGTTATGAGAAAGTTATCAGAAAGTTATACTATTTATTAGGATTAAGTAAAATGATACTTACGATATTAGAATTCCTTTGCACTTCATCCTTTTCTCGAGGAACCACTAAACTCGCGACTTCCTCATCTATCGCCAACAATATTCTCAAAAAAATATCAATAGTACGCATATTTGTTTTATTTCCATTTACATTATTTGTTTGAATTAATGCTAAAAATTCGTCAAAAAAATTTATCCAGGACGATGGATAAAGTTGAACAAATAATAGTGTCAAAGTGTGTGCAAACTTGTTTTTAAGATCTAAAATTTAAATAGATAAATAATTAATTATATAGATAATTAATAGATAGATAGATATATATATTAAAACGTATTTGTGCCTTGATCGCACTTACATTGAGGTTCTGTACTAAATTCTGATCCATCCTCCCCAAGAACATACTCCCGTTTAACAAAATCCATTAATGTAGATTGGATTTGGTGAACCTGTGACGCGTCCAGCGAAGAAAATCTGCAGTCAAAGAACACATTATTGAGGACAATCAATCAACAAATATAAAATTATTTATTTATTTAATCACCTATTTTTCAATACGTCTTCCATAACTTGTAAAGCAAATAATCGCGATTCAGGAGTACTGAATAAAATTATACAGGTCGATGCAAAAAAAAACACGTACATATATTAAGAAAATAGGGATGATGGAAGGTAACTGTGATGTTAATAAAAAGTAAGTTATGATAAAAAAAATATCTAATTAAAATAAAAAAAAAAAACGACTTTCTAATATATATAACCAAGCACACCTTTTCGGGAATCGGACAAATAATGAAAGGCATAAAGGCCAACCCTCGGGAGATACTTTCACTTGTTCACAAAAATTCATGGCCTATTTTTATTTTACGTACAGCACGTTCGATTACGTGAAACAAAAGAATGGTTACAAAAATACATCTCGAAAATACATCAAAAAATTTGGTATTCAAAATATAGTAATTTAATGTCAAATTTATGATCTCGGACTAAAATTATAAATCTTTACAAAATAATAATGTACTAGGTTATTTTTTGAAAATTTAATAAATAAAATTGTAAAATAATTACAAAATAAAAATACAAACTTATTTTATTGTTCCTCTAACAAATATCTTTCGAAAGTAAAACCACGCGTCAGCTATTAACCTTACTAACTCCTAAATTTCAAGATTGAAACTAAAAAATATTTCTATTGATTATTTCTTTATAAATTGGTCTACAAACCTGACTTTTCAGACTATGATCTGCTGTGGGACTTAAGGCAAAAGTGACGGCTTGTTCTATTTGTTCCTCCATTATATTTTATGAGCAAGTCTTTTAAGAAAGATCATTTTAAGAAAAGTATTAGCTAGAAACACAAAAGAAATATTTACAAGTTCATTATAATTAAATCTAAACAATATAATATAATTAACCTTCGTTTAAATTGCTTGAAGTTCTGTCAGATTTTTTTTTTTGATCAATTGATAGAACTGTTGCTGATCAAAATTGCGCAATTATAAAAAAATCCGATTGAATATAATTGGCTATCACTGAATAACACATATTAAACTTATGTTGCTAACCACCTTGGCATCCAATGTGAATCTTTTGTCTATGCCAGGTCTCAAGCTCAGGCAGAAACAATACCTCCTTTTACGGGTTCCAAACCACTGACTCATTTCGGACATCGGCTCTGGTATCGATTACAAGAGATCTAGATTGTGTTCCCTATTGGAATGATCAAGTTGCAGACTGGTCAAAGAAATTGTTGTTGCCACCTACAGAGACAGGTTGTGTCAGTTTGCCTTTGATCTCAAGTTCGAAAAAGCCTGTGCCTATAGTCAAAGTAATAGGAAAAGACTTGACATTATACATGTTCCCAAAATTGATTTTGATTTTGAGGTATTTTATATCTGTTCTATATTTAATTTTATTTATAGCTTTGGTTATATAAAACATATTCAATATTGTAATGAGATATCAAATATAAATCTGATATAATTTTCACTTTTCTAATTATAACATATTCAAAAAAAAAAAAATAAATCAATTTTTTTATTAAAACAGGCAATAAATTTGGGTGAAAGGGAAGCAAGATTGATATTTTTACAAGAAAAAATAATGAAATCAGTGTTTTCAATATTTTCATGAGGAAAGAGACAAATTGTCAATTTTATAAGGAGAGAAATGAAATATAAAAAAAGGGGTGGAAAGTTAAAATATATTAGAAAGAAAGGTTAGAGGAAGGAGAAGGAAGTTAAAATATATTAAAAAAAAGAATGAAAAAATCAAAAATCAACAAGAAGAAAACAAACAGAATTGGTATTTTTACAAAGAAAAATATAACTGTTGTAAGAGCGAAAAAAGAAAAAATATTTTTAAAAAAGGAAAAAGGAGTTAGAATGTTATATAGAATGTATTAAATCTTAAAAATGAAAGTCAAAATTAATAAGAGTAGATGATATTAGTATTTTTAACATTTTTATACAGATGTTATATTGATAAGAAAAAGAAAAAAATAAAATAAAATAAGTAAAAGGGGGACATGTGAACTAAATAGTAATAATTTAAAAAAAATAATAATAATTAAAAAAAAACAATAATTAAAAAAAATAATAATAATAATAAAAATAATAATAATAATAAAAATAATTTTTTTAAAAAAAAAAAAGTTAATAAATTAAATCTAAATTAATTAAATAATATAAATAGAAAATTTTGAACTAAATTGAGAACTTTTTATATAAGTAATATTATTTATTATATATTACAGCAGTTCACAAATATTTCAAAAAATTCTAATTCTTGAACAATAGATTTAGAATAATAGTTACTATACATATTTTAATCTTTGAGTTGTGAAGATTTTTTTTGAGATGTTTTTGGTATAACATTTATAATTCTAATTTTGTATAAATGGATGATCAACATTGGAAATTGTTATTTAATAAAATTTTAATTGTGAATAAAATTTTATACAGAGTAATTACAGATAAGATAATTATAAAGTTGATTGTTTTTCTTAAGAAGAATAATCATGTCAAATTTTACAACAATTGGATTAGTGACTATTAAGAAATTAACTCTTATAAATTATACTAGTCAAATACAAAAGAATTACTATACTAAATGGTAATTCCTATACTATATATTAGCTAAAATTGGTAACAATTGATTGTCTTATTGCATCCTATATTATAAATTAGCTAAAATTGAAATTTCTTTTTGATACAGTATATCTTTTGTATTTGACCTGTGTTAATAAAAAAATTTTTTACTGTATATATAAATTTTAATTTTTAACAATTAATTTTTAAATAACTACTAATCTAATTGTTATGAAATTCAACATACTTATTTTTTTTAAAAAGGACAATTAACCTTATAACTATCTTGGTTGTAACTATTCTGTATAAAATTTTATTTATAATTAAAATTTTATTAAGTAACAATTTTCAATATTAATCACTTATTTTATGCAAAATCAGAACTATAAATTTGATACCAAAAATATTTTAAAAAAATTTTAAAACTCAAATATTAAAATATGTATAGTAACTATTGTTCTAAAATTTATTATTCAGAAGCTAGAATTTTCTAAAAATAAAAAGTCAGGTGTTTCAATATATTTATAAGTCACTATTGTTAACCAATATTTATTTTGTAAAGAATTTACACTGGTCAAAAACTTAAAAATCTTACACATATCAGGTATCAAATAAGTGTAGTATTCATTATCAGGCATATATCAGGCACTTGATATATATATTATATATATCAGGTACCTGATAAATGTGAAAAAATATTTTTTACACATATAAAAATATTTATTACACCTATCGGTTATCTGATATATGCCTGATAATGAATACTACACTTATCTGGTATCCAATGTGTGTAGGATTTTTAAATTTTCAACTAGTGTTAGGCCGCGGAATGAATTTCAGCAGGAATAAATCCAGCAACAGTACTATAATAATAAGTACAAAAATTACACAGCAATATACTTACAATAAAGTATAAGAACTAAGGTTTTATAATTATAAGTTTTATTTGAAAGAAACAAAAAGATGAGATTTTTATAAAAGTAAAAGTCACTAAGACAAGTCACTAAAACAAAACTATATTAAATAAGTCACTAAAACAAAAGAATTAACAAAAAGTTTTACTAAAAACTAATATAAAAGAATATTTTTACTAAGAAAATTACAAAGTATTTCACCAAGGATGTTATTAAGACTATTAATAAAAAATAATTTATCAAATTTAAAACCATAATAGATTACATTATACTCTATATTAACATATACACTATTAATTATACTAATGTATACTATTGATTATGCTTTCTCTTATATTGTTAATTATGCTATTGAATATACTATCTATTACATTTTTAATTATATTATTGTTTACACTATGGATTAACAACTGTAATCATAGCTACATCTAAAGTTTTAAATTTTATAACTAAATCGCAAGACCGTCAATTTCCACTTTGTGGGTCAACTTTTCGTCTAGATTAAATTAGTAATAGTTTAGTTTAGAGTAGGTAATTAGAACACAACATATAAATTTAACAATTGTTTTATTTAATAAAGTGTAAAAAAAAAAATAACTAAATCGTAAAAACGTTACTAAGTAAAATTATAGCTAAGAACTAAATACACCTACTAAATAAATTTTAGATCTAAAGCTCACAAATTAAAGGAAAGCTAAGTATTTAAATTATGAACGGATATTCAAAATTTAAATGTCCCTCTTTCCTTTAATTTGTGATATTTAGGTCTAAAATTTTTTCAGTAGATGTATTTAGTTCTCAGCTATAATTTTACTTAGTAACGTTTTTGATGTTTTACTAATAAAAAAGTAAAAATGATCGATTTTTTTCTTTTTTATTATCAAAAATCGTACAAAAATCGCCAAAAAATCGGATGGCCGATTTTCAGGTGATTTAAAGATCGACCAGTGATACCTTAACAATTCTCTAATTGAAAATGGAATTTGCAATGGAGTTGTTACTGATATCAACCTCCAAGAACAATCAGCAAGAGTAGCATTTTCCATTAGAGGTTCAATAGTAGATATTCAAATTTATAAACATACTCATTGTTTTGAAATTACTATTCACAAAACTCAAGGTCTCACTTTACCAAAAGTATGTCTTGCTTTAGATAAAAACATTTTTTCATCTGATCAAGCTCTGAGCAGATGGAATAATATTGAAATATCACATTTAGATAGATCCGCATTTATTACTGACCCTACTATTAAACTCGACTAGAACTTATTTCTGAATCTAGACCGACTTATTTATTTAATCCTATATTTTTTTTGTATAACATTATAATTTTTTATGTAATTAAATAATAAAAAAAAAATACTCGCTAGTTATTAAATAATTGGAATAACACTTAATTTTGACTAATACAAATCAAAAAATTTATTGAATAACTTGGTCAATTTGCTCTTATTTTATAATCAGTATTATATTATTTTAAAAGTAAAAAAATCACCATTAGAATTATGTAAGAATTTAAACAATTGTTTCAAAATTTAATCATTGTATCAGAATTTTTTAAAAATTTAATCATTATATCAGAATTTTTTTTAAAATAAAATTATTTGATTTTTCGCCGTTATTTTAGTCTAATTTTCTTTTTCAAATATAAGATAATTAAACTATACTGTACAATACAAAGGAAATCTTTTTATGGTATAGGTTGTATAAATCGTAGGTATTATTTTATAGTTTATCAAATTTCTTGGCTTCTATCGCTCATGTGAAAATATTTTTTATCTTTATTCTAATTAATAATATATAAATAGCTGAATTCTATTGCACGTGTAAGAATAAATTATAAATTATAGCATGGCATAATAACTGTGAAAAGTTTAAAGGTCAAAAAGGTCACAATGAGAATAACAAAAATATAAATGATGTGAAACTCATGGGGGATAAAATCTCCGAGGGCAGGAAAAATGGAAAAATAAATAGAAATTCAGAATTATTGTGATATGCAAAACTCTTTGTTAGAATACTTGGAAAATTCTTTAAATATTCCATAGAAATAAATTTTCGAATATTCTTTATTGTTATTTGATTACATATAAATAAAGAAAAATACCGCAGTTAAAACAATAGACTAATAAAAAATATCATGAGGTTGTTGATTGTTGATAAATGCTTGATATAGTGCTTTATATAAATTACTAAAACGAACATATAAACAGACGTGGATGTAACATAAACAAAAGTAAAAACAAATGTTATTGTTGAATCAATTATTTTTTAACCAACCAACCAACAAATAAAATCTAAAAGCGTGTTATGTTGTGTTGTTATGTATATTATTTATTATTTTTATGTAGGAATAAAATAATAAAATAATTTTTTTTTTAATTATCCAATAAAAGAATCCTATAAATAGGAATAATAATAATAATAATATTTAGTAATTATAAATATTAAAGTAATATAAATAGTAATAATAAACGGTAATAGTAAATGATAAAAAAGTTTTCTGGGTTTAATCATAATAATAATAATAATTATTCTCATTCATTATATGGGGATTATCGTACGATTGTACAATATAAATAAAAAATATAGAAAATAAAATTTGTCGTATGATAAATTTTAATGGTTCATTAATTATAAGGACGTGATTATTGTGTTTCATAATTCCTTTGTGATTTAATTAGTATCGGAATTTAATTGACATTGACTTTTTTAATGGTCACTTGATAACAAAAAAACTCAACATTTTAATATAATATTTACCAAATTTAATCATACTATAAATATACAATATTATATACTAATATATACAAATAGATATACTATTATATACTATTATTATATATTATTGTTTACTATTATTTGAGTTTATCCATCTCTCCGTTTGTTTGTCCCGTTTGGGATTAAAATTTCCCCTTAATCATTTTAAAATTATATAAACTTCAAACTTTTATTTATTTAATTTTTTTTTAATTTTTTTTTTTTCAGAAGTTTATTTTAACGATTAATTTTTATTTCTTCCCATATAACATATTATATAACATATTATATTATATAATATACAAACTTACGAAGAATAACTTTTTTTTTTTTTTAAAAAAAAAATATAAAATAAATTTAGAAATAAAAATTAGAAAACTGGAAAATACCAATATGCCAGCCATTACTTGTACTTCAAATATTCATTTACCCAATTCACCAGTTTCTTCACCTACAACACCAACTGCTTCAACCGTATCAGACACGCCAGTCAAAACAGTTTCAGTGGGTATGGCGACACTATCTTATATTAAAACATTGATAGTAGATGACAACATAATTACCGCCAAATTGTTATCAAAAATACTTTCCAAGGAATTTGGACATGATACTACATGCGCAGTGAGTGGCAAAGAAGCATTACAACAATTATCCTGTGAAACCTTTGATATTATATTTATGGATATAGATATGCCAGAATTATCTGGTATCGAAACGACTTTAGCGATACATGCTTCAGGGTCAACTGTATTAGAACAAAATCGACAGATACCAATAATTGCTTATACAACAAATCCTTGTGAAGAACGATATTTCGAAGCAGGAATGAATGGTTGGGTAGGAAAACCAGCAAATCAATCAATGGTTAAAAAAGAATTAGAACGGGTATGTAGTTCACCTAATACCTTTACCAAATAACACAAGGACAAATCTAAATGCCGGATTTCAATAAATTTATTTTATTTTATTTTATTTTTTTTCAATCGGACATTTTTAATAAATAATTACAACATTGACATTTCCTTCCCTCTTTTTTCTTTTTTTTTCCTTTTCTTCTTGGCATTTTTGTAAATATAGCATAGAGCCTTTTTTTTTTTTTAATCAAAAACCTTTTTTTTTTCGTTAAAATGACAACATTCATAAAATTTACATCATATTTTTTTGAAATATCGAATATTTAATAATTAAACGATCGAATCATAATTTCCCACAAAAATATTTACTTACAACAGAACAGAACAGAATAGAACAGAACATCATCAAAAAAATAATATCAAAATTATATCAAAAAAAGAACAGAAAACGAATTTACAGAACAGAATAACAACAACATTATTACATTAAATATTAATTATCCATCATTATTATTCATCAAATCATCTTTACATATGTAAATATATGAATCTTTATATGTATTTCTAATAATTTTTATAAGCATAAGATTATGAACCAAATTTTGAAAATTATTATTTTTTTTTTAATTTTCTTCAATTAGGATTTCAATCATGTAATGAATTACTTTTTTTTTTCACTTTAAAATTAAATAGAACAGAAACAGAAACAGAAACAGAAACAGAACAGAAACAGAACAGAAATAACAAATAACATTATAATAATAATAAAAAAAAAGCAATTTTGAAATGATTTAATGATTTATATACTTTATATATTAATTTATCAATTCTTTTTATCTTTCCATGATTCCGATACTAAACATCGTAAATTCGGACACTTTTTATAGACTTAACAAATGACTTTTTTTTTTATTAAAGAAATGAAATCTCAAGTTTATAATTTTTACATAATTTGTTACTACTTCTACAGTGATCGTTACCACACAGGCTTCGCAAAAAGAAAAAAAATAATAATAGATCAATATATCAAATATATGTTGCGTATTTGATAAAATTCGATCTTTTCGTAAAGATCACATGATGAATCTTAAAAATGCCCTTTAGCAAATAATAATAAATAAATAATGTGGGGAAATTCGTGCGAACTTTTCTTTCTCCAGGATTTATATCACATAATAAGACAAAATTAGTGGCTTGGTCAGTGTACCGACATTCTTATTAATAAAAACAAAAAAAAAATAGAAACTTAACGCCACTAAAAAAAAAAAAATTTAAATGGTTGGATTAGAATTGGTTGACTATCACATATATGGTTTTTATTGCCTTTATCGATAAATATAAAATTTTTATTCCATGGAAAAATATTTGATATTCCACGTGTTAGTGTTGTACATTTTACATGTTCTAGCTTTTTTGTCTGTCCCCGTGTCCGCGTCCCGCTGTCCGTGTTAACTAATTTTAAGAAATAAATTCTGAATAGCTCAAAATAGGTTTTTTTTTGGTCTTTGATATCATTGCGTTGTTGGGTCCAAAATCCATCAGGTGATACCAACTATTGCACACTCAAGAAGGTATTTAATGTGAAAGAGATTTGTGATTTAAATTTTTTTTTATTATAGCATATTTTGGAATACAACTGGATATCAAGTATTTGTTTTTGAAATAACTTGTAAAATGATCATAATATGATCATATGGTGTGATCATATGTTGTGATTTCAATTAGTGGCTTTTTTTTTTATACTCTTATAATCGAACATTTTCGAAGAAAATTTTCGTGTAAAAATGGGTTGCGTCGAGGAATTCAAATCTCTAAATTTTGCAATTTACGCTCAATGGTATGTAAAAATATTAAACTTATTAAGCTTATTAAAAAAATATAGTGATCAAGTAATATATATTTGAATAGTATTTATTATTATATTTGATAATATTTGTTACATTGCATGTGTAGTAAAAGAATTTTAAATAATAAATTTTCTTTATTCTTTTTTTTTTTTTTTTTTTTTTTTTGAAATAGGCTTGGACTCTTATCCATCATTTGTAAGTTTTTGTAAGTTAAACTCAATTCTTTCTTTAGCTAACTTTTTTTAAAACTAAAATTCAAAAAAAAAATGGTTCTTTTCAGTTCTTATTGTATTTGGCATTCTTTCATTCTTACAGAATATCATTTTTGCTATTCTCGCATGGTAAGATAATATAATTAAAATCACAAATTGAGAAATCAATAATAATAATAATAATAATAATAATATAATATAATTATATATTTAGGGTTATTGCATTTGTTCTGGTGTTTGTAGAAATACCATTATGTACAAAGGTATTTATCTTATTAATTATATTATTTAATTATTATATTATTATATTTACCATTGAATTATATTATTTTCTAGGTTTGTCCAACAAGTCCCAAATTGTAAGTCTTTCATACATTTTTGATTAATTCTGTAAATATAAAAAATAACTTTGGAGTTGATCCTTGAACTTGTTTTTTTAGTGATCAATTTGTTAAACAGTTCAAAAATAATTGGGTTCGCACAGTTGGATATCTTGCGTATGTATTCTTCATAATATTCATAACATATTTTCATAAAATAATAAAAAAAATGCTAAAAAAAATTTTTTTTTAAATAATTTCTTGATTAGTTTTGCATCAATAATGTTCGTGTCTGTTGTTATTAATACAACCTCTTTAATTGCTCCCGGAATTACATTATTTTTTTCTGGTGCATGTTACGGTAAATATTTATTCATTATTTTATTCATCATTATTATTTTTATTCATTATTTTTATTCATTATTTTTATTCATGATTTTTATTCATTATTTTTATTCATTATTTTTATTCATTATTATTTTTATTCATTATTTTTATTCATTATTTTTATTCATTATTTTTATTCATTATTTTTATTCATTATTTTTATTCATTATTTTATTCATTATTATTTATTCATTACTTTTCATTATTTATTCAATATTTTTCAATATTTAGGAATTGCTGCTTTAAAACATCAACCTCCTGCTGCCAGTACAATTACTGGAGGAAATGGTATTTCAATAAGTAGTGTTTCTGCTATTGGTCGTACGTTAGTTTAATTCAGGGAAATATTTTTTTAATTTTATTAATTTCTTTGTAGTTTAAAGTTTCCCAAAAAGATCTTTTATTTATAAAGATCTTTAATTCTTTTTGTTTGTCATATGATTTGATAATTATTATTTTAAACCTGGAAATGTATAGCCTGCGAATTTTAATTTCACTTTTCTACCTTTTATTGTTTTTTTATCTTTTAATTAATAAAAGATATAAAAGTGATAAAAGTGATAGACATTTAAATATTACCAAAAAATTTAACACATTTAATAATACTGTATTATAATAAAATTATAATAAATAATAATATGAAAATGTAATAAATATTATAGCAAGAATTTAATATATATATATATATATATATATATATTGTTTTATAATTACATAAAATTCATCGAATATACAATTACTTTTCTATCTTTTCTATTATAATCAATTTCTTCATCTGTTTCTGTTTCCCAATCTGAACACGTCTGAAAACCTTCTGATCCCGATTCCACTTCATAATAGTTAATTTGCTTTTGTATATATTCTTGTCTATTACTTTTCTCTTTACCCTGAGATTTGTAATTCTCTTCTGCGCCGGATTCTATTATATTATCCTCCGCGCCGAATTCTATTATATTATCTTCTGCGCCGGATTCTATTGTTTCCTCTGCGCCGAATTCTATTAAATTATCCTCTGCGCCGGATTCTATTGTTTCCTCTGTGCCGGATTCTATTACATCCTCTGCGCCGGATTCTATTACATCCTCTGCGCCGGATTCTATTACATCATCTGCACCGAATTCTATTATTTCCTCTGCATTGGATTCTATTATCTCCTCTGTGCCGGATTCTATTATTTCCTCTACGTCGGATTCTATTATCTCCTCTGCGCAGAATTCATTTATGTCCTCAACGCAAGGATCTGTCCACCAAATCGATTCATCCCCATCTTCAGATGATGTGCTCGAATAATCAACATATCCAACTCTGTGCGCATCATCTTTTTGAATGTTTCCTCGATTTACTACTACTTCTTGAGATTTTATGTCAATTACGTCTGCATCATCTTCTGAAAGTTTTTGATATCGCTTAATTATTTTAGCCCATGTTGATTTTAACCGATTTTGATTCAAAATTCGGAGGTAATTTAAGTTTTGCTTTTTTATTTTAACCGTTGCCAAATTTATCTTTTTTGTTTTTAATTTAGTCGTTTTCTTGTTACAACTCATTTTTATCGAATTTTGTTCTTTTCTACTTTTACCAATACGCGTCATCGGTTTTCGAAAAAATCTACAATATTTGATGTGCTTGCTTTGTTTGTTATATGCAAATTTTATTCCACAGATCTACTCAAAAAGGTAAACGCCACATACGCCTCATTCACAAATCATGTGAAATTTTGTAAGGGTTAGTTATTTTTAAATCCATTCTGAACTCTGGTGACCACGCGCAGAAAAGACTATAAATATGGGAGAACAAATGAATGCTGTTTACGCGACTGATGAATATGGACGCCCCTTCATCATCGTAAGGGAGCAACAGAGAAAGAGTCGTCTTAGCGGGATCGAAGCGATCAAGGTTTCTTGCAACGGGATCGATTATTTCCAATTATGCAAATATAACCTAATGTATTTTTGAAAGACTAACTCCTATCTTTAATCATAGTCACATATTTTAGCAGCTAAAACCGTTGCTAATATAATTAAGACTTCCTTGGGTCCTAGAGGTTTAGATTTTGATTTGAACTTCGATGTCATTATTCAAAAATCCCAATCATTTGATTTAATTTTATTTATCGGTTTCTCATGTATTCTAATAAAGGTCTTGACAAAATTTTGATATCTTCTGATGGTGATATTACGGTAACTAATGATGGGGCCACGATTTTAACTCAAATGGAAGTGGAACATCAAATAGCCAAATTATTAGTTCAATTATCTAAATCACAAGATGATGAAATTGGGGATGGGACAACTGGTGTAGTTGGTATATATATATATATATATATTATTTTTTTAATAAAAAATGACAATTTTTTTCAATTTTGTCAATTGCATTTTTTATAAACAATTATTTATTTAAATAATTACAGTCCTTGCTGGTGCTCTTCTTGAACAATGCGAAAATCTCTTAGATCGTGGAATTCATCCGATCAGAATTTCTGATGGATTTGAGAGAGCATGCAAGATTGCTGTAGAACATTTAGATAGCATTTCTGACGTGGTGGAATTTACTAAGGACAATACAGAAAATTTACTTAAAACAGCTAAGACAAGTTTAGGAAGTAAAATGTAATTATGATATTATAATAATTTAAGGTCTTAGATTGATCTCACATTCTTTTCTTTTCTCTTAAAAATAATATTTAATAGTGTTTCTAAACATCACGATCAATTTTCCAAAATTGCCGTGGACGCTGTTTTGTCTGTGGCTGATTTGGAGCGCAAAGATGTTGATTTTGAACTTATCAAAGTTGATGGCAAAGTTGGAGGATCACTTGCTGACACAATTCTCGTACAGGGAGTTGTTGTAGATAAGGATATGTCACATCCACAAATGCCGCGTGAGATTCGAGATGCCAAAATAGCAATATTGACATGTCCATTTGAACCCCCAAAACCAAAAACCAAACATAAATTGGACATTACTTCAGTAGAGGAATATAAAAAATTACAGAGTTATGAAATAGAAAAATTTGAAGAAATGATCAAACGCGTCAAAGATGCTGGTACTAATTTAGTTATTTGTCAATGGGGATTTGACGATGAGGCCAATCATTTGCTGATGCAAAATCAGTTGCCAGCCGTCCGATGGGTTGGAGGTCCAGAGATTGAGGTATTATCATAATAAGTAATATTACACGTATGAAAAATAATGAAAAATAATTAATTTTCATGTCATATTAAATAGTTGATAGCCATTGCTACAAATGGTCGCATAGTACCACGTTTCGAAGATTTATCTCCTGAAAAACTTGGTACTGCTGGACTTGTACGTGAAATTTCTTTTGGAACCACAAAAGATCGAATGCTTGTCATCGAGGAATGTTCAAATACTCGAGCAGTCACTGTATTTGCTCGTGGTAGCAATAAAATGGTAAGTAAATATTATTATTATTATTATTTTCATAAATTTAATTATAATAATTATAAAATACTTAATTTTAAATCATTTCTCCATGAATCTTAGATTGTTGACGAGGCTAAGCGTGCTATTCATGATGCACTATGTGTAGTTCGTAACCTCGTTCGTGACAATCGGGTTGTATATGGAGGTGGTGCTGCTGAAATTAGTTGTTCACTTGCTGTTTCTAAAGCTGCAGATCAGGTACATATATTTTATTGATATTTATATAAATAAGAACACTTATATTTATCTCAGTATCACATTATTTAATGAATAGATATCATCAATTGAACAACATGCCGTACGTGCGTTCGCTTATGCTTTAGACGCAACACCATTGGCACTTGCTGAAAATTCAGGATTCTCTCCTATAGAAACTTTGGCAGATATAAAATCACGACAAGTGACCGAGAATAATAGTAAACTCGGCATTGACTGCATGTATACGGGGTCTAATGGTAACAAGATTTATTGTTATTTCATTATTTTTATTTATTTAGTATTTTGATTCTAATTTTATTACATTTTTTTCTTTATAAGATATGAAAGAAAAATTCGTTTATGACCCACTTATATCCAAAAGGCAACAATTTTTGCTGGCCACACAACTCGTTAAGATGATTCTCAAAATAGACGATGTAAGCACTTTCCCAATTTATAATTTCGTGTATTTATTATTAGTCCTTACTTCATTTTTTTTTATATATTATTTTATTCAAGGTAATTACTTCCGGAGCAACCGAATAGATATTACCATCATCCGAATAAATTATAAGAATGAATGTGATAATTTCATTATTTAAATCATTAAATTTGATTTAATAAAAGATTTATTGTAAAATGAATACTTAATATTAATAGATTTATAAATTGCATTTGAACTGTCCGAGGAAAATCTTATAATAAATTTTGCTTTATAATCAAAGATAATGTAATCCTTTATATTTCGAGACTCGTGCATCTTTATTTTATTACGTACCAGTCTCCATGTCTGCTGATTGCCGTATGATTCGTTCACAATTTTCCAGTAAGTTATTAAATTGAGACAAAACTCTCAAATTTCCCGTTTCCTGATTTGATAATGGATTGACATTGTCACAACACCGAAAAGTTGTATTTATCAAGAGACTTTCAAATCCATCCTGAAAAGAAGTGATTAATTAAATAAAAGATTTACAATGAAGACCAGAGTGCTTTAGATGTTTTGGGAATCGATAAAAAATATGTACCAAAACTTCATTTTCATTCTGTGGACTGTTGTCAACTATGACCGATTCTCGTAGGATATCGATATCTGAGAGAAAATTATGAACTTGTTCCAATTTCTTCAATAAAAATTATTAATGTAATAAAAGTTATTGTAATATAAATAATTATATTTATATATTACAAAATATTTGAGAAAATAAAATAATGCTAACTTTTCTAATTTGTTCATTCTCTTTGTATCCTTTTCTTTCAACACTTAGTTCCGTTTTTATTTTGTCGCGTTTATAAATTAATCCTAAAATCTCTTTGCACAATTGTTTGATTCGTAATTTTGCCTTCCGTAAAGATGATCTAAGCAACATTTGCTTATCAATAAGATCCAACTAAATTCCGAAATTTTTTTTTTAGCTAATTTATTCCGTGAATTAAATGTTCAATAAAAGAAAAATCTTTAGGACCTGTTCGAGAATACGAATTTCAACTATTTTTTTGAAATGAAGTATTTCCTTTTTGTATGAGAGTTCGTTTTCTTGTTCTTTCCTATTTAATGAATTTTACACCCACAAAAAAAAAATATACATATATGTTATTAAATATATACTGAGAATCTGAAGTGAAGATAAAAAGAACATACAAGAACTCCGATATAATATTATTTATAACTTTAAATAAATATCTGTTATCATCAAATTGTCGTTCGTTATTATCATTATTTATCAGTGGTTCATTCACTGTCGTACTGTCTAAAGGTTGATATGTAATTTCTTGATTTTTTTCTTCTTCCAGAACATCAGGTATATCAGATAAATATCCGTTACCATCAAATTGTTCAGGTATATCAGATAAATATCTGTTACCATCAAATTGTTCAGGTATATCAGATAAATATCCGTTACCATCAAATTGTTCAGGTATATCAGATAAATATCCGTTACCATCAATTTGTTGTTCGTTATCAAACGATAACTTATTAATTAAGGGTTGAGGTATAAATTCTTGATTTTTTCCTTGTTCCGGAATCTCTATTGTGAAATTTCTAAACTCTATTCGATGTGTACTAATTTACGTAATTTTTGATGATATTGAAAAGTTTGTTAATAATATAATAAAATTCGAATCTATAAAATTTATGTAAATTGATTTACCCAGCACCTCTTCTTCGTGCGAGTATTCGTTCTTGATATTTTTCAAGTTGTTGGTCCGCTGCAAATTCATTTAAGTTTTAAGTTGGTTCAAAGTCATTTTAGTCTTATTATCGCGTGAATTAACTAACCTCCCGAGTTTGTCATTTTTATAAAGGAAGTTACCAAAAAAAAAAGTTTGTAAACGTAACGTATTACATCACACGTTGAAAATTAATTCATATGACTTTTGTATATCATCTCTTTTTTTTACTTCTCGCACAATAAAATGTCAAATTTCATAGCCGTTGCTGTAGGTTTTTTAACTTCTTCCGCATTATTGTATCGTTTCGAATCAGATATCGAAAATAATACAAATCAAATTCGAAAACAATTGTATAATTCTCAAAAACAACTTAAAGCTGCTTTACCTAACTATTTAAATAGTGAGTTGGTAAGTAATATGATTAGGACCAGAAAAATAAGTTTTTCTTTCTGAATTTATGAACTAAAACAACTTCTCTTTAATAATTACTCAAATAGAAAAACGAGTCTTTAACACAACCATTCAAAACACCAAATAATCGACCTCAACTACCTATTCCATCTATTTCTCAAACACAAAATTATGTTAATTATCGATTAATTCCAACATTTAAAGCTACATGGAATGATCATATTATAACATTTGCTAACAAAGTTACTAATTTTGATGTAAATGAAACGGTCAAGACTGCAATTATAAAGACAAAATCTTTTGCAGAAGATAGAAAATGGACCAATGGTAAAAAATAATCAAAGTTTTTATATAAGACAATTAAAAATTTTATTATGACAAAGAATTTTTTTTTTCTTCAATATAAATTGTAAAATAGTATTTTAAATAAATTTATTAAAAATATACTCTTTATTTATTCAATATAACAAAATAATAAGCAACAGCCTCATTTGAATCAACATATTTTCAGAATGTGTTGTTTGTATATCTTTATCAGATTTTTTTTAAAGATTTTCTAAATACAATTCTATATCTCCAAAAAATCAAATATCTTATCTTTACGTTTACCAGTCTATTTAAAGATTGACCGTTCTATCCTTATATGTATTACTAGTTCATATATGTAAAATCAGAGATTGGGCGGTAAATAACTGATATATATCCCCGGGTAATGATTCGGGCTAAATCTAACTTTTAATTTTATTAATCTCATTGTTACAATAACCACCCAGAGTAGTAATCCTAAAGCAAGTAAATAAAGTTTCGCCCATATTTTTTCTATCTTTTAATTTTATTAATCTTATTGTTACAATAATCACCCAGAGTAGTAATCTTAAAGAAAGCAAATAAAGTTTCACCCATAGCAAAAAGTCCTTCTACATTTCAACTTTTAGTTTAGCCCGAATCACTAATCCCAGGTACTAACACCTAGCGGTTCGATTTTTGGATTTTTTTTTTGTATTTGATAATCATGACTAATTAATAAATACTTAATTGAATAATAAGCGAATTATGATCAAAAATGGTTCTTTCAAAGTTTTATTTGTAACAATTGTTGAATTAATTATAGACTTGCGTAATTATAGACTTGCATAATTATAGACTTGCATAATTATAGACTTGCATTATAGACTTGCATAATTTTAGACTTGCATAATTATACATTTACTTGTTGTCATATCCTATGCTATTATGAATTACAGATTATATAACTTGTGCAATATGCGAGTCTATTACTCAAGGGAAAACTTTGATGAAAATCTTAAATGTTATACAAGATGAAAGTGATTTATTTAAATTTTTTTTTTTCTTGAATATTTATTAATATATATTCATATGGTTTCTTAAATGCTGCGCAATAACAATTCAATTTTTGAATTATTTATTATTATTCGTAAAATAATGCTTAGTACCTGCATTTTAACCTGTGATTTTAATTGATATTACCCTTCTGCCTTAAGATTAGAGAATTAATTATTGTCCAGTAACTCATTAAAGTCGGGAAATTTATGGAATTTCACAGTATTTATTAAATCCACAAATTTTTATTTCGGTTAATAGGTTTAATTATAATTTTGAAATTTCGACAAGTAGGATTAATCAAGTTTAAAGATCTCATCAATTAACATCTTAAGATCTAATTTCTAATTAAAGTACTTTACAAAAAAGTAATTAACGATTGATAAAAAAAAACCAAGCACGTGTGTATCATACAAGCCTTTGCAAATCAATAAAGAAAAAATCTGGTGAATGAAAAGTGTAACCCTAAAATTGGGATGATCACTAAATAATAATGAATAAGATCTGCTCTACAATAATGTTCTATAAATGCTACAATGATACAAGTTTCCCGCGCATCGTATTTGACAAGCCACTAACTATTTTTAATAAAAAAAAAAGAGCGCCAAAACTCTAATTTCGTAGCCACATGGTGACATTAATTTGTTTGTAGTTTATGGTAATTCGAACGATGATCATAATCTCTTGGTATGGAAAAAACTAAAAAGACAACACAAGTAAATTTGATGAATTTGATGATGTGATTTTAGTTCATTGTTTATCATGTGATTTTATAATCACGTGAAGTCATATATCTCTTGGTATGGAAAAAACTAAAAAGACAACACAAAGTAATTTAACAGGTGACATAAAAACTGTACGGTACGAAACGCTATTTTTAACAAAATAGCCATAAAATTCGTGTGTTACGCATATAGTCAATTCGGCAGTACAAAATAGTGCAGTTTATCTGTATTATGCAATTAATTCATTATTTATCATGTGATTTACTAATCACGTGAAATAATATAATTGTTCTTTAATTTTAATAAAAATTTCAAAATTACTAATTTCTACTAGTAAGAATATTAATTATATATAATAAGCTGTTAAACAAACTAATTGTGAAAAAAAAATGAAATAAATCAAGATTAATTAGGAAAGAAATAAAAAAAAAATTAAAAAAATAAATAAAATTATATTAAATCTTTAAATTAATTGGTTCACATTTCGATGATAACAGATAAATAAATAATAATTATGTTAATAAATAAAAAAAAAGGAGAATGAATCGTAAATAGTGAATAAAAAGAAGTTAACCAATTGAAGTAATTATGATTTCTAACTGTAGATACTAAATTAGGTACACGATAAGGTATACGATAATATATTTATTCAATGATATAATATAACATAATATATCAATATTATATACAGTCGGGTCTCTCTATAATTTCTATAATTACACATTCGGGATCAATAAATTTGGTGATATTAGATTTACTATGGATTATATAAAGATAAGATTATAATAAGTGTGATTATAGACTGTACTATTTATTATGATATAATATAATAATTATAATAATAAAATAATTTTAAATTACGCGTTTCTTAACGCTTGCGCAGTTAATTATACGTGTTTTTATGTATTGAAAATCCTTTTCAACCTTTATTGGGTAAAATTGTGTTCACAATTATTAATTGCATTCAAAAACAAATAAAAACAATGAATTAATTTTAAATTTACGCCACAATTTAATTTAGTTAAAATCTTGGCCACGGCACAAGCCACTTTTGGTCAAGCCTCGCGCATGTTTCAGAGTGATGATAATATTTATTTATGGACTAACGATGAATGATCTGATTTTGGTTGTACACTAGTTGAATAAATAATTTAAATAATCAAACTATTAAAAACAATATTAACGGGAAGTTTTATTAAAGTAATATAAAAGTATAATAAAATATATAAATATAATAAATATATTAAATTATTAAATTTTACATAATAAATTTATAATATTTATCTTCTAAAAAAATGTCGTTCGCTTTTATGCATATAAAACAGCAGTACAACCCAACCAACTATAACCTGTGTTAATCTTCAAGTCTCTTGGAATTTTTTTTCAAAGAGATCATCATTAAAAAAACCTATATATATAACTTTCCATCTTCCACAAAAATTTCTTTTATAAAGTTGTTTGTTTAGTTAAAGAACTTCAATTTCTTCCTTTGTTCTTCTTTACACAGGAAATAAAAACAAACAAATCCCTTCTTTACTGTGTATATTCTAACTATTATAGGGTTATTATTGTGCACATTATAAATATATATACAAATATATACACATACATAAATACACATACATAAATAAAATACATATAAAATACAATATACTGTATGTATTTTTATATAAATTAACATCTTTTCTTCCGTTTTTTTTTCATTAGTTTTTTTTTCTTCTTTTCATTCTTCCATTCTTTCATTTTGAATCACGTCTCTTTTACGAGGGTTTTTTATTCCTCATTCTTTTCTTCATTCTATTCATTCTGTTTCACTCTATTTCATTCTATTCATAATTTGATTATCATTTTTATCTTTAAAATTTCGATCATATATAAATATAACACATATAACAATAAAATTCTTTAAATTTGCTTCGTTTTTTTTTTCTTTTCTCTTATTTCCGTAAGTTTTTAATTATTTTAATTATTTTAATTATTTTAATTATTTTAATTATTTTAATTATTTTAATTATTTTAATTATTTTAATTATTTAATTATTTTAATTATTTTAATTGATTTAATTACTTTAATTATTAATAATTCATCTTTTGATTTCTTACAAAACGCGGAAATAATTGAGCTATAAAAATTTAGAAACACGTCTTTTTTTTTTTTAATGTTAACTTCTTTTTCATTTTATCTTCACACAAATAGAAACCATTATCAATGAGTTATTCCTCTGTTGTATGGATCGATGATCCATTCTTCATTAAACGTCAGCGTGTTCAGATGGCATGTTCATTTTGTCGTCAAAGAAAAATCCGGTGTGATGGAAGAAGTCCTTGTGCAAATTGTAGAAAATATTCTACAACTTGCAACTATGTGAAAATAGAAAAATCTAATAAAGGAAAAGCAAAATATAACAATGGTGAAAATTCTTCTGGACGCGTTAATATCTCTTATACTAGAAGTCCTTCTCATGGAAAACGTCCAATTGATGAGGTTTCCTCTAATTCTTTATCTCAAAGTTTACCTCCTGCCCTTCGTAATAATACAAACTCTTCGGGATTTTCCTCTTCTTCTCAATGTAATATTTTGTTTTTTTTTCATAATTTATTTATTATTGATATTCATTATTACTGTACAAATTTTTTTAATACAACTTAATTATCTAGCAATTATAAGTTCTCCCGTTTCTATTTCTAAATCGGAACCAAAATTACCTTCCATCGAAGATAGATATTCTCTAATACCAAACGAAGAAACCGTTAACCATTTATTGGGTCTTTATTGGGTTAACGTTCATCCTTATGTTCCAGTTATTAACAAGTCAATTTTCCTACAACAACGTGAAAATCCCAATGATCCCCCTTCCCTCTTATTACTCAACGCCATGTTTGCCGTTGTCGCTGAGTTTTCTGATCGTCCTTCCATAAAAAATGACCCGGAAACTCATGAGAAAGGTGGCTGGATATTTTTTGATAGAGCTCGTAATTTATTAGATACTTTTTTGGATGCTCCTAGAATGTCCACCATCGCTGCCCTTATCTTAATGTCAATTTATCTACAACATAATACAAGGCGTTCTGGAGTTTCTCCAGGTTATTTTCGTAGGTGGATGTATATTGGAATGGCTATTCGTATGGCTTTAGAATTAGATTTAAATAAAGATTGTGATGATCCAAATATTAATCGTTCTCACAAGGAATTAAGAAAAAGGTTATGGTGGTCTCTATTTATGGTAGACGTTTTAGTCTGCTGCGGAATTGGTAAAGCAAGTGATATAGAAGAAGACGAATGTACTATTCCTGAACCTGATGAAAATGATTTGATAGACGAACAAGAATTAAAAATTAATGGTGCTCTAAGAGAATTTATTCTTCAAATCAAATTTTCCAGAATGCTTCACCAATTATTAAGACACAATTTTTCTAATAAAACCTCGAATATTTCACCATATATTAATCAAGACAATATTATTGCAAATTTCGAAGAGCAAATTCGTGATTGGTTCATATTCTTACAAATTTCTCGTCAATCCACAGAATTTATCGTCGAAAATGTTAATGATTATTCTACAACAATGTTACATTTACATATGTTGTATAATTCTTTTATTATTTTATTACACCGTAGATATATTTTAAATCCCGATTCTCTGTCAAAATGCATTCTTGCTGCTCAACAAGTGACACCTATTGGTTCTTTAATAATTAGTAATTATTCTTCTCCTTTTAAAGGATTTCTCAATTGTACAACTTGGTGTTTATTACAAGCTGGAATGATTCATGCTCTAAATAAAGTTGTAGGAAACGAAAGTAATAGTAGAATAGCCGAAGAACATTATGAAAAAATTGTTCAACTGTTTCAAAAATGTTCTCAAATTACAGCTTTACAAGTATTACAAGATCACGCAAACACTTGTAGTTCTCATCAATTGTCAGTAATGGATGTTTGGTCTTCACCTGCTACTTCTTCATCCGATAATCAAGAAATATATGTTTTGACGAATGAGAGTAAGGTCGGTAATAACCTATACAACAACCACAACGCGATTAATACCGTTCCTTCTATGTTAACACCCCCAATCATTAAATCTTCTATTCCATCATCCTCAACTTCATCACCTTCTTCTTCTTCTGATCACCCTCCAGCATCAATACCCTCTTCCTCATTATATACTCACCCTTCTCTTTCTTCCACTGCTGATACTGCTGACACTACTATCAATGAAGTTGAAAATAATTTATATAATATTCCAAAATATTCTAATATAATTCCATTTCAGAACTTATCGTCATACGGTGGACCTACCACTACTCTTCATTTACCTTCGGCCACAAATTCCGGTGGATTTGAATTTACTCATTTATCTCCTTTTCCAAGTCCTCACAACAGTACCATCTCTCCTCTATGCGGTACTACGCCGCATGAATCACCAAATATAGATCTTGGAAGTTCTACTCATTCACCTAATGAATTTGTTAATTTAATCACTTTTCCTGTTCTGGGAAAACCCCAAAATTCCAATTGCGCAGAATTACTTAATAATGAAGAAAATTGGTTTAGTAACAATAATCATTCGACTCAACATGATACTTGGCATCAGAATAAACAATTTGATGCAAGTTATACGCGTTTTTCAGCAGGTGTGGCAAATGTCGATCTTTTTTGTAAACACGAAAATACCAGCCACATTTCGTCAAAACAGTCAACTAAATCGCCTTTATTCTATTCTGGAGGTTTTCAAATACATGTTTCTCCAACTACTTCGCCTTTCGATTCACCACCACAACAAGAGATTGATACTGGAATAAATTCTTCACCTAATAATGATACAATGCCTCCAAATGGTAAATATTCACATTCACTGACAACTTCGTCAAACAACCATGATACTGAAACTTGTACAACTGGTTATTTTGCTGGCAATTTTAGTGGCTTAGGAATCTGTTCGTAAATAAATCAGAGATGATCGTATTATTTATTAGTTTTTATTTTTTTTAAAAAAAAATCGTTTTGTAAATTTTCCTTTTATGCATTCCCCCCCCCCCCTTTTTTGTTAAGTACACTAAGAAATTTAGAAAAGACAATATATATAAATATACGAAATATGAGGCATTGAAACAATACTTTTAATAACGAATATTAATAGAATCTATTTGACAATGACAAATTAAATCTGAATTTCTTGTATAAAATATAAATATATATTTATTTTTTTTTGTAATTAATTATAGTTTATTCCTTTTCACATGAAAGAAAAAGATTATATATGTAAAAAAAAAAAGGTCTGTTGGTTATATAAATGGCTATGCAAAATACATTGATGCGACACTCCAAATATAAAATTTTTACACAATAAGTAACTAAATAAGTAGCTAATATGTATAATATAGATAAAATTATTCCGACTATAGACAAACAATCGCAGTAATTCGTGTTTGATTGAATATTATGAGAAACCCTGATATGGAAGTTATGATAATATGTAAGATTATATGATTGTATAATAATAAATTCAACTGGACTTATAAGCCTTATTATCACGTATTCACGCATTGCCACGTGGCTATATTTGACTAGTTATTTTTAAGTAAATTTTTACATTTCACATGATTTCAACTTTAGTAATTTTTTTTTTTTTGTTGAAGATAAAGTTGTAGTTAATGCAATTGATTAATATTATTTATTGATTGTGGTCGCATGATTGATCTGTTATTTTTCATCATTCAATTAGTTATTAGTAACATGATAACGAAACTTTAAATACATAAAATACAATTAAAAAATCTACAAGGAAAATTAGTAAAATTAAAACTTTGCTGAAAATTAAAAAGTAGAATGTTCTCCGATTAAAGTAAAGAATAAAAAAAAATATGTATAAATTTATGAAATTAAAGAATGAATGGATAAAGAACAAAATATGTAATAAAATAATTTTATAAATAAATTTTTTTTTATGCTTCCTGTTTTGCTCTTTCAATACGTTTTAACCAATTTAATTTTCCTGCTGTTTCTGCTTTAATCTTCGCTACTTGTTCCGTATGCTCAATAGTTTTTTGATTTGAATATGCTACTCCTTTCTTCATAATTTCTATTTCATTCAATAATTTGGCTGCATATTTTTCTTGATTTTCTTGTAATTTGGAATGAATTGATTCTATATTATTTATTTCATCTTTACGTTCCGTCGTTAATTCTTCAATACGAATACTTGTCATTAAAACCACATCTTCTAATGCTCGTGATGTTGAATTCATTTCTTCCCGAAGAGTTTTAAATTCTTTTTTAACAATTTCAATATCTTTAGCATATCTATTTTTGAAAGTTTGGATTTCTTTAGATAGAAGGGTATATTCATATTCAGCTTTTTCTTTAGCTGCTAATGCTTCTTGTGTTTTTCGGTGTAAATCAGATACTTTTAATTCTGATTGACGAGATTTTGTATTAGCATTATCACGTTCAAATTTCATATCTGAATTCTTTTTCTCCAAATCTTTAGATATTTCTTCTAATTCTTTTGATTGTCTTTCCTTTCTTTCAAGCATTCTTTCTAAGGAATTAATTTCAAGTCTTAATTTTTGATGTGATGCTAAATGCTCTTGTACTTGTCTCTCTGATCTTTCGCGAGCAACTTTTGCAGCGTGAATCTGGGATTTAGATTCAGTAAGTTCCTTTTTTAAGAAATCTATTTCAGCTTGCAAATGTTCAATAACCCTTCCCGTTGTTGATTCACTTTGCATTGTAATTGGTTGATGTCGATTAAGTTGTTTTTGTACGTTAGTGAGTAAGGCGCTTTTTTCGGCAAGATCGTGCCGAAGAGTAAAAACTTGTTGTTTTAAGGCGGTAACCTTACCCGAATCTATTAAACCCATCCATAATCCCAAAAATAATTTATCAAAAAAAAAAGGAGTGTTGAGTTGTTAATAACATTGTTAAGTTTATAAATATCAAGATAATTATAAATATAAAGTCTACATTTATTGCACACCTCGTTTTAGTTCTTATTTCTCAAATCTTATCAGCAACAATTTAAAGAAATTAAAAAGATTTTAAAGGGAATATTTCTATAAACAGTTGATTCTTACCGAGTTCGCCGTTACTCATGAGTTCAGATGCGTCAACTGTCAAAGATGACAGTTCACTATATAAAGATTCCGACAATTTGGTAAATATAAGAGTTTGGAGAAAGAACCAAAATGTAAACCTAAATCTTTAAGTTGGTTACTTAGTATTAAGTTTATATATATATATAATATATAATGTTTTTATTTTTTTATATTTTTTTTTTAAAAAAAATCCAAGTTTTAAATTTATATTATGTAATTAATTAGATATTTCGTATACACTTTCATTAATTTTTATTAGATAAGTGCTACTTTTAGATACTTTTTATATTCAGTGTTACTTTATATGGAAAAAGCTGTAACAAACAAAACAAACAAATTAACTTTACTAAAAATATTTTAGTCACTTGAAATGTGATATTCTTTTATTTAAAAAAAAAATAAAATTTTATTTATTTATTATTAAAAAAAAAAATTTATTTTTAATAACAATAATCATCAAAAAAATACAATCAAAAATTCTAATTTTCTAAAATACATAATTATATTGTTATCCCATCCCGTAAAATAATCATATCACATAAAGTGATTCCAAATAATTATTAAGAAAAATTTTTTTTTAAAAAAAAGTCTAAAGAAAAAAAAATGTTAAAAAGTGCAAATGTCAATAAAATGTCAAAATGTCAATAGATGGATGTAAAGTATGTAAAGTGTAAATATTGCATATTGAAAATGAATAAATTCTGTTTTTTTTTATAATATTAACTATTGGAAATATTAATTATCAATATTAATTGAAAATCTTAATTGAAATATTAATTATCAATATTAATTGGAAATCTTAATTGAAATATTATTTATCAATATTAATTATTAATATATTAATTATCAATATTCAATATTAATTGGAAATATTAATTACAAATATATTAAATATTAATATTAATTATTAAAATATTAATTATTAATATTCAATATTAATATTAAATTATAATCAATATTATTTTAATTATATAATATATCTTGTATCTAAATCTTCAGCAAAATCCATAACTAGGATTATTTGATCTTGACTTGTACTATTATTCATTATTGAAATTATTGAAATTATTGAAATTGAATTTTTTGATGAATGATGATAAAAAAAAAAGAGCTTTCATTAGTTTTCATTAACTGGCAATTATATATTTAAATTTATGATACTTAAATTATTATTTATATAAATTTTAATTGTTTATTAAATATTCTTACCTAACAATTTTCGTCGTACTAAATTGAACATCAAATACCCAACTTGTATGTCCATTTTTAAAATCTAATAATTGTTTTCCAGTTTTAAGATCCCATACTTTAACTGTTTGATCATAACTTCCACTCACAATCTTGTCTTCATCAAAATGAATTGTTCTCACTAAATCTGTATGTCCTTCTAATGTACGAATACATAAGGCTGTTTCCACATCCCAAATTTTTATTGTTTTATCATTAGATCCGGAAACAACCCATTTTCCATCAAATTGAACACACGCTAATCCTCGTGTATGTCCAATAAAATCTCTAATACAAAATCCTTTCTCTAAATCCCAAAGTTTGATAAGTGCATCTCCTGATGCTGAGATAATTCGATTACCATGAAGTTGAACCGCATTAACTGGTCCTCGATGTCCAACTAATGTACGTAAACATTCTCCTGTGTTAACATCCCATACTTTAATTGTACTATCTTTTGAACATGAAACAATATGATTTCCGTCAAAACAAATGTCCAATACTCCTGCTGAATGACCTGAAAGGCGTCGTATTTGAGATACCGATTGATTGTAATTTTGCATATCCCAAATTATAATTGTTGTATCACTAGATCCTGAAACCATAATTTTTTCATTATATTGTAAACATAATACTGATAAGTCGTGACCGTATAATGTTTGAAAACAATTTCCTGTATTAATATCCCAGAATTTGATGGTCTTATCTCGAGATCCCGTAACAATCTTGTGTTCATCAAACTGTATACAATAAACACTGTCTAAATGACCTTTGAGATATCTTTTTTCACATTCTCCTTTCTTCCATCGCGTTGCAAGTGTGTGGCGGTTTTTGAACAAATTCTTCCAATCAACATCGCCTGTAAGAACATCTTTGGGTATATTAGTTTTCCATCCTTCACTCATAACATACATGCTATGCCAAAGTTCATTGTCTCGAGAAATACAATACCAAGCTCGAGATACTCGTGCCATTCGACATAATGTCTGGAAATCAACAAACATAAGTATATACGCCGCGATTTCATACGGAAGATTGATAAGAAAATCTATAATATATACAAAAAAGAGCCCAAATATATTAAATACATATTGGATAAATTTGTTTATTGGAATATATAACCTTTTCAAACTTTGTCATAATATAAATTAAAATAAAATTCCAATTACGATAAAAACATGGACTCAAAAAGTGCTTTTAATTAAAAATTAATGTTATTGATTGCGAGGTGCAATTGGTAAAAGACCAAATAATTTAATCGAATTACCTATCCTAGTAATCAAGTCTTCAACTGTAAAAAATCCTTCATCTTCGACCTCCACACCATTGGGTCCAAAGTGTGTATTTAAATATTGTGATTTTAGGTTTGAGGGTGCTATTGAATGTCTGTGAGTAATTATAGGTCTATTTTTCGGATCTTCGTTTATAACTTTAGTAAAAATCTTCAAGAATCTGGATTTGCCCCCCAAAAGAGCATTCTTTGGATTTTTCATTTTATGAAAAAAAAAAAAATAAAGCAAAACCGATAAAAATAACTGTACGAACCCCTTTTGTAGTCATCCTAGTCACACCACAAAAAGCGTGATTATTCATTATTACAAAAAAAAAATTTTTTATTTTTTTATGCACAAAAAACTTTACATACTTTTATTACTTTTGGTTCACTAAGAAAAGTTGTTTAACAGTTATTTAAATATCATAGATGATAAATAAGATGAATTTTCTTAAAATAGGTAAGAATACACAAGAATAGGCAAAGGCTTGAATAAGATAACCAATTTTTTGAAAATTAACAAAATTACACATTCATTTTGACCAATTTATATTTCTATTTTGATAATGCCCTGCTAAAAATTATTTTCTTGTTGTTTATAAGTAGCTGCCTGCCTGAAGTTGTAACCCAAATTACAGAAATACAAAATTTAAATTAATAACAACAAGAAACTAAAGTAAGAATCAAAAAAAAAAAGTAGGTAGTAACTGTGTAAATATTACATATATTACATATATAAATTTAAGAATGATATTGAACCAAAACTAAAAATAGTAAAATAGTAATTATATTACTTGTCTATTTAAAATAAGACCAAAACTTGGAGATCACATTGCTTTTTTTGATTGGTTTAAAAATGACTTAAATTACACATGACAAGCTCATTTTGTGCAACACTGTAAAACTTTCTTAAACACTTCTAAATAATTAAAATATTGTCCGATTTTGCAATAAAATGGCACAGAAAAAGCCTAGAAAACTTGCCATTGACTTGCAATATTATGAACGGCCCGAAATAGTTGCGCGCTTAGAATCGATTCGTGAGAAATTGAACCGCGAAATTTTTCAACGTTACGTGGAATTGTCAACTGTAAGCTCACGGGAACTGTCACTTTTTCTTGGTCAGTTTCAGAATCATCAAGAAGAAGTTTTAGGGCGTTATGCGAATCGTCCCGATTCTCCCAATCCTAAAATCCCCGCTAAGCTTTTTAAGCTTGACCCTGCACCTGGAATTACTTCTGCTCCTTATTACATCCTTCGTACTGCTTATAATTTCAGAGGTTCGAAAAAATGGAAAGCCTGGGATTGGGAGAATATGAACCGAAAAGACTTTTTGGATTTGATTACGCAAATTAGACATGGTTTAGAATCTAAAGGAGCAATAAAGAAAAACATTATTTGTATTAAAGGAAATTCTATTGAAGCAATTCGCAAACAAAAATTGATTTCACTTGTAAATTCTTTAGGAGGTAATTTTCAAATGCTTTTTTGTATAAATTTAATTTATATATATATATATATATATATAAATTATAATGTAATTAATTCATTTTCTTTTTACTATAATTTCTACAGGTCAAATGATCCATGATATGACAAAAGCAACGCATATTATACATGTAACAAATGAGTCTGATGGTGCAGATGAAGAATGGTATAGAACTTTAGAAAAGCGGAATGGCAAAGTTTATTTACATTGGTGGTATTATCCAGATTCTTATGATATTTGGGTAGATGATGTAGACCATGCTGAACCCGAACCAATTCCTAATCATATTGGTCCTTGGCATGTAACTGACCGTTTTATTAGAGATAGTGCCAAATTTAATGAATGGATGAACGAAGAAGATTATGAAATTTCGGATAATGCAGACAATAGAAAGTTGTCTACGGAGGAACAATCAGTAGTATCAGAATCCGAGGCTTCGTCATCCAATAAACGAAATTTAGATGCATTAGAGTCGCCTACAAATATGGATGTTGATATGCGTCCTAATATTGGTGCAAAACGTGCTAGATTAAGATCACCTGATATTGATTCTAAACCAGAACATCCGGGTTTGACTCTTGTAGATATTGAACAAGAAGCATCACGCTTAGGGGTAAATCGTACAAAGAAAAGTGAGCTTGATCCAATGGTTGGTGGAGAAATTGCAAATATTTCTCAATTAGCTCCGCCAGAACTCCCTCATAAAGAAGATGTACATCAGATTACTGAGGAAAGTTCTGAAGCCGTAGACGATAATGCAGATGTTGAAGCTGTGACTTCAGATATGAAAGGAATCGGAATCCGAATTCCGGCTGATAATAATAGTAAGTTAATCAAATAACTAAGAATTTGTAAATTTGTAAACTTATAAATTTTTAACAATTTTATTTATAAATATTATTATTTTTGTTAGATATGGACCTTGATATTACCGAACAAGAACCAAATAAAATTTCTGGCGAGAATGTTACTTCTACTAGTAATAAAGAGGCTTCCTCTCCTATTGTATCTAAAGAAATCGAAGAAGATGAAAATAATATGGTGACTTCTGATGACGCCAGGCCTCCTGAGGATGGTGGTAATGAATCTATTAATCCTCAAGAAATGCATGTAACGAATGACGAAGAAGAAAAGAAACGTCTCGAGGAGGAAGCTAGAAAATATCTATCACAACAAACACAGGAAATTATCATTCCTTCTTATGCTGCATGGTTTGATATGTCTAAGATTCACGTTATAGAACAAAAATCTCTCCCAGAATTCTTTAACAATAGAAATAAATCAAAAAACCCTAGTATTTATAAGGAATATCGAGATTTTATAATAAACACATACCGCCTTAACCCTGGAGAATATTTAACTGTTACAGCATGTCGTAGAAACTTGGCGGGAGACGTGTGTGCAATTATCCGATTGCATGCATTTTTGGAACAATGGGGCTTAATCAATTATCAAGTATTGTAATTTTAAGAATTTTATATTCAATATTTTTGTTTTTTAAGAATTTTCAGAAATTCGAAATTTTCATTTTCTAAAAAGGTTGATCCGGAAACTCGTCCATCATCAGTTGGACCTCCATTTACTGGACATTTTCGTATTACGGCGGATACACCAAGGGGACTTCAACCTTTCCAACCAAGTGGTCCATCTATGGCTATGACAAATCCTCTTTCAAACAATGTTGTAAATACGGGTGATCCTTCATCCATTAACGCTACTAATTCCAAAACCACTGATAGATTACTCGGCATTCGACAAAATGTATATTCGTCTACAGTCGTTTCTTCTGTCAACCCAGATTCACAAGATGAAAGTATCACCGCAGAATCTGGAACAACGGAGTCGAGAAAATATAATTGTAGCACTTGTAAGGTTGACTGCACTAAAATTCGTTATCACAGTTTAAAAACTCCTAATTATGAATTATGTCCAAATTGTTATTTGGAAGGACGTTATCCTTCAACAATGCATAGTGGAGATTTCTTAAAGATGGATGATACACCATTTAAACATGCTCAAGATGATGCATGGACAGATCAAGAAATCTTATTGCTTTTTGAAGGGGTAGAGCTTTATGAAGATGACTGGAATAAAATTTCTGATCATGTAGGAACTCGTACTCGTGAACAATGTATCTTACAATTTCTTGAATTCCCAATTGAGGACCCTCTTAATAGTACTACTAGAATGTCAGATTTGGGACCACTTCAATATTTACGAATACCTTTCAGTCAAGCAGATAATCCAGTTATGTCAGTTGTCGCATTTTTGGCATCTGTTGTTAATCCCGGAGTTGCAGCCGCGGCAGCAAAGTCAGCATTAAAAGAATTATCCGAACCAAAAAAATCAGCTAAACAAGAAGCAAATGGTATAAATGGAATAAATTCATCTAATTCTTCTGAAAACGTTGAGACAGCAGAGAACACTCCAACAGTTATCAAACTAGAAGACGAAATGGATGTTGAGTCTACAAATGATCAAAATCAAGGAACGGAATCACTTGTTTCGACGAGGATGTCTCGCACCAAACTTTTGGATAGAGCAGGCGCTACTGCAATGGGTTCGGCAGCTGCAAAGGCCAAGGTTCTTGCAGACTACGAAGAACGTGAAATTCAACGTCTTGTGAATGCGGTTATTGAAAATCAATTGAAAAAGCTTGAACTAAAACTAGCACAATTCGAGGAGATAGAAAGTGCACTTGAAAATGAAAAGAAAGAATTAGAAAAACAACGTCAGTTGTTGTATACTGAGCGGTTAAATTTTAAAAAGAGTAATTTAGTGATGCAAGAACAGCTGAGAAATGTTCAATCTGGAAACATTCCTAAACCTCCAAATGAACAAAATTATGTAACAACTGGAAATACAAGAATTATTCCGAATTTAGAATATCAACAACAACAACAACAACAACGACAACCTGTAGGACCATTGAACCAAGATGATGTAGTTTTGATGAATATTTAATATTTCAGTAGGAAATTATTGGAATTTGGGTGAAGTGATTTCAGTCAAATTTATAAAGCAACTTTTGGTTATAGATTTGAGGATAATTTTATAATATTGTTATCACAAAAAAATTTATGTTGTGGAATTTATCAAAAATAAAAAAAAAATAAAAAAAATAAAAATAAAAAATAAAAATAAATTGAAAATATTGAATGTTTAAGTTGATCAATTTTGTTAATCTATTACAAAATCATTATTCATTTCTATCCTTCAATTTAATTTTCAATGTGAATGTAATCATTATTTTTTATTTCTTTCTTTCTAAAAGAATAAATATTCACACATATATATATATATATATGTATTTATATATTTTTTAACAATGTGCAAGTGATAATTCGATAAATGCAATCACATCATATTACATTATTACATGACAAAATTGACTAGTCTAAATCTAACCCAAACCGAATTCACGTGTTACAAATTTCAATATTTGTATTTGTTGTCATTTCTTGCTTTTTTGTTAATTCAATTTTTGAAATGTCTATGGCACTCTTTACGAAACGACTTGCCAAAGAATTAAGTGACCTTAAAATTAACCCACCTGTGGGTATTGAGATAGAAGAAGCGGAAACCTTCAAAAGTTGGAAATTGAATCTCGATGGTGTCGATGGGACCTTATACGCAGGTGAACGGTTCGCCTTGGAGTTTCGTTTTTCTCCGAATTATCCTATGGAATCACCAGAGGTTGTTTTCGTAGGCAATATACCAATACATCCTCACGTATACAGCAATGGTCACATATGCTTAAATGTCTTATATAATCAGTGGAGTCCTGTCTTAAGTGTCAGGTCTATCTGCCTTTCTATACAATCAATGCTATCAAGTTGCACATGCAAAGAACCTCCACCAGATAACAGTCATTATATTAGAACCGCGAGGTCTTCTCCGAAACTAACTCAGTGGTCTTTCCATGATGATTCCGTTTAATTATTTTTTATTTTTATCTTTGCCAAACTTTAAACTATTTTCGAAGAATGATAATTAAAACTATTTTCGAAGAATAAAACTATTATTGTTGAAGAATTTACATTTTATATGTATTATATGTATTGAGCAAAGTAGGTTCATAAAATATTCTTTTAAAACAAATGTGAATAAGAGAATAGAATAACAAATAGCATAATAATTAGGTTTTTTTTTTTTTTTTTTTAACTGAGAATTGTATAGCAAGTCAACATTGTCCATAAATTCCATAAGTGATTGTAAATTTACACAATTGACTGACAAATAAATAAATAAATAAATAAATAAATCTGAATTATTATTTCTTTATACAATAATCAACTAACAAAAAAAAAATATAATTTCTACAAAATTTAAAAAAGAGAATAATTTGAAAACAAATTCTAAAGGAGGAGGGGAGAAAGGAATGAAAAAAATGAAAGGAATGAAAGGAGGAAGAAAAGAAAAGCTTTAGACGTCAAATATCCCAGACATTTGATGTATTAAATTTTACACTACACTAAAGCTCTCTATATGGAAAAAATTACCTTCCGTTTAACTTTAAATGTTATATTCAAATACTTTCATTATACTTTCACTGTACTTTCATTTTACCTATGGATAATAGATTAAAAAATGTCCGTGTATTTAAAGTTTAAGTCAAAAGTGGTTCATCTTGAATACTCTTTTTAATTCTTAGCAGAATCGTAGTTTTCCAATTATCCAATTTGGTAAGTTGATCGAATTCTACCACTCGATTAGTAAAACTTTCCACATCACCACTTTCCACTGATTCAAGAATATTCTAAAAATTATATAGAAATTATAGAAATTGATAATAAATAAAAATAAATAAGCAATAAGTAATTTTTTACCTCAAGAAAACTATATTCTCGAGTACTGGCAAAGGTAACATCCATATCGCAATATCGTTCAATAGCTCGTTTGGCACCAATATGATCCTATTAATTTGAATTTGATTAATTTGATTAATTTGATTAATTTGGTTATTATTATTATTCCAAAATAACAATAATAAAAAAAATAAAAATAAAAAGATAAAAAGAAAATTAATTCTCTTACCCCAACAGCAATATGACATAGTCCTGCTTTTAAGAAATAATCTTTGAGTGACCATTTCGTTAATTGATTATCAAGACTGGCCGTAGCTACTTGTTCAAATTTTTCGATAGCTTTATCGTATTGTTCTAATGTTGCGGCAAAAGTGGCTACTTTTAGAAGACAATTATTTGCGAGTCTAAATTATAGAGAATAAAATTTTCCGATTAATAAACTGATTAATAAATTTAAGAAGAATAAAACAAATATATATATATATATATTTATTTATCTACATACGCGGGAGCTTCTTCCCCCGCATACCAATCTGCAGCAATTTCATACGCTTGCATTGCTTTTTCTAAATCTACTAGATCAGATTCATAAATTTGAGCAATATCTTTTTGATGTCCAGCTGCAGCCTGAAATCGACCTCTATCAGTAAGAATTTCGATCGCTTGTTTCAAAGATGTAATTGCATCTTTTTTATTTATTTATTTATTTTTTTAAAGTTGAAAAAAAAATGGAATTAAATTAAATTAATTAAATTAAATTAAATTAAATTAACTAAATTAATATTTAAATTTACCTTCAAAACTACTTTTTCTATAACATTTTGAAGCACTGATAAAAGTAGATGCAGCCTCGTCACGTTCATTCAATTGAACCTGCATATTGGCAGCTTTTGTAAAAGCATCACCGGCCTCTTTCCCTTATAAATTTAAAAATATTTTTATAATTTAGAAAGCCAAATTCAGAGATTTTTTACAAGAATTCTTTTTAAAATCGTCTTCATAAAACGAATACGGGAAACTCGAGTACTTTTTTTTATTATTTAAAGTAATATTTTCTTAAGATAATTTTGAAGATTCCTACATCGTTTTGCAAGTTTGAAAGTATTTGCAGCTTTATTGTATAATTCGGCAGCTTCTTCAAATTTATTTCCACCAAACCAACCAAAGGTAGTCGCTTTTTTATCGGCTTTGGCGAGAATAGCCAGTGCTTCACGTTCAGACATCATTGCGAATAAATATATTTTTATATAATAAGTTTTGATTGTAATATCTTGATAAATTGATCACTGTTATTGTCTACACCATGAACTTTATTAACTTTATTCTATCACCAGACAAAGAGAAATGCATTTGGAAAAAAACTTAGGCTGTTAAATATTCGAGGGGCACATGAACCCTAGTTACGTTAAAAATAACCAAATTAGCCTAGTACTTCTGATATTTTATCATGTGAAAGAAATGTGAATTCTCGGGTATTAATTATTATATAATCTTCTATCTTTTATATCCTTATAAAATACACAAAAATAAATTATTATTTTTTTTCTTTAAAAAGGTAAAAAAAAAAAAAAAAAAAATCCAAGATATTAGATTTTTGATATTATTTCATCTCTTCAAATATTCAAAATAAAGTAATCGATGACTCAATATAATAAATAAAGATTACTCCCAACTAAAAACTCTAAAGTTTTATTATTATTATTATTGATGATGTTAAGTTTATCTGACAATCTGATAATCTGATATTAATTAAATTGACCATATTACTGGAATTACTGGAAGAATAAATTATAATAATATAAATTTATTGGATTTTTTTTTTCTTAATGTAATTTAATATGAATAAAAATATTGAATTCTTATCATTTTTTCTTCTTCCACCAGAAAAAAATTTTTTTTAACGATTTGATTTGGCAACTCGTTCTTAATAATAATAATAATAATAATAATAATAATAATATATTCAGATTAATATTTAATATCATCACATTCATTATCATCAGTATTTATCACAATGGCAAAGAAATATTTACCTAATTCATCTTTCTTTTTAATTGCATAAGAGTTAGAACTTCCCTCTAAGAAAATATATAAAATATATAAGAACAAATCAATCGTAAACAATTTTCATACAATTTTTCATACAATTTTATACAATTTTTATACAATTTTTATGAGTAATTAAATAATAAACAATAAATAATAAATATATAAATATAAATAAATAAATAAATAAATAAATAAATAAATATTAAATAAAATAATACATACTTGCTGCGTTAATAAGTTCATCGGCTAGACATTCCGCAATACTTTTGACATTTCTGAAAGCTGATTCGCGTGTCTGAAAATAACAATAATTTTAATAATTTAATAATTAAATAATTTAATAATCAAATAATCAAATAATCAAATAATTAAATATACCCCGATTGTCAAAAGAGCAATAGCTTGATTAACCCTTCGTAAAGGAGAAACATCAACAGCTTGTCTTCTAACAGTTCCCGCACTACCAATACGAGTAGAATCTTCACGTGGACCAGTGTTAATAATGGCATCAACCAATACTTGAATAGGATTTTGATCCGTTAACAAATGAATAATTTCAAATGCATGTTTTACAATTCTAACTGCCATTAATTTTTTTCCGTTATTACGACCGTGCATCATGAGAGAATTGGTTAAACGTTCAACGACGGGACACTATTATTTAATAAATAATAATAATAATAATAATAATAATAGATATTTAAATTTTTTATTATCATAATTTTTTATTTAAAAATGACAAATTTCCTAAATTTCTAACAAAATAAAATTAAAAAATATAATTGAAATCATTAAAAATGATTGATACCTGAGCTTTCCTAAATCTTTTTGTGGAAAAGCGTCCGGCGGTGTGAGGCAAATATACGGGGTTACGTATTTGAATATAATCAGTTAATGATATATCCTTGACTTCAACATCTTCATAACTCCATTTGTTAAATAAACGAATCCCTTGAGATTCTGCGAGAATATCTACTGGGAGTGCCATGATATGCCTAAATATATATATATTTAATGTTAAAAAAAAAAATTAATTTTTAAAATTATTGGTAAAATTGAAGTTAATGTTAAATTTCATGAATTTCATGAATTTGATGAATTTGATGAATTTGATGATTATAAATAATTAATTAAATTTAAATAATTTTATATATTTATATATTAATTTAAATAATTATATTTATTTATTTTGATTGTAGATGGATGAGAAGAATGAAGTGAATTTTTTATAATTTTTTTTTTACCTTTAAACAAAAATTACAAAAAAAAATCGAAAGAGAGAAGATTCACCGAAAATTTAAAATGGGTTGAATATAATTGGTAGATCTGACTACATATAAAACTAAAATATATAATTTGATTATCAATTATCTAGTTTATAAGTCTATAGGGGCTACCTTTAAATTTAGGTAAATTTTAAAATTTAAAATTTACTGCGTTTCATTTCGATTCCCTTCCCCCTTTTTTTTTTTGTTATTTCTGCTACTTCGACTGTTTAATTCTCTTTTTTGTTAAATCTATCAAATAATAATCAAGTCATAATAACATTAATAATAATATTAATAATATTAATAATAACATTGATAAAATAAAAATAATAAAATGAATTCAGTCTCAACATTATTTTTCGGAATTCGTGAATATCTGAGTCCTGTACTCAAGAATTCGAAATTTAAAGAAACTGGTTGTATTACCCCTGAAGAGGTTATTATAATTTTATCATAATTTTTGTTTTAGCATAATTTTAATTATTTGAATTAATAATTTTTTTAAAAATATTTACATATTTATGTATAGTTTATAGCTGCTGGAGACTTTTTGGTGTATAAATGTCCGACCTGGAATTGGTATTTTGAAATATTTATTTATTTATTTATTTATATTTATATTTATATTAAATAGATTATATTATGATTATATTATTTAATTTGATAATTATTATTATAAAGGGAAAGCGGTGAAGCAAGTAAAAGAAGAGATTACTTACTCGTTAATAAACAATTTCTTATTACAAGAAATGGTAAATAAAATTTATTTATTTTTAAATATTTGAATAATAATAATTATTCATTATTATTTAATTATCATAAAATTACCATTATAATTATAATATATATTTAAATTAGTTCCTTGTTTGAGACGAGTTAAACAAATGGAATATACAGATGAAGATGCTGAAACTCAAATTGAGACTGAAGATGGAGAGGAAGCTTGGGTAGCAACTCATAGTGGTCGTGGTAATCTTTCTCTTTCTCTCTCTCTCTCTCTATTTCTCTATATATGTGTATTTATATTATAACATATGATATAACATAATTAATGATATAATATTTATAATATTTATAATATTTTATAATGTTGAAAAGCCGCAACAAATATCGAAGAAATTGCCTCATACATTGAAGGTGATGAAGATGAAATTAATAAAAAATTAATTAACGCTGTATTGGAAGAAGTAAATGATGAAGTCGACATTCCGTATATAAATGATATTCCGGATATTGATGATGAAGTTGAGGAAGGAGTCGAGGAAGTAGAAGATCCGGTATGATTAATTATTTTATATATGTTATTTATATATATATTACATGTTATTATTTATATATTATTTTGAATATTATTTGAATAGGCCGCACTTGTCAGTTCGAGTAATGTCGAAAAGCCTCATGATGATTGTCCAAGGTATATTAATAATAATAATAATTATTAATTATATAAATTTATCAATATAATAATAATTAATAATAATAATAATAATAATAATATAATAATAATAATAATAATAATAATAATAATAATAATAATGATTTATTATTATTATTATTCAAGCGATAAAATTCTTCAAGTTCGAACTTATGATGTATTTATTACTTATGATAAATATTATCAAACTCCACGCATGTGGCTTTTTGGTTATGATGAGGTAAAAGAATAATTTATATAATTTATAATCAATTAATCAATTAATCACTTAATTAATTAATTAATCAATCAATCAATCAATCAATCAATCAATTAATGAATATATTCAATTTTTAGCACCGTCGACCATTAACATCAACACAAATATTTGAAGACATTTCACAAGATTATGCTAAAAAGACAGTAACAATTGAAACGCATCCACATTTAAATATGTCATTAGCTAGTATTCATCCTTGTCGTCACGCTCAAGTTATGAAGAAAATTATTGAAAAAATGAATGAAGAAAGTATGAAGAAATTTGAATTATTTCAAAGTCAATATATCAGTGCCAATGCCGGTAATTCTAATAATAATCCTCCACAAGTTGAACAAGCTCAAGTTAGAGTTGATCAGTAAGTTTATCTTTTTATAATTATATTTATTATTAACATTAATATTAATATTAATATTATTATATTTATTATATTAAATATTTATATTCATTATTTTTATTCATTATTAATATTTATTATTTATATTCATTATTTATATTAATTATTATATTTTATTATTTACATTTTTAGATATCTCATCATATTCTTGAAATTCATGTCATCAGTGGTACCAACTATTGATTATGATCATACCATTAGTGCTTAACACTTTATTACTATTATTACTATTATTATTATTATTACTATTATTGTCACATTGATTAAAATTAACATTACAAATTAATACATTATTATTACTATTTTGTTTATATTTGTTTATTTTATTAATTTTGGTGTATTAATTTGAGTGTATTACTTTTGGTTACTTGGTTAAAATATAACATTAAATAATATTGTCTAACGTTATATTATTATTACATTGTTTAAGATGAAATATATATAAAATGTATAACTATTCTATTCTATTATATATATATATGTGAAGATTATAGATAATAGAGTTTATTTGAATTTGTACTTTATTATTATTATTATTATTATTATTATTATTATTATCATATTTTATTTTATTATCATTTTATATTTTATTTTATTATTATTATTATTTTTATTATTATTTTTATTTTTATTTTTATTATTATTATTATTATTATTGCTTTGATTATTTTATTATTTTACAAAGGTAAAAATATCTAATAATTACATTATTATATTTTGCTTGAGTTGTCTTATGAGAACATAAAAATATTTTTATTACCCTGAAGCATTTTATTCACTCTACTGGTTCCCACTATTCTTTCTAACCGCAGTAAATCAAATTTAGAAAATAAAACATGACATGATAATTTAGATTCATCTTCTACTTCATTCTTAGTTAATATTAAAAAGTCATTAATTTCAGAATAAAAATGTGGGTGATCCGGTAATGAATAAAATACAATATGACGTATTCCACGTATATTGTATCTTCTAAAAAAATGAAATCTTTCTGTATATAATAATATTTTGCTTCTCTCACTAAAAAAATGTGAACGCGCTCTTGTCACATCCGGAAGTGGTGTATATCTAATAAATAATAAATATTATTAATTTAAAAATATTAATTATTAATTTAAAAATGTTATTAATGTAAACTTACTCGCAGATACTAGCAAAAGAATAATCTTTATCTTCAAAATAGTTTCGAAGTCTAACAAAATCAAAGTATGATGGAATAAATATCATTGTATGAGATAATTCTGGATATGATTTCTTAAGTAACGGTAAAATCTAATTAAATAAATTAAATAAATTAAATTATTATTAAATATTGTTAAATATTATTCAATTCATAAAAAAAAATTTGAATAATATTTACTTGTTCAGTAAAATATTTAAATCGAATATCATCATCTTCAGATATTGAAGGACTATCAATTCGAATAAAAATTTGTTTTATTTGTGGTATCACTTCTAAAATAGTTCCTTCATAATGTCTTTTGATTTTTAATTTCCCTGCAATGTTTAACATTTGCTTATTAAAAAGTGCATTTATTTCTGGGGTCAAATATTCTGAAATAATAATAGTCTGTCGAAAATATTTTGACCTAAAGAAAAAAAGAAATGTTTAATATATAAATATAAAGATATCATTTATCATTTCAATCATTTATTAATAGAAAATAAAACTGACCTTCCATCGAGATACCAATTTTTGACGCGAGAGAAATCACAACCATGGGAAGTTTTTGGAATCAAATTCAAATGATCAAAAATATGCTAAAGAAGAAAATTAAAAAATGTTAAATTTGATTAAATTAAATTATATTAAATTGAATTATATTATATTATGATGTATTACCTTAACGTGATCCCAATTTTGCATGAGAAGTGAATCACATTGATCAATTATTAGTAATTCAATCGAAGAAAGAAAATCAAAATCACGCTTTTTGTCTCTGTATTAAAAAAATATTATTAAAAAAACACTCATTAAAATCTCATTAAAATCTCATTAAAAAATCCATCTCATTAAAAATATTATTAAAAAAATTATTTACTCCTCCGCCCCAATTATCATTCGTAACCCTAATGGGGAAGCTATAATAATGTCCGCATTATAAAATTCGGAATAAAATTTTATCGATTTTCGAGTAAACTTTATACCAACCCTAAACATATCATCATTATTTCCCTTAAAAGTTTCTAAAAAATCAGCTGAAATACGAGAAAATTGTAATAAATTAATAAATCAATATTCAAATGATTAATTATTATTAATTATCATTACATAAATTATAAGTATAAAAATATATATATATATATATATATATAATATTAAATATACCAGGTTTTTTAGGATCAATTCTTTCTTGATCAGCTTCAATACTATATGAATCAAAGAATCGTTTGCGATTTTCCTTATAAGATTAAAATAAAATATATAGATATATATACACACTACTAAATAAAATAGATAGATATATATACACACTACTAAATAAAATGGATAGATATATATAATATATTCATTAATAATTACTTGTTGTTCACTTCCAGATAATTTAATCATTGTTTCAACTACATTTAAAGCGGAATTTCGGAAAGGTAATAAAATTAAAACTTTTGGTCGAGTGAAACCTTGATCTCGAAATTCACTAAAAAATCATGAATCTCATTTATCAATAACACACACATATATATTATTCACTTATTACAAAATTTTATTTATAAAAAAGAATAAAAACTCACTCGATTTCTTTATTAGTCGAATGTGCGTAGGTAATTTTCGCATTATTTTTTAGAACAGTCTGTCGTGTTCTGTAAATAAATAAATAATAAATAATAATAATGAGATTATTATATTAAAAAAAATTGTACGTCAAGAGTAATAATTTTTTATTTCAATATTTGATTAAATACTTACTTAAATATATGATTCAAAGCGTGTAAAACATAAATCTGTCTTATTTCTTGTGAATTTTCATAAGATCGATTTGAATACAAAACATCTTGATATTTATTAAATTTACGGAAAAGATGACCTTGTAATTCAGAAAACATTTCCTTTTTATTTCCTTTTTATAAATCAAATTTATAGTTAAAAACTAGGAATAATCTGAATAATTAAAATAATTTAGAATTAATTTAGAATTAATTTATAATTAATTTAGAATTACCATTTAGTTTTTCCCAAGTATTAAGTAACTTTTTTTTAAGCTACAGAATTAACATAATTATTAATAAATTATTTATAATTTCATTCATCGACTTTAAGTCAGAAATTGAGGAAAATAGTTATTACCTTAAAAGATATAAAATTTGGTCCATTTTCTTCGTGTTTCTTGTCGTCTTCTTCTTCATCTAGAGAATATTTTGTTACTAATTTTAAAATTGAGTCTTCTGTATTGGAAATTTTCCATTTCTTTTCATCTACATTTTCTATTTTTATATTAATGTCATTAGGTTGATCATCTCCAAAATGAATTTCGAATTCATCTTTCTCATCTTTATCTGTTAATTGAATATATAAAAATTTATTTAAATATTTTAAATATTTTTAAAAAAATAGTAATAATAATAATAATAATAAAATGAAGGAAACCTTGATTACCCTTCTTTAAATCATTCGAATTACTTGGGTTACTTAACAATTCGTCGTCTGAATCATCATCATTATTATTATTATTATTATTATTATCATTATCATTCTCTGATTTCTCATCAAGAATTTCATCATCGTTATCATCGCCGTTATCATCATTATTTAACGTATTTTCTAAATCATCTTTAGTTTCATTTTTAAATATTTCTATATATTCCTTTCCTTCCTCTTCTAATTTTCGTCGTTTAAAAAATTCTCGATCATTCAAATTCTTTGAATTTTTTTGTAATAATTCAATAAGTTTTTTGTAAGAAGAAGCTGGCCTTTTTCTTATATCATCATCATCAAAAATGAAATCATCCGAATTGTTATCATCATTATCGAATTTAGATTCTTGTTGTCTTTCCTTATCCAATTGTGATTCAGTTATTTTGCGATATGATCTTTTATTTATATATATATGTATGTATGTATGTATGTATGTATGTATATATTTAATATATATTTATAATATTAATAATCAAACTATTGATTTTTCAAAAATAATAAAAAAATAATATGTTTAGAATACTTTTTTTCTTCGTCCGAATTCGAACTAACTTCTTCTTCTTCAAATGGATTTAAAGTTCCATACTGTTTCAAAGTTTCTCTTGCTTTTCTTGATAACCTTTTTCCACTACCAAAACCAGTTTTCTCTTTAATTTTTTTGTTCTTTTCTCCCATTATTCAAATATTGTCTCAGGAGATAGATAGATTAAATTTTTGCACGTGATTATAATATATATTTGAGATCAGAAAGTGACATGTGACTCATCATATAAATGAGCGCGATGAGGAAAACTTTATTACTTATTGGGAAAGTGAAAAATGAAAATAATTAATTATTTTGTTTCATTTGCAAAATAAATTGTCTTGTTTAATTATCATTTGTTGGGCTTAATTGTTTAATTATTATATTGTTATAAAAAATATAATTTTCTTAAAGTACGACGCAAATCAAGATGTAAATATTTATGTGCATTATATTAATATCATTATATTGTCCCTTGTTACCTTGTTTTAAATTAAAATTGAAAAAAAAATTCTGTGCATTCTTTAATTTATATTGTTGTTTACATACCAGAAGATCGGGTTCCTTTCTAATATTAAACAATAAACGGAAAGTGAATACATTCGTTATTTTATTATTTTTCTTATTGTGCCAAAGAAAATATATTGTCATTTTTTTTATTTATTTATTGAAAATTGCTTAAGATCACCGGTGTGATGGGGTTAGGGGTTGATCAGGGAATTATGTAATTTTGCTCAGTGGTGACAATCAACACCGGTGAGCTTTAGCAATACCCTTATTTATTTATTTATTTAAAAATAAAAAGTCCGCCTAATTGATATAATTGATATAATAAGCTTCACAAAAGATTTAATTAAAAGAGTACGCCAATTATATAACTTTCTAATTTATTCTTTTAAGGATGTGATTGTAAATCAATAATCATATGTCAAAAATATAATCTATGCTCCTGTTACCTGGTAGGTGAAACTTTAAAGTTTCATCAATATAATGAAAAAGCTTTGAAATCATAACGGAGTAATTGCCATTTTTATTATTGAGGAGCTGTGTGGGGTTTTTTTTTACGTTTGGTACAAAATTTTGTTTCAGACGCATTCATTTGCACCTTTAAATAAGTGTCGACATTTGAATATAGATCATACACATTAAAACATTAAAATACAGTTTATTAACGTGTCAAATGAACATGTACTATAAGTGTTTTTTTTTCTCGGAGAAAGCGCGATTTCTTAATTTCATGCACGTGTTCAATAGACATTGGAAATCGTCAAATCATGCATATTGAAAATATTCAAAAAAAAAAAAAATCTTTGGATTTAATATACATTAATTGAAATTATTTTTATTGGACATTTATTTTTTTTTATTATTCGTTTATAATTTAGAAAAAGTTAATATTTAATGTATTGTTAATCATCTTCACCAGGAGGGAAAGATCAACTCTTAATCTTAACCCTACCAACATTAACCTTATTTAATAATCCATTATGCGAATAATTCTCTTTCCTGATTAAGTGTAAATAATTCTCTTTAATTTAAATTTATACAATTTATATATATTAGATATATTAGACTAATTTATATAAATTTCTATAAAAAAAAATTTTTTTCTCACCAAATTATTTAAACTAATCTGTATTTATAATATTTATAATATGCAGATTTTTGCCATTTTTTGTTATAAATTTATATCATGTCATGAAAATCTGTTATAAAATGTTTTTAAACTTGAAGAAATAAAATGCATTGTTTTGTCCTCCTTTGTTTAGTCATTACAATGAACCTATCTACTATTGTTTTTTGATCAAAAGATCATAGCTGATAGTACAGTAGATTATTAATTTTATTGTTACCAAATAAGAATAAAGATAATTACTAAACATAAAATTAATTTTCTTTTCATTACTCTTAAAATATATCTTTTTCTTTATTAAATATATCCAAAAATAATAACAAAAAAAAAAAAAACAAACAATTCTTTGATTCCAAACAAACAAATTATTTTGTATTATAAATTATTATTTGTAATTTCGTAAAAAAAAAAAGAGTAACACCAGATAAATCGTATGTAGCTTATGTCAATACATATCGCTACATCATATTTTCATTTCTTTATTAATCAAATTTCTAGGGCTCTACCTCAAAAGAAACTTAATTGGTCATGGCTCGGGCACATTATATAAAGCTATTTTAAAATTGTAATGAACCTGTTACCGAACTTGTTATTCCAAATCAGGAAGAAAAGTGGTAAATGCCTTGCATAATATATTTTTTACACTAAAATTATGTAATCATGTAGTCTTATAAATTTATCCATTTTCAAAAAAATTGTTTTCTCACATTTCCAAATCTCGGACTAGATACGTAACGATTGTTCAGATTATTTTTATATATAAGTAAATTGTTTTCTTTTATATAATATTTTGAGAAAAAATTTAAGCTTTAGCGTCGCTCTTCGTTATTATTAAGTTAAAATTCATTCCTTGCATTCTTATATAAATACCTTTTTTTATTCTAATTATTTTACTTTTTACGAATATACAATTCACACCGAACCACAAAAAAAAAAAAAAAAAAAAAATATTTCAAAAATAATAACCCGTTTCTTTCCTCTTTCGTCTCTTATTACTACTTTCTACTTTCCTTCTTATAGATATAAAATATGTCGGCCATGTCTTATAATAATAATTCAGTGTACACACCTACCACAATGTTTAGACATCCCACCACGTCTTTCACCTCTCCTTCTTTACATGCGAATACAAATAATGGTTCAAATAATAATAGCCCATATTCACTTCATCTCTACCCACCATTAAATGAACATCAATCCTCCCCTCATCCATCCATGACGACTCCATCTACTCCAAACCATTGGCCCTCTTCACCAGACAAACAACGTCTTAACCATTATCCGCCGCACGGATCGAATACAATTACTGTAAATATGCCATTTGGTTCAAATTTCCCTTCTAATGGTTCATGTATGTGTGTGAATTTTTTATTTTATTTATTATAATTTATTCTTTATTTATTTATTTTATTTATTTAATTTATTTGTTTTATTATTATTATTTATTATTTATTATTTATTATTATTTATTATTTATTATTATTATTATTATTATTATTATTATTATTATTTTTAATTTTATTTTTATTTTTTTTATTATTATTATAATTTGTTGTCTCTTTTTGTTTTTTTTTTTTTTGTTGGAAAGTTGTAAAAATTTTTTTTGATTGATGATTTTTCTGACGGGCGCTTGAGCTGAGCCGAGCCATTATTGTGCATTATTGTGGCTGAACTTTGATTAATTGATGATTAAACAAAGAATTCAAAAATTTTGGGTAAAAATAACCTACTTTGGTACCGATCGATGTGTGTACTGACCAACAGTACATATTACATCTTCAGTACATCTTTTTTTGTACATCACTACCCTAAAGTTTCCGTTTAAAAAAAAAATACTTTATTTTAATTCTCTCTATAAAATAATAATAATAGGAATATTATAATATTTATATTTATAATATTAATTATAATATTAATAATATTTAATTCCTTCTCCCATTCCACTTCTTATTTCATTTCATTTCATTTTTATTTTTTTTTATGTTATTTCCTCTCATTTCATTATTATTATAAAAAAAATATAATATAAAAATAATATAAATTATATTCTTAATCCATTTTTTTTTTATATACTTTCTTTTTCTAACAAAAATATAGTACATATGTTAGACGATAAGTCGAAAACACAACGTTCTATGATGGATAGTTTACCAACTCCTGCAACAATTTCTACTTCAATTCCTGCTTTTCAAGGTCCACCACAACATATGATACCACAACACTCGTCAGGAAATTCTTCACTTCCTCCTCCACCAAACCAGTCACTATTGGATAGTATGTCACCTGTTGGGAGGAACCAAAGTCGAACCTTAACCAACTCGAAGCGTGCCGCTCAAAACAGAGCAGCTCAACGAGCTTTCCGTCAAAGGAAAGACAAATATATTAAAGACTTGGAAGCAAAAGCTAAAGATTTGGATAATACGAAGAAACAATTAGATACCGTATTAAAGGAAAAGATGGAAATGTCCCAAACGATTAAATCTCTAAAAGCCGAAATTTCTAAATTAAAAGGAGACGACGTTAGTGAAGATGAAGGACGTCAAGTCTTTGGTAATAATAACATGAATAATGGTACTGGAACTACTTCAACTTCCAATTATTCGCATTATGGAAATTCAACTAGAAATGATGATGACCCACAAGGACTTGGTGATGAACCTTGGCTTAGACATAAAGATCCTTCTCGAAAGGATTGTAATAATACGAACGACGAACGGTCTAATTCTTTTCCGTTCTCTCCAAGTTCATCATCTACTTCATCATCATCATCATCGTCATTAAATCGTCCAAATATACTCACTGAAACTACTTCTTCACGAGGAGGAGGGTCAGGATTAGTTTTACCTCCAGGACCCAATACCGATTCATCAGTTGACCCATATTTTCGAGATTATCGTAATAACACAAATCATCATACATCTCCTACATTATCATCACCATCAACATCTGAACGTAATCGAAATTCGTCATCTTATCCAACAAGTAATAATAATAATAATGTTAATAATGGTAGATATTCAAACAATGAAGAAGATACAGATCGTGTGTATGATGATTTGTGTGAATTATTAAAAACAAGGACTCGTCCTTCGTTGCCACAAAATATTGGTAATCTTTGGCAACCTCATCCACCTTCTCAACAAGGTGTTGTTTCAAACGGAAGTAGTACTGTGGTAGGGTAAATGAAGGAGTTTACGGATATCTTATGAAAATTTTTTAAAAAAAGGAAATCGAATCAAGATTTTTAGGTAGGTTTAATTTTCTTTGTTCCAATTATTTTTTTTGGTCATGTATTTTCCATCTTTGGAATATTCATTCCGAAAAATTGGATTTTTTTGTACCATACCTTTTTTTTTGTGTATGTTTTATTTTAATATTTCTTTTTTTCCCCTTTTTTTTCGATTTTGTGTGAAATAATAGTTTTCACGAACGAAATACTACATACACATGGTCAGATCGGAAAGCTTTTCCACTTATATATAATAAGCGAACATAAAAAAAAAAATAAAAACCTAAAAAAATATCACATTACCCAAAAACCCATATTACCCACCCACCCCCCTGAAAAAAATCATTATCCGAATTTGAAAGATTGAATCAGCTAATTTCATGTTTTTTGTTTATGAATATTTCCTTTTTTTTTTTAGGCATACATAATGCATATGTATAAGAGATATGGTTAATTTTTCCGTTTTTTAAATTGTTAATAGTTAAACTAAGTGCAAAAAAAAAAACCCATTTTTTCAATCTTTATTCCTTTATTTTCGTAAAAAAAAAAAAAGTTGTATGATGTTGTTTGTGTCTTTCGTTTTTTTTTCCGTTTTCACTACCTTTTTTTTTTTTTTCCTTTCCTTTTTTTCTCCCTTTTTTTGTTTATTTTTTTTTAAAAAAATCAAAAAAAAAAAAAAAAAAAAATACCCGGATAACGAATTCTTTTATTGTAAATTTTTTTTTATTTTCATTTCTTCTATCGAAAACATAGAAGAGTGTGATATACATAATATTCTTTTTTTTTCTTTTTCTAACACTTTCAAAAAAAAAAATTCTATAAATTATCTTTTAATTCATAATATAGTAAAAAAATAAAATAAAATAATTCTAAGCTTGTTTATTCTGTGGTTATTCTGAGATTTTCACTTTATTTTTTTTATAAAAAAAAAAAATAAAAAAAAAAACCAAAGAAAGTCTTAAAAAATAAAAAAAATAAAAAAATTTATTAAAAATTTATAGATCTCCAGATATGTAATTTTTTTTAATTGTAAATAATCTAAATAATCTTAGATGTTTAATAAAAGGTTTCCAATTTTATTACCATTTAATTTACTCTTTATAATTTCATATTATTCATGTTTTTATATATTATTTGTAAATTTTAAAATTTTTAATACATCAAAAAAGACTATAAAAGGTTAAATGTGATGACTAATTATGACGATTATTAATGCAAATATTTGTATATATAAGCAATATTTCCTAAGATTTGTTTTTTCAATCTTTACTTTTTCGAAAAAAAAACAACGATGGCAACCGTTAAAAATAGTATTTGTTATAATATTGTAATTATGAAAATTTCGAAAAGAATAAAATAAATTTTTATTATTTAATTTGTATATAATTTTTGATAATCAATTTATTTTTTTATTTAAATAGGAAGGATTTTTTAATTGTGGTTACTTTAATTCTGCAGTGGAATTAGGTAATAGATTAAAACAATTCTCTGCAGCCAAACAGCAACCAGTTGAAGTTATTGTTGAGACTCATCAAAGAGATAAGGTATTCAAATAAAAATTGTTAATCATAATGGCAATAATTTAAATAAATAAATAAAATTGTTAATAATTAAAAATTTGTAAAGTGGAGAGAAAGGTTACAGTATTTGAAAACGGTAAGTCGCTTTTTTTTTTTAAAAAAAAAAAAAAATTTACAATTCATAATCCATAACAATTAATAATCCATAATAATTAATAATCCATAACAATTAATAATCCAAACAAATTAATAATCCAAACAACAAATTAATAATCTACAACAATTAATAAACAATGAAATCTCCTTATAAAATTTCTAGAAAGTTCCAAATTCCAATTACCATCAAACATCACCTTTCATTTATGAAGGTACAGATAATAATTATAAATTTATTGGAGGATTTGGTGAATTTTCTGAAATTGTGAAAACCAAACATAAAGATTTATTTGAAAATAGTAATTTTGGTGGTAGTAGTAGTAAAGGAGAATGTGATGGTGAAGGTTGCAGATTGTAATTTCTTTATTATTCCTTTTTTTGATTCTTTATGATTAAAGATATCAAGATATAATACTGTATTATAGATATAATACTGTATTATTACAAACAACATTTTATTTAATTAGTTGCACAAGTAAATAAATAAATAAATTTTTAGTATTTTGAATTACATTTCTTTTCACTTGTAATTTTTCACGCTTCAATTGCTATTTTTCACATTTTTTCTTGTTATTTTCATGCTTCACTTAAATATTTTTCATTGCTTAACTTGCTTGCATTTTTGCTTCACCTACCGGATTATTTTTTCACTTGCCTGCATTCTTGCTTCACTTGTTTGCATTCTTGATTTGCATTTTGCTTTATTTAAATGAAATCTTTCAGATAATAATCACCAACCAATAAACATCAATAAAAAATAAAATTTTTGGATGAATGAGAATATAAATAAATTTCTTTAAAAGTAGGAGCCACGTGATAAATACGATTACGATCTAAGAAGAATTATCATATGACGATAATTTTCATTCACATTCACATGCAAATTCATATTTTCTATTTATTTCTTTTCTTTTCAAATACTTCAAAATAACTAACCGATTGAAATCGCGTCTGATCTCCTGATCGTCTAGTCACGTCTTGAAATGTTATTCCTCGTTCGTCACACGCATAAATTACTATTATTATTATAATTATTATAATAATAATTATTATTATTATTATAATTATTATTATTATTATTATTATTATTATTATTATTATTATTATTATTATTATTATTAACAAATTACGGTTCAATGAATCATTGATGATGTCATAATAATTTATATTCTTAATTCTCTCAATAAAAATTTTTTCTTTCATTATCATAATCATCATTATTATTATTTTAGTTTAAAACTTCAACAAGCCAAAAATCCAATTTTGTTAAAAATCCCAAAATTTTTGTTGATTATTTTTTAAAATTTTCATAGGTATTAACTAATCAAAGAATAATAATGTGAAAATTTTATTTTTTATAAAAAAAATAATTAAAATAAATAATTAAAATAAAAATAATTAAAATAAAAATAATTATTAAAATAAAATAATTAAAATAATCTTGTCCAAATATATATAAAATATAATGCACACAATCAACAATACGCACGTACACCTGCGCACATACACACATATACATATACTTTTACACACATTAATATAATTGCACATATATTTTAAATGGTGACAACAAATTTTTTAGCTCGACGCCATCTAAGAGCACGGGCTGTAATCGCCATTACTTTTTTCTCATTCATTACAATTACACTAACAATTCATAATAATAATAATGACAATAACAACAATAATTATTACAACAATATAAACGCCACTTTTGCCCAATTTTACTAATTCCGCCGCCACGTCTACGACTACAACCACACCGACTTCTCTTTTAATTGGGAATTGTAATTTATACTGGTTTGCATTCATATATACATTACAATATTCATATATTCATTTTCATAATTATTATATGTATAAATTATATAAAGGAATATTATTATATTTTATACCATTCGAATTCTCAAGCCGCGAAAAATTTGGAATTTATTTTTTTCCTTTTAATTCACTTGAGTGGGTAAAATTTTTAAATTATTATTATTCTTTTTTTTTAATCTCTGTTTATCTATTTTCAAAGTACTTGAATCATTGAGTCATGCCAATTTCTTTGCTGTACCGCCTTTTGAGTATATTTGTCATTAAAAAAAAAAAAAAAAATTTTTTTTCTCTCTAATCAATCAAATCGATCAAAAAAAAAAAAAAAAATTCTAACCCAATTCTAATTCCAATTCACTAATTTAAAAAATTCTAAATCTAAATAATTCTAATTAATTAACTCAAAATTTTTTTTTTAGATACTTGTATTCAAAAGTTTTGGAAAACAAACTACAATAATAGTTTGTGTAATTTACATTATTGCATTTTGCCGATAACATATTTAATCATTATACATTACATTAAAAAAATATGCGTATAGAATATATATAAATGTGCATATTATATTATATTTATATACTCTATTATATTATATTATATATTGTATTTTATTAAAGATATAAGATAATTACATGTGAAGATATTACAATATTAATCATTATTATTATATTTGTTTGATATTTTATATTTGATATTGATAATATAATCTTGATAATATTACATTGATATTATTGATAATTATAATAGATCTTTGGGAAGAGAAATAATCTCACGTCGTGATGGTTTATGACATTTTAATTTTGTATACATTTTTTAATTGAGAGTACTTAATTAAGTGTATTTTAATGATTTAATTTATACATAATAATAAATTGATATGTATATTTTATTTATAGGTTGCCTTCAGAACGAGAATTCTAATCAAATCAAGAACAATTGCAAAAAATCTTTGAATGAAGTATAACAATAATAATAATCATAATCATAATCATAATCATAATCATATCACTATTTATCATTTAATCTCATTCTATTATGATTATGATTATTATTATAATATTTATCATTATTATTATATTTATATTATTATTATTATTTAAGGCAATTTCGACAGCCACTTCAAAATCAATCGAGTGTTAGTCGTGATAAATATAATTAATATATAATCATTTATTAAATTTATAAATAAATAAATAAATATTAATAGTAGAAAATAAAATCAATGATTTAATAAATATTAATATAAAATACTGGTACATATAATTTAAATAATTTATATATAATGTTATAATTTGATGATGGTAAACAGTGATGGTGCGGTGCGCTCATATATAGAAACTTTTTAATGCATGCATTGATAATACATATAGCATATAATATAGTATACAAATATAAATATATATAATATATAAAATATTATGCGCGTATCCTATAGAGCATAATAATCTTTTTTTTTTTTTTTTTTTTTTCTTCTGATTTTTTAGAATTACGAACAGTAAGATCAAGATATAATCTATACATATTCTATAAATATATATAATCCATTTATAATCTATTTATAATATAAATTCTTATTTTTTTTAAAGAAAAAAAGAGCACGGTAAGTAAAATCACATTACCAATTTATGTATTATGTACATCAATCAATATATTTTTATATTACATATACATACATGTATTATATATTATATATATTATTATATATATTATATTATATGTATTTATAAGGTTTTTTCTAATATCTCTGTTGTTACCAGAACACCTACACGCACAGCACATATCGATAATTGTGGGACCAATTTAATTTCGGTAATAATAATTCAATGATAGTTACTATTATATAAGTATAAACTTTAAATAAACTTTATTTTATTATGTTATAAACTTTATTTCTTATTTTATTATGTTATAAACTTTAATTATGTTATAAATTTACTTACATATTTTATATAATAACCTTATTGACTTCATTAACCTTAATAATGTATACTTTATAGTAATAGTAATTAATAATTAACATTAGACCGATTTACTAATTATTTACTAATCATTTTTTATTTTTTTATTTTTATTTTTTATTTTTATTTATTTATTTATTTATTTACGCATTGTCAAAATATAATTCAAATATAATTCAAATATAATTTCAAATATAATTTCAAATATAATCTAACAGCTAAGTAATTGATCATCATGTAGGTGATTAATCAAACATTAACGTAAGCAAAAGTCGAACATTGGTAAGCCGAAGAGATTAATAATTAAAAAAATAAATAAAATAATAATTAAATTAATTAAGCATAAAATATTTAATTTTCATTTAGGAAAAAATCCCCCTTTGATATTTATAATGTTATTATTATGTAAGAAATTGAAGATGGTAATTAACTTAATCATTATTTTCAATTCAATTCAATTAATTACATTCATACTTTATTAATTAATTCAAATTCATCATTGTATTCATTTATTTAATCAATTCCTTATTCAATTCATCATTCTTTAATTCTTTTATTCATCCACATTTAATTATTTCCTTTTTTTTTTGTTTGTTTGTTTTGTTTGTTTTGTTATTTATTATTATTATTATTTTATTTATTTATTTATTTATTATTTTGCCATTTGCCATTTACTATTCATTATTACTATATTTATTATTTGCTATTTACTTTTTGCTTTTTGCTATTTACTATTTACTATTTACTATTTGATATCATCATATGTTATTATTTATTATGTAGGTTTAGGACCAATCCCATAATTTATGCAGATTTAAAATCCATGGCATAGATTTCTTATAGGCGATGTTGGCGTTTTACGACTGATTATTTTAAATGTATGTTTTTAGTGCTGTATTTTATTGTTTACTACAAAATATATATTAATTTATAATTTATTTATAATTTATTTATAATTTATTTATAATTTATTTATAATTTATTTATAATTTATTTATAATTTAAATTCCTAATTTATAGCTTCTAGGAAATGGGGTAGAGTATTATGAATTTCAATTTTATTTCTACTATACAAAGAAAATAATAATTTAATATTTACATCTGTCAACATTTCATTGTTATGTCAACATTCAATTACGTTACGTTATGTCAACGTTCATTATGTTCATTATGTAATTGTATTATCTAATTTATTTTAAAAATTTATTTACTTCCCATTTAATAAATTTCCTGATTTACTTAATTTCCTAATTTATCTTAAAAAAATCAGATTAAATTCGGAAGAATTGAATTTATTAGATTTAAACGATAATGATAGTATTCACGATAATATTTATGATAATGGTGGTGATAAACGCAAGATTTAAAACAGAAGTCGTTGTGGAATTTCTACTGAGTTCATGGAAAATATCTTTTTGAACCATTTTCTCAGTTCATTATTTGATTTTTATTATTATATCTAAATTTTATTATTATTTAATTAATTATTAATTTTTATTATTTAATTTTATTGTTTTTTTTAGGAGGATTCATCATTGCATTGAAAATTTGAAGGAACAGGATTGGGTCTTAGTATAGTTAAAAGTGTCTATTATTTATATTTGATTTGTCACTCTTTTCTCTAAATATCGCACTCATAAACACATATCACTCGCACGTGCACGCCCATATACCGTTAATAGGTCTACCATTTGATTATCAATACAATCTGAACAAGAAGAAAAAATTACAATTTGGTAAATCAAAAAAGAAAACGACAACAAATTATTTTTTTTTTTTCAACTATTGAAAAATTATCACCCTAAATCAAAGCTATGGAGTCATTATCCGCTTCAGATTAACAAAGACAACAACTTAAATTTAATGAAAAAGATTTAGTTGGAAAGTATGGAAAATAATGGAAAATATTGGAAAGGAATATGCAAAAGATTATGTTATAGAATTTGTAAAAAATGAAAATGAAAATAAATCTACGGAAAACGAAAAAATTTAACAAAATCTTTTGATAATAATAATAATAATAATAATTTAAATAATAATAATGGTGATAATCGAAAAGAAAATGATAATTATTTAATACAAAAAAGGAGGAGAAAAAGGAATTGAAAATCCATTCATTTCTTCATCTTCTTCATCTTCTTCCTCCTCCTCTTCATCAATATCATCAAACATTATTTTAAGTACTCCTTCAAGTTCAATTTCAAGTTCTTTTTCAAGTCAATAAAAAGTAAATTAGAAATAACAAAAAAAATTAGAACAAAGAGAATGAAAGATCTGAAGTTTTTGATTGTTGAGGTTTAGTTTTTTTTATTTAATTTATTTAACTGAATTTATTAATTAATCGATATATTTATCATTTATTTAATTTAACGAATTTATTTATTATTTTTATTATTAATTAATAAATTTATTATTTAATAGGATAATAAAATAAATGCAATGATATTATCAAAACAAGCCAATATTTATCAAAATTCTTCATACACAAATTGAATGTTGGATACGAATAATTATGGAAGAAAATGTAGAAGAAGGATATTAATAAAATAGTAGTTTTGTAAAAGTATTAGTATTAGATAAAATATGAGATTATAACTTAATATAATATTGGGTATTAATATTAGGTCACAACTAGTAATATAAATAATTATATATTTTATACTCATAATCAGGAATAGAAAATAAAGATAAAAATTGAGATTGAGAATCTTTAGAAGCCTGAAACAAGATCTTTCTAATTGTTATAGGAACACAGTAGTAGAAAATCGCACCTTATCACGTAAATTCGATAAGAAGTAAAAAGTTAATGTATTCTTTTTGGATGGTAATAACTTAACGAACATCGATGATAAAAATTATTTAACAACTATTATAAAGCTTAGGAGAAGGTAGAAAATCGCATAAAATCGATCCGAAGCAAACGTATGGATTTAAATAATACTTGTAAATTTGTAATAATTTTACGTATTTTAATAAATTTATATGATAAATTGACGAATATCGATGCTAAAAATATGATTTTACCATCTTTATTTTTTTTACCATCTTTAGAAAACCCGAAATAAGAGCTTTCTAATCGTTATAGGAACACAGCAGTAGAAAATCGATCCTTATCAATAAGAAGTAAAAAAATTAATGCATTGTCTTTGGACAGTAATAACTTGACGAATAACATGGTAGAAGGGTTATTTAGCTGCGATTACGAATCTTAAGAGGAGGGCTTTCAAATGGTCATAGAAATTTCTTAATAAAAAATCGCTCCCCCGTCGCATTAAATCAATCTGAAGTAAAAGTGCAAACTTGCAAACCTAAAGGTTTGAATTAAACTTTACAGGTTTGCAAGCTCGAGCTGGGCTCGCAGGCCTGAATCAAGGCTTTACCTGACCTAGTAGGCCCGCGAGCCTGAATTAAGGCTTGACCTGACCTGGTAGGCCCGCGAGCCTGAAATTAAGGCCTTAAGGTCTGTGAGGAGCTTCAGTCAGCACCATAAATCCTATAGTTGAGTCATTTTTAAATAGATATCAAAAAAAAAAAAAATAAAGTTTCAGAGACAAAGTTGATCGTTACTTGAAAATTTATCGTACAATATAGACATGGCTAACCAAGAATCCCATCTCAATTTCATGAGGAGGAAATCAATCATCAGATTAAGAAAGAAATTGATATTTTATGCTTAAATACAATAGGGAGACATTCGAAAAATTCATGTAAGAGATTATTAGGGAGCGAGTTAATTCAAATAAAATTATGATGTGAAATTGAGAAAAAGAAGATACAATTGCGGGATATGGAAGAATGTTAACATATCTGAAATCTTGCTCATTAAAAAGCTTCAAAGGGGTATTCCAAAAACACAACGGAGCTCATTATTTATGTATAAGTAAATTTTTCAAATCAATTGTTTCAATGTAATCAAGAAATAATATTGTAACGTATTTGATTCTAATAAAGCAAGTAAATGCATTTCTTTTTAAAAAAATATAAAGTTAACTTGTTTTGCATATAAGAGGGCCAGTTCTCTTAAGATGAGTACCTTCACTTGATCGCACAGATGAGGTACATTCCTTCTCAGAACCATCATCAAAGTCTCCTCTTCCTCATACAATCTGAATTTTAGAATTTTACTTGATCCCCAAAAAATGAGTAAACTACCTATATAAATGATGTTGAAATATTTAGGCGGAATTTAAAAGATTAAAGAGTCAAGAAATAAATTAAGCAATTTATAATCAAGATGGAAATTTAAGAATACAATAACGTAATAAATAAAGGACTCGTAAACGATAAGAAAAATCATTCATGAGGTAATTATTATGAGGTAATTATTATAATGTGCAAATGACTAAATATTATATTTACAAAAAATGATTCTTTGAAAGTTTGATGAATCCAAAATCACGAATATTTAAGTTCAGGAATTATATATGTTGATGAATTAAGAAAAAAAAAATCAGAAGAAAAATTTTGAACTAAAACGTCGAAAAGTTCACAAATTTTGCTTTTACTTAAAAGTCATATTTTGAGCCATCTGATTAATAATAATAAAAAAAATCAAATTCCAGTAGAGGATGATAAAACACATATTTTTATACATATCAAACAATAGTAATAGTTAATACTGTATTAAGTCTTTTTTTCAATATAAACAAAGATCAACCATGATGAGCTTCTTGGATGGTAAAAATGTATAAATTTATAAAAAAAATGTATCCTAATTACCTGATAACTTGTTAAAGACAATAATCAACTAAAAACAGCATAATGATTTATTTTATTGTCAACTCTTTAATAAAAAAAAATGAGATGAACTTTTGATTTTTTATAATTCAAATCAAGATATATAATAATATTTTATAATATTTATCGTTTTACATAACTAAATAACTAAATAATTGATATTTGAAATATAAATTCTATTTATACATGCAACTACTTTTACTATTCATAAGAAAAAAAATGTATAAAAAGACAAAAATACAAATGTGAGATAATGATTATGCAATATATATATGTAATAAAGATATAATATAATATTTTGAATTACTGGATATTATTAATCTGAAAGAAATCCCAAGAAAATGATTAATTAATATATATATATAACGAATAAAATGAATAAATTGTTAGTTGATGAGATGTTCTATAGCAAAAAAAAAAAAAAAAATTCAACTTGTGAATATTTAAAATCATAAAAAAATTTCACTTCACTACTTATAATTCGTTTAATGCTGCTGATGACCTAATCTAAACATTAACGATAATTATTTACCTTAATTAATTAAATTTGTCCAATTAATTTAAATTATAGTACATAGTCCAAAAATTATCCAGTTTTTCATTTAATACTTTTTGTGTGCTTTTGTTTTATTATGTCCTCTTTTTTTTTTTGGTGCTTTTTTGTAATGTGTTTTTTTTTGTAATGCGCTTTTTATTATGTACCATAATAAGGTAACTTTTAGTTAAATATTAAAACTTCATTTTATTCCACATAAATTAATAATTTTGGGCAATTCGCTATTGCATGCCGTAGGTGGTCGTCATCATCAAGTGATAAAATCTCGTTAGTGTTATCATCTTTATATTTTAGATTTGTTACATGCCCTCCAAGACGTTCATTTAATTTTTCTCTTAGTTTTGCATAGGTAACACTTGCAGAAACCCGAATAGCAATAAGGTCTTCTCGATATAAAACTTTGATTTTTATAAAAGACTGTTTATTTGTAATAGTAGATTTTGTATTAGGTATATTTGTTGTAGAGAAATTAATAGATTCATCATGAACCCGAGAAGATTTAATAAAAGATTGTCCCGATACTGAATTATTACTATGTTTATATCCTCCGCCATTCAATGATGAATTGATTACAGAAGATTGCATTGTCTGGTATGACTTTGTTGGCGGTAATGGATCAATTGGTGATGAATCCAAAGATGACTTTCCGTTTGCACCAATAGGTTGTCTTGGGTCAGTTGGAGTTTCGACATCACCATCTCTTAATGCAAATAATTGTTGTAATATGGAATCTTGTAAAATGTATGGAGGTAAACTTAACAATTCTTTAACATATATATCTAAATCAGCCCTTCTCTGAGCTGTAATCATATCGTTAACATATGAAAGTGGCCCTGGCATAAATGGTAAAATACGTTGTTTACCAGTACGACCAGCTTCTTCCGGAAATTTATTGAGAAGAGCAATTTGAAACTCATAAAAATCTTCATATAATCTATATAAAAGGCGAAAGCATCCTGAGGCCAATTCAGCACGGATCAAAAACCAATATCTTTCCTCTTCAAAATGAAATGAATCAACTGATGCAGCAATTATTTCATTGTCTTGAGAGCTTAAATCTGATTCCTCAAGGTCGGTGGGACTCGTGGGTAAAGTATTCGAAGCATCTGAATTCCTTTTGGTAAAAGCAAATTTTCCGCTTGCGTTAGAATCTTGTAAATTAATTGGTTCAATATCAAAAGACATTGGAGCCAATTTCTTATCAAGATCAAAAGATACTGGTGCTAATTTAGGATCAAGTGATTTTGACTCCATCCCAACTGGTGCTAATTTGGAATCCGCCGAAAAATCTAGTCGACCCAATGAAATACTATTTTCTTGATAATCTTGAGTCATTTTTTTCCATTCTTCAACTTTTGGAACAACGGATTTATCCATTAACTCTTTAACATTTTCTATCGCTTTACCGGTCGCATGATCACGAATTTCTATGAAAGATACAGGAATAAGACCTGGCCCACCTAAACGTCCTATTGGTTTCGCAACAAACCACTCATGATTCGATTGTGCAATTACAATAATTGGTTCACCAGCTTTAGCATCCAGTTCGTCAGGACGTTCAGCTGAGAAGTCGTAAAGAACAATACCATATAATGGCTGAGGTTTATTTCCAGAATTATTGATTTCTGAGAATATACCAGATTCGGCTTTTTCATCTCCACTTAAACGACCACTTTTTTCCAATACTTGAAAATATGAGATAGGGACAAGACCTTTCACATTTGTAGCGGGATTACAAGCTTCATACCAATTTGGATCATTCTCGTTACCAACAACATGATAAAAATCGCCTTTGGAAAAAGAGAGTTCGTTTGGAGCATTTGCCTCATAATCGTATAATGCTTTAATGACTTTCTTCGGAGGTAAAATTGATGGAGGTGGTTTGTCTGGAATTGCAATCGGGGTGGAAATTTTATCTTTTGTGACTGAACGGCGAAAATCCAAAGAAGGTTTAAGTGCTTTGGTAACTTTTACCATGTTTTTCATACTAATTAAAAAGAGATTTCAAGAATTTAAGAAGCTTTTGAACTTAGAACCACTAATTGGACGATCAAAATTGTGATCACATGTGATAAATTTATTGGAAATTGAATTTTTACAAAATTAAAAATGACCAAAACTGTCAAGATTGCCCATAATATTACTTGTGCTACGTACGCTACTGGATAACCAAGAATAAAAATAATTAAATATAAATTAGGATTGTTTGCATTCATAAAATTAAGGCTTGGCTCTCAAGTCTATGCATTACTTCGGATAATGGGGAGTGATTTTCTACTAAATTGTTTCTGAAAGCTCTCCTCTTAAGCTTTGCAATGGTAGTTGAATTAACTTTTTAATATCAATATGTTGAGTTACTGTTACACAAAGACAATGAAATTAATTTTTACTACTTATGTAATTTTCTACTAAGGTAATCCTATTATCATTTGAAAGCTCTTGTTTCAGGCTTTCTAAATAGGTAAAAATTATCTTTTTTAACGTTGATATTGATAGAGAATAATTTTTTACTAAGAGTATTTTTAAAAGTTTTTCTCTTAAACTTATTTATCAAGTTATCAGAAATCTTTTTTCTTAATTTATTTTGATTTTTGATTTTTGATTTTAATCCAAGTAACTTAAGTATGCTTTATTAGTCATATGAACAATCCAATCATGATTATTCAGATCCTTGATTGTTAACTAAAATTATTTAAAAAAAAAATCAGAATTTTATTATATTAACTATCTCCTGAAAGTATTCAATACAATATTTTACATATATTTATATTTTTTTATAAAAATTTATTGAGCATTTAAAGGTATTTTATTTGCCTAATTAATTGATTTACCTTTCAACTATGTTACCCATCTGTTACCTATTAAGTGACAAGTAGGTGTAATATTTTATACAGAAAATGAAATGTATAGTGTTGTCTCAACTGGTATGTTAAAACAAATTTTAAAAATTTTTAAAGAAATTAACAAGAAAGTTGTGAATATTACTAATTCTTTTATTGTATTTTTGATAATTCAATGTTAGGTTCTGAATAGTTAATAACAAAAAGTTCAGAACCATGATAAAATGGGAAATAACAATAGTGATGAGAAATTGGAATTTTTTTGTGTTCATTATCTAAACTTGAAGACCTGTAATGTTATTGGAAATGAGGCTGGAGACACAATTAACTATAATTTTATTAAAATTATCATGTAATTTCTTGTCTCCTTTTATTTCCTGTAGCAATTCTGAAGGATTTCCATCATTAAGTACTCAATTGTTATTGCCTGTTCTGCCAAAGTGTCACAGATCCACCAAAGATTCCTGGAGTTGTTTTATGCAATTTGGTTTTTCTGAAATTTGGTTTCTGATATATCTATTCTTGTGTTGTTTTATGGATTATTACATATTAATATTACACCATAGTTGTGGCAAAGAATCTTTGTTGTAATTATAGTACATATCGTATCTTATTCTCTTCAACTTTGGATTGGATAATAAAATTAGATTAAATAATATTTTTGTTGATTTTATATTTATTCTAGTATCAAAGAGTTTTTTTTTTTTTTTGTAATTATTTTTCTGTTTATAATGAACTTTAAGAGGAAGAGGTAATATCAGATCTTCAATTATTAAAATTGTTAAATAATATTATCTATAACTATCTCCTCCCCTTCCTCAAAATAAAATTTGTGATAAATTTTGCGCAAGTTAAAAAGTTGAAAGGGTAAAAAGGCTTATTTTAGCGCAATTCATTATAATTGTTATGAAATTGTTTTTGCATGTTGTTAATTTTATTATTATTATTATTATCATAATTGTTATGCATTTTGTTAATTAATTCTTTTATGATGTCAATTGTGTTAGAATTCCAAATTTCTCAGATGATTTATAATAAATCGTAAAATCGTATTGGAAATTATGTAACATTCCAACTATTTGAATTATTTCGGATCTCAAAATAAAATGTATTTTACACAAAAGTCTATTTAATGTACTTAATATATATATATATATATTTGATATTCAAATTTCTAATAATAAAATGGAAGATTTAGCTTTTTTGACGTTTATTTCTGCTGCTTTCATGACTATAATTAAAAAAAAAATAATTAGTATATTATAACATAAGAAAATGCATATATATATTATATAATATTTACGTAGTATCCATTCCTCGTTTGCTTCCTTTTTTAGCTTCATCAAGAAATTGGCTAAATCCAAATGGATCAGCTTCTTCCTTTTCAAATTCAACGGGTCCTTCTCTGACCTAAATTTAATTTCGTTATCAGGTGTTATTTATAATGTTCTGTTTTAAAATTGCAAATTAAATAATAATAATAATCGTAATAATAATAATAATACAAACCTGGGTTTTATCTGCTCCTTGGAATACTTTAGAATTAATACCGAATCTATCGTTATTCAGCATTTTGTTAATGCTCTCTTCATTACCACCACCAAATTGATCAGAGTCATAATTCTTCTTAGGATTATATATACTTGAAGCACTTGAACCAGCAAAAAGCGGTTTATCATAAATATCATACACTAAAAGAATAAATTAATAGTAAATAAATCATAAATAAAATAAATGAATAAATAAATAAATAAAATAAAATAAAATGTAAGGAATGTGAAGTAATGCAAGTAATTATAATTTCAAAATATAGAAAAAACCAGATTTTACCTTCTTCATCTTTGAATCCAGATGAAAGTCCTTCAGATTGATTAAATAATCGGGAATCGTATAAACTTTCTTTACTGACCGTAGGTTTTGCAAGACCCAATGCAATTTTTTCAGATATATCTCTGTTTTGTTCACTACATTCACAAAGCAAAAAAAAAAAAACAATAGTAAAATAAAATATCAAAGAAAATAGTTGCAAAGGATATTTATAAAACCAACCGTGCTAGATGTTTGGCCCTTTGTTCTGCACCCATTCTTGATAATCTATATTCTCTTTCTCGCTCTTTTCGTCTATCCTGCCTTATGTCTTCTCTCTCCTTAACCTTTTCTTCATCTGATTCTGACTCTGACTCTGATTCAGCAACAACTGAACCAGAAAAATTCGTAGATTTTGAAATTCCAGCTCTAAATTGTAATTTCATATATAATACCATTTTAGTTAAGACAAGATTATCAAGATTATTAAGATTAGTCAAATGTGAAATATATTACCTTTCTTCTCGAGCCTTTTGCGCTAACATTCGAAGACGTTTTTCTTTCTCCTCCTTTTCTTTTTGAGATAATTTTTCTCTCATCAAAGCACGTTGTCGAACTTCTTCACGAGCATGCCTATCTGCAGCGAAAAGTGCTTCGGATAATTTTGCGAAATTATCATTTATGGTAACCTAAATTTTTTTTTTTCAAATATTAAATATAATAAATAATTCTATTAATTTAAAATTGATTTAAACTGTTTTCTTTTATAGACTAAAAATAATTACTTCTTGTAATCCACGTCCATCAGCCGCTAAACGTTTATCAAGTGGGATAGTATAACCCTTTGCATTTTTCCAATTTGAAATACATGGGGGAATAACCCATTCTTGTTGTTCTTTAGCAGAAACTTTTCGAGGAGGAGAATGTAACACTGGCGCCGGTGGTGATGGTGGACCTAAATAATAATAAAATAAATAAATTATAATTGCCTTGATACAAATTATTTAATAAATTAATATATTTTACTTACCACGCGGAATTTTTTTATGCTTAAATTTTGGAGGTTCCATTGGATCAACAGGCATTTCTACCATTCTAATTATTCTCTGTCCTGCACCAGAATTATATGATTCGCCTTGTTGTCCAGGAGTGTACCTTATATATGTTGGTTCAGATGGCTTGTCAGTTTTAACATTCTTTGGTTGGGCTGCTCTAATTTTGCCTATAGAAATAAAGGATAATATTATATTAAGTTTTTCTTCTTATTTTCACAAAGGTTAATTCTAAATTATTACCTTGAACAATCTTCTCTAAAGCATCCCTCGTTTTTTCAGTTGTTTCTTTAACCTCATCCTCATTAGGCCTCTCCAAATTTACTTGTTCTATGTCAGATCTTTGGTTCATAGGTACCAAATCTTTAAATTGGGAATGAATTACTTTAGTTTCATTATGGCCTTGTCTTGCGATTTCATCAAAACGGATATTGCCTTCAGCATCAACTTGTAAAGGAAGAGCTCCACCACTTTTATTCTAAAAAAAAAATAACTAAAACATTTTTATTAAATGTTTATTATAATGGTTTGCTTTTTTAAATTCTTACAATTTTATTGCGCCCCATATCCATAGGATATTGTGCTATATGAATTTCGGGAAATGCTCCTCCATCTTCAAAGTCTTCTAAGGTTCTTGGCTTCCAATCTTTTCTATTGCCATATGATGGTGGTCGCTTTTTTTCTGTACTGCTCATTTTTATATATATATATTTTTTTTTGATCTGGATGTTAAAGTATGAGAAAAGTCTTATATATCAACTTTCATGAATTGCATCATGTGATTACTCAAACCTAAAGTTAATATAATTAGCTGGGGTATAAAATAACATTTGACCCCAGGTGTCTAAATCACATGGGAAAGATATAAATTGTCAAAAAAAAAAGCAATGCCAAATAATAATCTCTTATTGAATAAATCTGCATAACAAACAAACCAAAAAATTCATATATATATATATTATTTTAAATATGTCAACCGAAGCGCGTCGTAGACTTATGCGAGATTTCAAACGACTTCAAAATGATCCACCAGGTGGCATCTCTGGTGCACCATGTTCGGATAATATTCTATTATGGAATGCAGTCATCTTTGGACCCGGTAAGAAAGTTTCATTATCTTACTGATTAAGTAAAACCTTCAAGACTTATAAGACTTTTGTAGCAATTAAGTTTTTTTTTTTTTTTTAATATTGTATTTTAATTCTTGAGATTTAGTTCATACGGGAAAAAACAATCAATTGAAAATGATATTTAAAGATAACGAGTCCAAATAAAGTTAAAATTTTAATTATATCTATATTTATTGCTTTTCTATTTTTGGTTTTAGCTGACACGCCATTTGAAGATGGGACATTTAAGTTGGCACTCCAATTTGATGAAAATTATCCTAACAAACCACCATCAGTTAAATTTATATCCAAGATGTTTCATCCCAATGTATATGCCAATGGAGAATTATGTCTCGATATTCTTCAAAATAGATGGTCACCTACTTATGATGTAGCCGCAATTTTAACGAGTATTCAAAGTTTATTACATGATCCAAATCCAAATTCACCAGCAAATGCAGAAGCTGCAAATTTATATAGAGAAAATCGTAAAGAATATATTAGAAGAGTGCGAGAAATTGTCGAGAGTTCTTGGGAATAATAATACTTAATAATAATAATAATAATAATAATAATAATAATAGTAATAATAATGTAGGATCTATTGTATTATCATCTATATATATCTCTCTCTCATCTATCTATAATAATCTGAATTAAGAAAAGTTCCTTAGATTTTTTTTTTTTTTTAAAAAAAAAAAAAAAAAATAGGAGCAAAATACAACTTCTGGTTTAAGGAACATTCTCAAACATAATACAACTTCTGGTTTAAGGAACATTCTCAAACATATTCTCTGACTATAATTGTATGGGAATTCCTCCCCCACAAAAAAACGATAAATAATTTTCATTTATATTATTTATAATATATAAAATATATATCTATATATCTATAATTTCTTTGCATTATTAGAAATTTGAGAACGCAATATATTTGTTAATACTTTTTTTTTCTATAATTATATAATGTAGAATTTATTATTGGGGAAGCGCAAAAGGATTGGATGAAAAAAAAAAATAAAATGAGGATGATGATGATGATGTTATTGTAACATTATTTATTATTTATTATTTTTTTTTTTTGTATATGGATTTTTTTTAAGAAATAAAGAATAATTTATATAAATAATAATGAATTTATTTTATTATTATTATTTTTTTTTGTCTACAAATTGCATTATTATTTGAATGCATTTATTATAACTTAAATGACAATAAACTGAACAAAAATGAAATAATTTATTCTAATTTCTAATTTTGTTTATAATTATTATTATTATTATTTTTAATGAATCCAAAATTGTATTGTCAATGTTTTAACATCTCAAGCTCTTTGCGTAATAATGGTTCGCTTTCAATTTTTTGCAACTATTATTTGATGTCAATGGAAATATATTATTTTTCTTTAAAAGAATTTGATGAACAAAAGATATGAATATATTGATAATATACTAACCTGCATTGGTTCGAGAGCGTCACCACTTTTTTGTTTCTCTTTAAGTTCGGCAATTTGACGTAATTTCTTTGTCAAATTTCGAATCTTTTTATCGGTTTCGGATAATGCACTTCCGGACTGCGTCGTCGTATTTTCACTTATCTCCAACGACGTATCATTAGAAACAATGGTATCAGTTTGTTTTACATTATTGTTTATTATAACAGATGATTCTAAATAATAATATAAAATAATATAAATCATAAAAGCATAATTAAGTAATTGTACAACACTACAATGAATAACTTACCAGTATTTTCAATAATAACAGATTCTTCCTTTTTTTTCTTAGCTGCTTCCCGTTTCTTTTTGTTTTTGGCAGCCGCTTTGGATGTGTCTATAATAATAATAATAATAACAATAATTCAGATAAATCAAAAAAAAAAAATATCAAGTAAATTAACATGATTCAACGCGTGTTTAATAAGAAAAGGAATTTATATAACTATTCACATACTTTCAGTCGATGACAGCATAGACTTCTTTCCATGATCTTGAAGTGAATTTTTATTTGATTCATCTTCTCGCTTAAAATTTAAAATAAAAATAAAATAAAATAAATAAAATTTTATACTTTACATTTTTATCGCGATTTATTTAATATTAAATATACCTTAAAAATTTCAGGAGTTGCTGTACCGCGTGCATGAGGTGGTCTATAAGCACCTATTTTTTTAGCTGATGATAAAAATTTAATTTAATCAAAAAAAAAAAAGTTAAGCATTATTCGCATTATTATTCATATTATTCATTATATTATTTAAAACATGCATGATTTAAAAATTTACTTACGCGTTGGTTTGTCTTTCGATATTGCCGAGTTTTCCAAAGCTTTGGGCGGAGGCGATAAAGTTGATCGCATGGGATATAATTCTACATTAGCAGGTCTCCATTGAACCTATCAAAAATGAATATATTGAATTCTTGTAAATTTCATCATTATTTATTTATTTTTATTTAATTTTTTTATATTCTTCCAACCTGTAAAAGTTCCTGAACATTTGTGGTATGTACTAATGCGCCAGTATAATGCCAGATCTTAAACCCATTATCAACCCTTAATCTCGGACTAAGAGTCGCAGTAATAATATAACGACCATCAGGTGACCAACAAGTTTCCGATGAATTAGGTGCTTCGATCGTAGTTATTTTTCCTAACGTTTTACGATCCCATACATCCATAGTGCCAGCTAAATTTCCAAATCCAGCTATGAAGAACAGTATAAAAAAATTTTTATTATAGTGAAGGTTTAATTTATTTTATTTACAATTGGTGTTTGTTTATAAATAATAATAAATAATAATAATAATAATAATAATAATAATAATAATAATAATAATAATAATAATAATAATAATAATAATAATAATAATGTAATAAATTAATAATAAAGGATATGTCGTCCTTGCGCATTATATCTCACGGTATTTCGGGGATTAATACCAAGATTGTGTATGGGATCCGCACGATGGTTAAATAATGTTGCTTTTGCGGGCATGTCTAAAATAATTATAATTTATTATAATCATAAATATCGTAATATTATAAATATTATAATAATAAAGAATCATATGTTTAATTTATAATTTAATAAATACTTACATCCATATATGACTATAAATTCTTTGGAGGTTGGGCTCCAAGCTACATCATGGATTGGACCTTCTTTATCTTTGGTAGATAAAATTTTCGAATATATATATATAAGTAATTAAAAAAATTTTATTCGTAATATATATATATATATATATAAATGTATAAATGTATATATAGATATCATATTTACCAAGATTAACTCGACAATCAAAATTTCCAGCAACCGATAAAAAATACAAATTATTTTCTATTCATATGATTTATGTGTGTTCATTTACCACGTTGCTAAATACGATTAGAATTTTTTTTTTTAAATATAAAGGTTTCTTTTTTTGACTTTATAAAAAGATTAAATTACCCCCATAATATGATTTGTTCGTTTTATCAACATCTGTCGAGGTAAGAACTAATAAGTTGGTACCTAAATCATTCCACTTCATCTGAATTTTATCTGCTTTATAAAAAGTTTTCTGAGACAAAGGTGAATTAAAATTGGTAATGGAATAAATACGAACAATTGCTGGTGCTGACTATATGATATATAACACAATTAAGATGATGAATAGATGTAAATGCGTTAGAATTATTGAAATTACGTTTAAAATAACAAAGGTAAAATAAAGATAATGATTATTTACATTCTTTTCAGGAATAAATATAGATATAGAAGGACTTTTTCCGGGAGACAAGGAAAAATCACCAACTCCCTCTAATCTTAACTTATTATGGATTCCTTTATCGATGCGGTTTGTATCATAAAAATGTACTTCCCCTGTTACCAATCGACTAAAGAATGATTCATCTTCAGTCCATTGAACATTCCTAATTTAAATAAAATATAAAATTCAATTTTTAAATCAATTATTTTTAAAATACAAAATCTCATAAAAAAAAGTCCACAAACACATATATAGATATATATTTACCAATTAGTCTGGGTTTTTTGTGTAAAGGAAATTAATTCTTTCCCTGTGACAACTTCCCATATAATTAAATTTTTATGAACAGAATTATCTTGAGGTTTAACTTAAATAAATAAAAAATATATTAAAACATATTAAAATATATTAAATATATTGAATATATTAATAGTCAATTATTTTATAATTATCAAGAATAAATATAATAATAAATCTTACCTGGCCTTTCCCAAGTTGAAATATAATTTCCTTTTGGAGAAAATCCAATTTCAACTACATTTTTCTTTGGAAGTTCAATAACGATCTCGGTAGTTTCTGCATCAATAATCTTTACACTATGAATAATAATAAAGAAAATTTAAATATAAAGCTTGAAAAACTAAAAAAAAAAACTAGAAAAACTAGAATATCTTATAAAATACCTCTCTGAGGTAGCCCAACCAAGATATTTATTGTTTGTACTATATTGAAAAATTTTCACATTTTCACCAGGACTAAACAAAAAAAAAAATTTTGTATGAATATTAATTATTCTTAAAGAATTCGTAAAAAAAATAATATAAAAGAATCGAAGACTTACTCTTGAAATTGTTGTATAGGTTGATAATTTGGGTGTCCCGAAACTAACACCAAATTATTGAAAGATCGATCTATTAAAACGTAACCAGCATAATATAAGAATGCATTCCGTTCTTTAAATATTAAACTGTCAACATATAATAAACGATACATAATATAATACATACACGTAAATTGGGTGGGTGGTGAAGTAGAATTCATAATTACTAAAGAACACACAATAATGAATAATGATTATAATGACCAAAGAAATATTATTTTAAATCTTTAGATTATATCCTTGTCACGCTTTTGTCACACATTATATAAAAGCATAAGTCGAACATTTTTTAAGAGCGTTTACATTTGTTACCTTTTTTTACTTGTTAAAGCTATTATTATAAAAAAATAATGGGTGATAAACCTCACTGGTAAACGATTAAGATTAATTTATTAAAACGTATTCTAGAAATAAACAATGAACTCAACATTATTCTAACTTTTCTCATAATTTAGGGCCTATCCTTTCGAACAAAATCAACAACAATATTTAGCACCTCCGGGAACACAACCTACTGATTATACTAGTTTTCAATATACAACTTTTGGACCACCAGGAGTTACTCCAACACCACCACCACCACCACCACCAAGTTTTCAACCAAATCCTCCAGGGGTTACCACCACACCACCTTGGTATACCCCAACTTTACCAACATCGGTCCCTTATCAAAATACTGCCTATAACACAGCTTCATTTGACGCTAATATGTATTATCAACCGCAACCTTTTGGAATTTATCCAACCACCAATACAACAACAACAGGAATTTATCCAACCACCAATACAATAACATCAACTTATCCAACATATTCTGTACCAGAAACACCTCCACTTCCTTCCACATTTTCCTCTCAAAACAATACTTCTACTGTTCAACTTACCTAGTACGTGATAAAATGGTTGACAAATACATAATTCATTATTTCATCATCATCTTTTTACATTTTTCTATTTTGTTGATTTTTTTTTTTTTTTTAAAAAAATAAATTAATCATTTGTAGTACATCTGATCCCATCGCATCGTCAAATAATACCATGATTGGAAATGAAGAAATTTCAAAAACTACAAATGAAGTTTTTCAACAGACAACTACTGGATTTGCCAATTTAAAAGTAAATCAAAATAATATAAATCTTAACGATGGCGATGCTGAAGATCAAAAATCAAGTAAGGTTTTTAATAATAAATATTATAGAATATCATGGAATATCATAGAATATCCTAATCAAAGAGAAATTTGATTATTTTTAGAACCATTATATCGTCCTATTAGAATTCCACAAACTAATAAAGCATTAATCAAAAATAATCCATTGAGCCCGGAATCCGATTATTTAACTAACAATCAATCATCATCATCAGCATCATCATCTAATCAACAACCTGAGTTAGTATTTAATATATATTATTTAATTAATATATTTGAATTCTAGAAATTAATTATTACTTTATTTTTTTTTTTTTTTGATTAATTTTTATTTTATTTCTATTAGAAAACAACAACAACAAACAACAAGTGCGAAAGAATGGCCTGTAAGTCTAAAGTAGGTTTTTTTTTCTAATTTCTTTAATATTCATTTAATGTCGTTTTAAAGAAAGATTATTTTACATTGAAATTATTGGTTGATACGATATTTTTATTCCATATTATTGCAACCCCATATTATCACACCATATAATCACACTTTATTATCACAATTATTATCACATTTTATTATCAAAACTGATATTGTAATAGGGATTATGTTCAACGAAGTTTCAACGCGGCACCGCACAATATTGATGCGATTGAAAGGGAATTGAAAGTAATAATTTCTAATAAAATGCATGAAGGTGTACTACATGAGACAGATTGGACTAAAGTTGAATTACCACAAAGTTGCAAAACACCAAGGTTTAATAGGTTTAATATATTTGGTTTGAATAATTATATACAAATATTCTACATTATGAATTATAACAATTTTTTTTAGTTATAATAATATACCTAAGGAAAGTGAAAAACGAAAAATGTGAGTTACATAAAAATTTTGGGATAACTTTAAAAACTTGATATCCGATTTTTATATATATTAGTATATTTTCTTCTTTTATCAATTCCCCATCTGTTAATAGTAGTGATGAGTGCAGTGAATCTCAGAAAAGAGAAAAACGGGCTAAACGTTTTCAAGAACATGAAAGGATTGCTAGACCACGTTGGGAACCTCCCGTTAAAGTATATAATTATATAATTCTAGAATTGAGAATTTTTTTTTTTTTTTGGTATCATTATAATTGTTTACTTATTTTACTTGTATAAAAATTTATTTCCTTTAGCAACTAGATGAAATAGATATGAAATCGACGGTGGTTGGAACTTGTTTACAATTGGAAAAACAATATTTACGTTTGACAGCTGTGTGTATACATAAATAATGTCATTATTAGGAACATTCATTGATTTGTTATGTTAAATATACTAAATATTTATTTATTATTTATATTTATATTTATATTTATTTATTTATTTATTTATTTATTTATTTGTTTATTTATTTATTTATTTATTTATTTATTTATTTATTTATTTTATTGTTTTATTTATTTATTATTTATTTATTATTTATCATTTATTATTTATTATTTAATTTTCACTAATTATTAATTATTTTTTTTTGTTATAAGGCACCTGACCCTTCAACGGTTAGGCCTTTACGTATATTAAAGCAGACATTAGAATTTCTAAAGACCAAATGGGTCGAAGATCAAAATTATACATATATTTGTGATCAATTTAAATCATTACGACAGGATTTAACGGTTAGTTTATAATTATGTGTTATGTATTTTTATTTATCGTTTTAACTATCTTTATTCAAAATGCATCCAAGGTTCAACACATACAAAATGAATTTACCGTGAAAGTATATGAGACTCATGCTCGAATTGCACTTGAAAAGGTTTGTTCAATATTTTATTTATATATATACATTTTTATGATTACTTGTGATTTTATGGTGTTAATAATAAATTTTATTATTATTATTATTATTATTATTATTATTATTTTTAATACTTAGAGCGACTTAGGTGAGTATAATCAGTGTCAAACGCAACTAAAAGAACTTTATAGATTAAATATTCCAGGTTCAGTCACGGAATTCATGGCATATAGACTACTTTATTTTTTATATACGCGAAATCGGTCAGGTAATATCAATTAAACATTTAAGTCATTTCAGTCATTTCAGTCATTTCTTCTTCTTCTTATTATTATTTCAAGTTCATTATTTTAAATTACTAAAATTATTGAAATTATTTTATATAGATATAAATGCTTTGATAGCAGAACTTACTGATGATATGAAAAGTGATGAGGCAATTAAACATGCATTAGAGGTTAGATCTACTCTGGCTACATCAAATTTCCATAAATTCTTCCAGTTATACTTAAAAGCTCCCAACATGGGAGCATATCTCATGGATCATTTTGTTGAAAGAGAACGAATTGCTGCTTTGACGTTATTATGTAAATCGTATGTATTTTTAATTATCTCTTCCAATCTTTATATATTATTATATAATTATATATTATTTATATATTTTACATTTATTTTATTATTATTATTATTATTATTATCATTATCATTATTTTTGAATAGATTTCGTCCAAATTTGGATTTAGAATTCATCCGTTCAGATTTAGCTTTTAGTGATATGGATGAATGTGTACAATTTTTAACAGAACATCAAACTCGAGGTTTTATTTTAGCTGACAAAACATTTGACACGAAGAATGCTCTAAAAGTGATTGAAGCCTGCAGTAAGAAATTTGAAAAAGTTGACATTAAAGGACAAATTTAACAGACAGAATTTGAACAAAGTTAGACCAAATTAGACCTAAATCAGAAACAGATTTGATGCAAATTCAAAGGATTATTTTTCAATTTCAATATGTACAGCTCATAATAATTATCTAACTATAATAACTCTAAACAACAAACAACTTTGACCAATTATTAACATTAACATTTATTTTTTTTTTTTTATCAAATTATTTTCATTAAAACAAACTTTTTATAAAATTTAGAATTATTTCAATTTTATATATACATATCTATATATATACATACATAAATTAATATGTATCAATTTGCTTCCAAGGACAAAGAAATTTACATTTTATAAATAGCAATACTACTTTATTAAAATACATTTTGCGTATTTTATAAATTATCATCAATCGTGAAGAAAAATTATAATAATAACAAATTATTTTTAATAAAATCCGAATACATTTTATTCTTTAAGGTTAATCGGAATTTCTTATCTTTCTTTATTAGCTAATAATCTGAAATTTCGATAAGAATTTCATTCTATTTTCTCATACTCTTTAATATCATATTAATAAAATCATTTTTGATATCATCTAATTTCATATTTAGGTAGTTTATAAAAACGTCAGATGTTAATATATTTCCAAAGATTTTTCATCAATAAGATAAATGAAACCAATTTTAATGATTTCGGGTACTTATATCTTTCCGAATAATGTGATTTCTGATATTTGTATATTATTAAGAATTATTTTAAAAATTCAGAATTGTTCGACAGTGACTCAAAAATAAATTCAATCATTTATAAAACAATCAAGTTTATTTTTCCATATATCTATCTATCTATCTGTCTATATTTTTTTAATCCAGATTTTCCTCCAGCCTCCAAAAGTTTCATTACAAAGTCTTCGATCCATAATAAAGAAAAATAGAACTCAATAAATGTGCAGTTGGACATGCACAATGGCGTGGCAAAGGGTAATTAACAGTATTGGCAATTTTATCATTCCAATCGCCTGAATTGATCAATTGGACATAAAATCTGTCTAGTTTTAAAATGTGGCGCAGTTTACTAAGTCATAGGTAAAATCACTTTGCGAAAGTATCAGAAGCAAAGATAAGTATGCCTCTGATTCTTCTTCTGCTAGGTAAGTGTATCAAATTCAGGCAAATAGTTTACCAATATGGTATTGAAGTTCTATTCTGATATATCTTAGAATTGAAGTAACAATTCTGATGGTATATATCAATGCAACACATCTTCGTTACGCTCAATTCGTAAGAGAATCATAAGGAAAATATACACTCCCTAGCAAAAGTATTAGTGGAATGATAAAATTCGCTAAAATTAAAATGCTAATTGTGACACAATGAGTGATCTAAATTGTATAAACTTTTTTTTATTAAATTCCCCTAAACTAGGGCTATCATATGATATATTTTGTGATAAAATCGAACACCTATTCATAGAGATATTACGCTTAAAATGAAACTGACAAAAAAAATAAATTTATTCTTAGATCGTTACCTATATCGAATTCGATAGGTATTACAGATAGATACCAACCATCTTATACGAAATTGTAGCTAAAAATAATATCTATAATTTTAATTATTGACGTTTTTCTCGGTACCTAATAAAAATTTTGACTTTACTTAGACGAGAATAAATTTATTTATTTATTTATTTTAGCAGACCAGCACAATCTCATACAGTTTCCTATAAGTATTACAAATAATATGGTGAAATTGCATTAGCTAATCTAATGATACCACTTAACCTACTGCCATTACTTAGATGTGAATAAAAACAACCAAAATTTAATAAAATTTTTAAAAAATAAAAAAATTCAAAAATAATTATATTGATCATTTATATCTGAAAAATTTGATTATTTATTTACTTAATGATAAATGTGATATTAAGTCACCTTAAAGCCTTAAATATGGAGCATCTTTTGTAAAATTTCAGCCTTATATATTGAGAATTGAGAGAACAATACACAATTAAACTTTTCGAATTAATATAATTACTGATATATGAATAATGAATTTGAATAAATTCAAAATATTAATATCCAATATAAAACTGATATGGGTCCAATAAGTGCCTGAACTTCTGTATTTCAACCCCACCAATTGCACTGGTCAAAAATTGATAAATCATATACATATCAGATATCCGATATGTACATGGTATGTCCTTAATATTGGACATATATCAGGTATCCAATAGGTATAGAAAATATTTTATATACATTGTTACCATGGGTTTCCTCCACTTTTATAATTTCTTATTATTTTATTATTTTATTCTTATTTGTATTTATTTTATTAGTATAGTTATTTTAGTATATTTAGTATATTTAGTTATTAGTATTT